CTTTGAGTGTTTGTCGAATGCTCATCGATTATGTCATTGATGAGTAATTCATGCGTTCGAGTATGCACATGTCATTGGCTTGTGCCCCGAGGGTAGACCCAAGGGCCAACAGGGGAATATGCCAGGGAAAACAAAGGGATAGATTGGATTCTCTGTCCCTGGGGAGGGGAAAATTATTTTATGTTTGAAGGGAAGAGGGTGGGGAAATTGCAAATTTTGTAAAATCGTGGACGGTAATGAAGAGGATATCATGGGGATTTATTGCAAAAAGGGTTATATAAAATGAGAAGCATTACGTCCTTTAAGAACTAACTCAGTTAGAGAAAACTTTAAACAAAGCAAACCAGACCTTGAACGAGGCTACCCTTTAATGCTCGTTCAAGAAATACTGACTGCAGTTAACTTCACCAACAGAAACGAGGCTTTCGCAACAAAACAAACAAAAGAGATTTTACCATTTGTTACTACCTACAATCTTGGAAAAAACTACTTGAGAAAATGTTTTCATTAGTGCACACTACCTAACGCAACAAAACTATTTCCAAATCAATGGCTTTGCGTAAAAAAAACCCCTCCCCCAGTTCAAAGTTGCTTCCCACAAATACTTATGGATCCGGCTTTCTTTTGAAGACCCAACAACACTACTTCCAGGGGGAGGGGGCGAGGGAAGAATCGGTCGGCTACGAAGTTTAGAAAAAATGCCCCCCACCCCCCCTAAGTATGCACTTTTCTCAACAGTTTTGTCCAAGACTGTACCTACAATACCAACAATCTGGCCACAAATCTCAAAACGATTCTCATGAAACACTGGCAAATCATTCAACAGCAACCTAAGTTTAAACATCTCTTTAACCAACCACCGATTGTCTCCTACAGGAAGGACTTGTCTAGAGGACATTCTAATTAGCGGGAAAATTCCTTCAATCTCGAAGGAATCACAAAATCAACGAAGCCGTTAAAAGCAAACTAGAACTTAGCAATTTGCACATAATCACCTTAACTGACTCCTAGAAACAGCAATCATGCATCCACTCATTTATTACAAAACAAATGGGTCAATATATTTTCAGATCTCTTAAACCTATCACTGATCATTCTTATTACAAACGTAGAAGCTGAGGACTCGTAATTCATACGTACATGAAATACCACGAATAACTGTAATTTTTGAGCATCACAAGGTACAGTAGATTATTAAATAATCTACTGTACCTTGTGCCTTAAATTTTAAGGCCATCTTAAGTGGTCTACAGAAAAACAAGCAGTCTCTCCAAACCTCGGTGAATCTGTCTTCAGGTGTTCTTTCATTGAAGTGATTTTTGTTGAATGCAGATTTTATATTGCTTCTCCAAGCCTAACATGAATGAGTAAAATTTTATCCCCAAATATCATAAAAACGCCATCTCTGTCAAGTGATGTTTTACGTTGAGAGGCACTTGACCCAGGGGACTTTGTCTTATTAAATTCCCCCACCCCTGGGGGAATTCCTCAACTTTGCTCCACCCATTTTACAATCCCCCTGGTTGGCCCGTGGGACTACCCCGGGGCAAGCCGATGACATGTGCATTACTCGTTGATTATCTAATGATTAGCCATCGATTAGTCATTCACTACCTAAAGGACGTCAACATGTACGTTACTGTAAAAAAGCTCTTTTACCCAAGTCAATATTAATTGTTTCGTCACTTTGAAGTCTGTTACACTTTGTTTTCCATAACTGTCAAGTAAATCGATAAACTCAATGGCTAATTACAAAATCCCGCCAAAATCGACTGCTGTTGAACGTGAGTGAACTGACATTGTATGTTTCAGGCTAACAATATATTTTTTAGCAACTACTATAATTTGCAGTCTGTCTACTTTGAATCAATTTGAGAAACCATCTCTTACAACAGCTAGTTAACAACACTCAAGCTTTATACAACAGGCCACCCTAAAAACTGAGGGATTTAAGTTAAAATTCCATTTCAATGACCATACCATTCATGCAGCTAGCTCCTTTTTATCTCTTGTAAACGAACTCTCTCGTTGGATGTGGCTCGAGGTTTCTTGTTCAGTTACTGAAGGTTCCACACTGTCACAGTGCGGTTCAAATTCCACCCATTCGTTACCTAAACCTATTTAACACTCGCTTTCAGATGCAGTGGAGGAATTATCTGACGAATGAAACATTTTTCCACGCTTCGAATAGCTTCTTTCAATCTCCCGCGAACAGACAACGAGGTCATCCTTGAAGTATGGCACATCACGTGATCAGAGTAAGTCCGCTTTACTGAAACCCCGCGGGCTTCCAAAGGCGAGGTTCATTTAGTCCCGGGGGAGGCAGGGGTGGGTGGGGGTACTCCTTTATATAAGCGATACAGTTATGTGGCGCCCATAGGACATGGGTTTTTGTAGACTGTTCACAGTCCCCTATTTTTCCGTGTGATCGTCGAGATCGAGCGCGTCTTACCGTTAATGGCGGCCATCTTGATTTTCAGTCGTACCGAGTCTAACCTGGGGAAGAGTATCAAATCTACTTCGGGGGCGGGGGACGCCATCCTCGGAGATCCAGGGGCAGTTAGTCGGGTCGATAAAATGTTCGTGGTGAAAGTTTACTGTAAGATCGAGTCTCGATCTTACAGTAAACTTTCACCACGAACATTTTATCGACCCGACTAACTGCCCCTGGGTCTCCGAGGATGGGGGGACGCCCGCCCCCTCGGTACATCTAAAAATCAAGATGGCCGCCATTAACGGTAAGACGCGCTCGATCTCGACGATCACACGGAAAAATAGGGGACTGTGAACAGTCTAGGGTTTTTGCGCCTGTTTGATATTAAAACGGGTATATACTTTGCTCATTTTGGTCTGGAATCGGGCATGGTTTTCGATAGCCTGTGAACAGGCCTTTGGTCGAGCGGGGCTAGGTTTTCGAGGGAACTACGGGAGTGTATGAACGTATTGATCGTTTCAGTTCCAAATGAATAAGAACGAAATAGAAATATGCGAATTCGAAATGTATTTGAAGCATTTTTTGTTTGCGCTATGATCTTACAATTGATGACATATATTTCTGCCTAAAGTCCAGGTCTGAAAACAGGTCTGGATTTAAGAGATCTGGCCTTAAAACGGGTGTGGAAAATGACATGTTTTGGTCTGAAATAGGGTCAGGACTTGAGAACCGAGCAATTCACCCCCACCAAGAAATTCCAGGAGTACTCCCCGGGCATTTAGTATTAAAGAAATGTCTAGTCCAGATACACATGTATCGATATAGTCATTTTGAAACCATTTAATATTTCTCTGACGAAGACACAGCAGGGAAAAAGAAAAAACGTTGGGGAATCCTGCACAATATGCTTCCAATAACTCGGCCCAGTACTGACCAATTTTGGAGCGGATGCGCGTGGGACTGGGTCAGTGTTGCACCGTGGGAATGTTTTGCGAGAGAAAGTTTGATCCAATCTCCTGCGCAACTTGAAACGGCCATTAAGAAAAAAGAAAAACAACAACAAAAACAAAGATTGCGTATCTTCCATTTATTACAAAATGCCGTGGAATTCTCACGCGGAAACCTCTAATCGTACTTTTCTTAAAAAAGGCCAGCGTCTAAGAAACTTTGCGTCCACAAAAACACCCTGAGGACAACGTAGAGGGGTGCACATGCAAACATCATTTCGTTTGGCTCTAGGAAACCTCCAACGTTTTCTATAACACGTAGGGTCTTCGTCTTTGTTATTTTCCAAATTTATAACAGAAATATCAACGACTTCTTTGGACTTGAAAATCGAAGAAACCGTGAATGTAGAAAATATTCTCTTTTCTCCTACTGACACTGTACTGAAGAATGCTTCGAGCGTTTGAGAAGTTCCTTCTTGTACTTTGCCTTCATAACACTTAAAGTGTTTGTCGAATGCTGGCAGAAATCTTGCACTGTCAACCTCATTTCTTTAATCAGCGTTATTTTCCCGAAAATTTTAGATGTAATTTAAAGCTTTATGAACATTAGAATTTTTCTTCAATTCCTCTCTGTATTGCGTTTTCGAATTCGAAAATGTTAGGTTTCCTTTTTCTACGATTTATAGCTTAACCTGGGGAGTGAAATGTGAAGAATTAAACTTCAGAAAATCGTTGGCAATTTATTATGGAACGGTCACCTAGAAATTTTTAGCCGTCCTCAAGTAATAGAAAAATCTAGGCAATATTTGCCTCTCCGAACAGATATTTTACAGAAATCAGTCGTTGGGTGCCCCTGTGTAATGACGGAAGCTTAATAAAGAGGAGAAATCCAATTTCCTGCGGAAACCCACGATCAGTTTGCGAAGGCTGAGAGTTTGAAAGCAAGTTAACTCATCAGTAACGTAATTATTGAAATCAAGTGAATTCCTGCGTGTCCCTGCGTGGAACTCTACGGTAAAATATATTGCGTTCCGTTTATTCCATTGCAGATTCAGTTTGTTATATTCATGTAGTTGATAGAATGTCGCGGCTATTATGAGCTTTCGTGCAAAATGAGGGAAAATTACCTTGTTTACTTGAGAGTTTAGTTTCGATCCGGAAATGGCCTAGCCTTGCCTCGGACGTAAGCTCTGGGAACTGTGTCGCGGTAGGCAACTGGCGGACACCGTCGCGCCGGGATGTATAAAGACGACTAGAACTTCAATCGATCCCCGTGCGACTCGAATTCCACAAATTTGTAAACTTCGCTTGGAGAGGAATCAAGATTGCATACGCAATAACCAGAAGAATACTGATCTTAATTATCAATTCCTGCGTCTTCAGAGCCTCTTGATCCTTCTGTAAAGCTCCTCCTCTTCCCCTCCCCCGCTAATGTATGGCATGATTCAGTTCTGGGAATTAAGATCCGGGGAGAAATGAAAGTAGTTTCGCTTTCAATTTCGGATAACAAGAACTCACAGGATTGGTTGGTAAAGTTGCTCAGCCCTAAAACAAATGAGCCGTGAAAATAGAGGTTTTAAAAAGCTGCTACATGTACATAACTGTCATTTTCCATTGCTCGGAACGGCAGGAGGAAAGCTAACTTTGCCTTTTTTCGATATTTTAGCTTTGGAAGGTAAGTTCTGAAAGTCTCAAAATCCATTAGTGATTAACTGATGATGCATGCTTATATAAATCAAAGTCTTCTTCACAAGGGGCAACATTCAGATCCTTTAGCGACCAACCAACTTAGTTCGTAGATGTTGTTGATGGTTTCCACGAATGCGATGAAAATCACTGGACCAGTAATTTCCTACCTAATTTTGAAGCGCTGTGGGCAAAGGGAGGGCAGAAAAGGATTGGCTTTAGTAGGGCTATCTGTTTAATTATACTACTTCAGGTAATGAACATTTGAAAATGAGCAGACTGATTTTATAGTCTGCTGGTGAAGTAACTTGATTATAAACCTCAAATAAGACGGCAGCTTTTTTAGCTGACACTATTTCAGGCTGGGCTGTTGAGATCGCAAGTTAGAAAGTTGCGATCTCAAGTTACTAAGTTGTCCCTTGAGGGTCACCGTAATTTATTTTGTATCAGGGGCACCCAACGAGAATATAGTTCAAAACCACTTAAACCTAGCATTGTTGAACGTATTTTAGTATTTAAACGGTAGATATAGGCATATTTTTATCCCCTAAAAATTTTTCATCTGTTCGGATTTCCTAGCTGAAAGTCTAGTCATCCGAAAATTATAGGGATGAAAACTTACCTTTTCGAAAATTTCAGCCAGAAAAAAGGCTCCCGAAAATTCTAGGTAAAAATCCGTTAAAAATGGGCAATTATACCATTTTTGGGAGGTTCGAAAATCCTAGGAGAGGCATGAAAGCAAGAAATTTAACCACAAATGTTCCGAAAATTCTAGATCTCAGATCGTCTTCCGAAAATTGTCGTTGGGTGTCCCTGTTTGAATATCAACTAATTTGTTTCGATTTTGTGTATCCTTGAAAAAAACGTAGAAGCCCTTGATTTTCATTTTTGCCATTGAACGCGTAGTCAGCCGGTCCAGAAACAATCTGAAACACCATTTAACGTTGAAATTGAAAATGCAAATATATTTCCTAAATAATAATGGACAGCCGTTGAAGTAGAATGCTGGAAACTTTAATATGAAGTAGAAATCCTGATTCGCGTGGAAAGCCACGTTCCGTTTGCGAAACTCCTAACAGTTTGAAGGTAAGTTAGCTAGTCAATTGAAGCAAAAAGTTTCCCCGAATTTTTGAGATAAGATAACTTATCTAAAAAAATCCCCGACTTTTTGAGATAAGATAAACGTTTTGCTTCAATTGACTAACTAACTTGCTTTCAAACTGTTAGTCAGAAATTCCTTCCCGGAACTCTACGGTAAAATAGATTGCATTCTTTGTTGAAGATTGAGTTTGTGTCTTTCATGTATTTGATAGAATGTTAGCTATTTACTATGAGTTTGTGAAAAAAATGTGGCAAAAATATGTTGTTTACTTGAGAACGTAGTTTCGATCCGGAAATGGCCTTGCCCCGGTCAAGTTCTGGAAAGAGCAACTATTTAGGCTATATTTACACACATACCGGACAGCTCTTACGCCGGGAATTAAAACCATACCGGATTGGACTTCTCTTCACACGTAATTACGGTGATTTGGGGGTGATTTCTGTAGCGGAGCAAAGCTGAACCGCGCCGATCTCGAAAGTGGAGCGCCACGTATCAGACTTGGACAGGTATTTGGATGGAAATGAAAAGGGAGGAGCGAGGACTAGAACCGACTGGGACGGAAGTGATATTCGGGAGTGAAGACTGGGATTTTTTTTTTTAAAGTTCCCATTTTCGATAGCTTGCGAACCGCAGACGTATCTCTCTCAAGATGGTCTTTGTGAAGCTCTCGGTGAAGCTTTGCTCGCAGGTTCACCTTACATTTGCCCTCTCGCCAAACAGTTCGCTAAGCTTTGAACTTGACTGCGAAAGTCTCAAAGTTCCTTTTTTCGTCGTCCGAGTCTTCTTTATCCTTACCCGAAATCTAGACCTTCAAAAAGTCGTGTGTTGCATTAAGACTTACGATAAAAGTAAAGGTGGGGATACCAGAGAGCTTCAAAGTAGGATGGTACCCCCCCAAAAAAACTGGGTCGAGTCACCTTAAACAGAAGGAAATATTAATGTGAAAAGCTCTACAGTGTAAAGGGAAGCTGCAAAGATAAAAAAAAAAGGCTTGAGGGAAACACGCAACTCCCTCTGGGTTACTGGGTTGATAATTAACAGTGTTCGTTTTTCTGCATAGACGACCGAAGGCGAAATCTCTATACTGGGCGCATTTTTCCTTTTTCTTAAATCCCAATCAAATATTACAATTTCAACATTACACAATTGTATAAATATTTAAACTTACGAACAATTAAAAAATAATAATAACATATAAGAAAAATAATAAATTGGAATGTCCTTTCTGAATAAATATTGCTGTCTGTTACTTCTGTAATGGCAGTCTTTTCGAGCACGAAGCGGCTCTTTAGTTATGTAGAAATGCAGATCGGCGAGTGTTTAAATCCGCCAAGTCTATATAATTCTTCCCGTCTTCATAACTGTTTCGGCCTGTTCCTCGAATGTTTCAGGTTTTAAATGGGTTTTACTCTAGCAAAAGTTCTTCAAATAGCAGTTTTCATCCACTGAGAGGTATTTTTGCTAATCTTTTTTTTAGGCAGAAGTTCGGCGATTTCCTCTTCGTACAACGCTAAAATCTTCCTTCATTTCTTCAGCTCTGCCAAAACAGCTGAGGTAACGCGCCTTCTGCCGGCTGCTCTTTTTTCTGTTGATATTTGTACTACTGACGTCAATTGTATTGATATTAGGGACTTTAAGTTCCAACGACGCGACGGCGACAAGAACGTCGCTTAAAAAGTCAATTTGCGTTCTTAAAGTGTTTATAGCGATTATTCCTACCCACTTACTTTGTCAATTGTAGGCGAACCCTCCTGGAGTTGAATTTCAAGGGACCATATTCAAGCTCAGAAAGAGAAATAAAATTTCGTCGTTGCTTGTTTACGTTCTCCATAAAACGCGAAATTAGGCATTTTCACGTCCTAGTCGTGCAAAAACGGGAAAGAAATGTACAAAAAAGTGTGATGCACGTGCGAAGTTGTTGTTTTGCTAATTAAACCTATTGTTTTTTTGACGTTCTCGTTGTCGTCCGCGTCGTTGGATCTTAAAGTCCCTATTGGTTACCATCTTCCAAATTTGGTCCGGGTAGCCGGATATGAAGAATTAGTTGTGTTATTTAGGCTTACCATAAACGGAGAAATTTTTAAAAAAATAATTCTGAATATATACGATAGAATGATAACAAGAGATTTGTGTTAATAGGTGCTTCAATCATGGCCTACAGTGACGACGTCTTAAGGTACAATAGTTATGGAAAAGAGTATGAAGTTCCCAGGAGACGTGTGTTCAACCTTTCTGAACTTCAAAGAGCAGATCACATTGCTTTCTATCGGCTCCAAGGTATTTATTGTCATCACGCTATAGTAAAACATGTCGATGAAGAGAGCGGTGAAATCAAAACTATCGAGTACAGCAGAACTCCTTCAGGAAAATTTCAGGTGATGGAAAAAACGCACCGATTTCAAGAAGTTACTGTATACCTGATGCTACACGAAAGTTTCGATCGCGATCTTGTTCTCTCGAAAGCGCAAAGTAAGATTGGAGAGGAACAATACAACCTATTTACCAATAACTGTGAAAACTTTGCCATGTGGTGTATCACAGGAAGATCATCGTGCGACCAAATTAACAAAGGCTTAGAGATGGTCAACGAAGAGGTCGGACAACAGCTTGTAAGTAAAGCAGCTGCCCGAGCGGAGGCAAAAATTGCAGGCTGTAGCGCATCACACACAGGACGAGTAATTATGAGAACAGGGATGACCCACTCGATGGCAAAAAACGGGCTTACCACGATGGCTTCGGGTGCTGGAACTGGAGTTGGAGGAATTCTAGCTGGAGGAGCACTTGCTGTGGCTTTTGAGTGTGCGTCAATGGTATATGATATTGGAAAAGTGCAGGGCGATTTGAAAACAGGAAGAATCGACCAAAAAGGATACGACAAAACTGTGGGGAAGAGAGTTGTGACTGGCGCCAGCCGTGTAGCAGGGTCTACTGTTGGAATGGCCGCCGGACAAGCTCTCATTCCCGTTCCAGCTGTGGGAGCTGCTATAGGAGGTGTGGCAGGTGCACTTGTAGGACGATTTCTTGGAAATCTTACCGGAAATATAGTTTATGTCAACGATTGTGAAGATGGTGTTGATTATTATGAAGCCAAAGACACTTAAAAAATCAGCGAAGAGGATCTTGGTGGTGATGGTGCTGATTATTATTATTATTATTATTATTATTATTATTATGCCGATGACACTGACGAAGACGACGAAGTTGCTCTTGTGGGTGATGGTCTTATTATGGTGATTACTCTGCCGATGACACTTACGAAATCAGCGAAGAAGATCTTGGTGATGATGGTGCTGCTGATTACTGTTATATATATTCTGCTGACGACACTGACGAAGACAGCGAAGGCGGTCTTGGCGGTTATGGTAACTATAGGTACTACAGGTAATTAAGAAATAGTTGGCTAAAAAAAATTCCGACGACATATAAAATTGGACAAGGCCGTAGGCTGAGTCCAATAAATAAATTAATAGACAAGGCCTCACGCTGAGTTCACTTGATTACGTTAAAAAGTCAAACAAAATCGCTAACTTGCGGAAAGTTAAAATAAAATTCACTCAACTTTTGCATACTGGTAGACTTTACTACGAATATGAACGCAAAATATTTTTTTCTGGCTCGAAATATCTCTTTGTTTCTGAGAGAAATGACGAAAATAATTGTTCGTTCATGCGTTTATTTCGCAAGTTTGAGCCAAGGCTCAACCATGGTCTTGTCTTTCTTTAATTCCTTTTCTTAGCGCAGACGCTAATTGGCAGACAAACAGCCCAAGGACCTCAGCGTCCCATGGGGTTGCGCGCGCACCCATCATATCAACAAAAAATTTTGGAAGTTAGAAGATTTTTTGTTTTTGCGTTTTTGCGTTTTCCCTTGGCTTTGATAACAAGACAACAGCATTTGCTGTAATAACAAGTAAGTAAGAAGGTAAGTGTAAGTAAAAAAAATGTAATAAGTTTTTGACACCAAAATACTTTTAAATCTTTTCAGCTTTTTAGCCGTGTCTCATAGAACGACATCCACAGCCATAGCAAGCGTATTTGCCATACTAGACTCTACAAAATGGTTCAGTGATATTCGCGGAACAGCCGCGCTTTTGGGGCGGTTTTGAAAACTACGTTTGAATGATCCAACATGGCAACATGGCTCCATAATTCTTCTATGAAGGATTCTTGCATCGACCGTTGTTTATAATTATTACATCTTGGGTTTTTCAACCCAAGCTGTAATTATTATAAAAAGATTAAAAAAGGTTTAAAGGCTTGTTTATAGAGGAAAGTACGCTTAGCTAGTTTACAGGCACGCCACTTAAACACTAGAATTAAACAAGTAATAAGTAATACTAATTAAGTATTACTAAGTATAAGTATCACTCCACGTAATTAATACTTGGTTGTATGGTTCAGATGATGTTTAGGAAACATCGAAAACGAAGTATTCGGCAGCATTTTCTGATCTAAAGTAATCATTTGCAGTTAAGAAAAGAGAGACTTATAGAAAGCTTATAATTAAGCCTAAAAGTAAGTTCGCTTATTAAAAAACTGATTTTTTCGTTGGAAAAGTGTTTTCAGCTGTCAGCTGAGCTGTGAGACTGGAAAATAAGTACTGATGTACCAAACCAACCGCGTTTGTTCATTGCGCAACTCCCCTCACACTTTTGCACCCGAAACTAGCATTTTCCGTTTCCTTGCCTAGATCATTCCAGTTTTCAAATTTCGTAGCTTTTCTTGCAGCTGAACTTAACATGGTACGGGTTTACTTTTTTTTTCGGTTTTCCGAAATGTTATTACTTGAAAACACCCTCTCAGAGATATGAATGCTGTCTATGTAAAAGACAGTTAACAGTAATTGTTCCGCATAATTAAATGATAATAAAAATCCTCTGTAAGGTACGTACAGTAGATTTACCTCTTTTTCCTTTGGTAACTTAAGCGTTACTTTTCAGAGTTGCTGAAACTCAAGAATAAATCGTGTGTCACAGCCAACGAACGCCAGCTCTTTGATCTTTTCTCCCCACATCAGAAGTCCTGTGCGCTAAATTAGACTATCAAAGCATTGTTGCGCCACTCTCGGCTTTCAACTCCCAACTGTTTTAATTCTTGCCAAATGAAAATAAACCAACAAATGTTTCTATGCTGGAAAAAAAGTGCCTGTCTGTCGCACCCTCGTCGCAAAGTGCTCCACGCTCTCTTCATCAGTTGCAGGTTCCAGAAACCACGGTCCTCGGTCCTTTCGCAGAGACTTCTGGTACTGTTGTAGGGAAAAACATTGGCCAATAGCTGACAGGCGCGTCCCCAGTAACAATCCCAGAAACACTTGCGGGACGCTTTTTGGCTCCAGTTCCCTTCTCGTATTCCCGTTCCGCGCTGAATTCAGCGGCATTTACTGAAAGCACGTCGTTTTTCACATCCGTACAGTAGCCGGTGGACCAACACTGCGTCCTCGTCGTTGTCTTGTTCTGCGTTTATGTCACACACTGATATCAGTAAATCGTCCAGCAGGCCCTCTATTATGCTCAATTGTCGCAGCCCAAAGCGAAGCCATCGTACTTTCGCGGGCGGAGGGGAAGGGTGATCAGAAAGGTATAGGGGCTTCTCCAGAACCGTGAGGTCGCTTTTTTGACGGTAACCCCAGTCGAAAGGAAAAAAGCCGTCACGTTTTTTTTGTCATCCATCATCCAAGCAAAAACTAAAATTGGAAAAAAAAACGCCAATAAAGGAAGAGAAAAGGCGACAGGCACATCCTGTCAAAGGAAAAGCGGGAAGAGGTCCGATGGTACATAAATACAACAGGTAAGTTGCGTCTCAAATACGAAGAACTTTCACGCGCGTTAAATCTTTCTCCCTCAGTTCAAATACATGAAATGTCATATCATCGCTTCACAATAGACATGTTATAAACGTCAATGTGGTAAACATATATCTAAACTAAATAAGTAAAATAAATACTCACTTATACTCCCAATGGTGTCGTCTCTTGACAACCATCATATTAGTCCCTTCTGGTAACGTCACTGTCCTTCCAACTTTTTGCATTCGCCGCCTCCTTGTGTGGTCAGATGAATGACGCCAGCAGTTCCCGTCGTCTTATTGTCCTTGTCCAACGTTTGCAATACCTGCTTGCTGGTCATATCCAAAACGAGGTTGCTGGGTCAAAACTAGCGTATAGGACTATTTATTCGAGAGAGTAACAATGAAGTTTTCACGCAAACATCAAGCGCACGTGCCGTGACAACCTCGTTCCCAGTCCCAAGCGGAGGGATGGAGGTTGGGAGGGGGAAGGGTTATAAACATTGTAGCGGGAAATATTTCATTTGTGGGAGGAATTTTGATCGCATCTCCTCTGTAACCTTGGAACAACCATTGAATAAAAGCGAGAAAAAATAGCGTTGCTTCCATTTGTTACAAAATGCCGCACTCAACAAAATGCGTACGTTTTCACTAAATTCACCCCTTGACCCTTGTTACAAAATGCGATGTTATAGCAAAATGCCTCAAATACTCACGCCGAACCGCACAGAATGGACAATATTTTTACTGAGTCATTTTTCAATTTTATTTTCCTTAAGAAAGCCAGGGTACAAGTAGCTTCGCGGCACGCATCTACACAATGTAGCTTAAAATGGACCGAATCTTAACTAAAATACGCTAAGAACAACCTGGAACAGTCAACATGCCAACATCATGTTATTTAGCTCTTAATACCTGATACATTTAACATTTAGAGTCTTCGTTTTTATTATTTTCCAAATTGATAACGGAAATGTCAACGACTTCTTTGGATTTAAAAGCTGAAGAAACTGTAGATGTAGAAAATATCCTGTTTTCTCTCATTGAAGAATGCTTCGCGCGTTTGAGAAGTTCCTTCTTGTACTTTGCCTTCATAACACTTAGAGTGTTTGTCGAATGTTGGCAGAAATCTTTCACTGTCAACCTCATTTCTTTAATCATCTTTTCTTTGTGAACTGATAAACCTGTATGAAGTATCAAAGGCATTTCTCATTATAAAGTACTACAATCTATCATAATTAAGTTATTGAAAAGAGGGTCACGAGTTTATCATTAACCGTTGCAGTCGATTGTAGATCGCAGGAAGTGATGATGGTGATAATGATGATGATGATGACGATGGTGATGATGACGATGGTGATGATGATAATAAACATGATGATGATGTTGTTGATGATAGTCGTGTATTATCAGGTTTAAATACTCGCGGCTTTGCCTCGAGTTTTTAAGCCTGATAATACAATCATGCTCATTTTTTAAACAGTACAAAACAAGGGATATACAAGAGCGAGCACAAATTGTATCTCGTTCCCACGCCTTGCTCCGCTAGCTTCCTACGCGTGCGCCCTCAATTCTCGCGCTGAATCCCAAATGGAGAACTTTAATTTCTTGCAGGCTACGTGTAGGTTGCATTTCGCTTCGATCAAAGGCAATGAACCGCCTCACCTTTATTCTGATCGACTTTTGCTCGATGTCGTATCCTCCTCACAGCGTCAAAACAAAGACCCAAAACCACAGCCGCTATGGTGCATGTAGCGCTTATGAGCAGCGTGTTACGGAAAAGATCGGTGCCGCTATCAAATAAACCAGTGGAGATTTCCTGAACGACTTGTTTATCGGACACACCTGATCCCTGGAAAATAAAGAGATACGTTATACAGCAAACCCGGTTAATACGGACACTGAGGGGGCCATAGAAAGTGTCCGTATTAATGGGGTTCCTGTATTAAGTGGGTTGAATTAAGAGAAAATGTAAGGACTTTCTCTCCCCAGGAACAAAGCAAACTGTCTGTAATAATGAGGAGTAAATGTAAACTGTAAATGTAAATATCATATTATCCACTCCCCTCAAGTCTTTCAGGGATAATTTACAACACTGGTTGGGGGACTTTGCAAGACTGCTTAAGGTGCAGTTTACAAGTATATAATGAAGGAATGAGTAATGATTCCCCCATACATGAGTGTGAAAGTGAGATAGACCACCACACCGGGCACTATGTGCCGTATTAAACGGGTGCCCATAAAGCAGGGTGTGACTGTTTGGTGAAGAATCGAAGGTGTCGCAAATTACTCATTAACAGGGTTTGACTGTAGTTAATGATTAAGCCTTAATAAGGGTCCATTTTGTTTGAGGAAATCCAAATCGGGATTCTTGAATCCAAAAACGGATTTTGCGTTTTGCTTCTCAATGAACAGTTTTCTAAAGGCCAAAAAGGACTTTAGATCCAATAAAATCCACAACCGAGTGGATTCATAATAAGTGATCGTTTAAGGCAGAGAGGATCAAGACAAAGAAATGGTAAGACTCACCTCAATAGGCTTAACCAATTCTTTCACCCGCGAAAAAATCTCCGCTCGATGAGAGCGCATGTAACCATAGAAACAATGACGTAGACGCATTGAGTCTCCGCCAATGACTACACCGTAAGCTGTTTTATGGTCAATGATCTGCGCAATTCTAAATGAAGGATTGGCGAAGAGTTCTCTGTGGGTTGCGCCAGCGTATGTGTCTATCAGGACGCCGACTACTTCTCTGTTGGAAAGAGCATCGGCTAGTTCCTTGATGGTGTTATAATGTTTGTCTAAAGATATACATAAAAAACAAGCGTTACGTATGTGATGCAGAGAACTTGTGGGCATGCACCTATAAACCAACCACTATAACCACTAGCACTGCTGGCGCTTCTTGTTGTTAACTCATTTGAATAGGAACCTAAGAAGCATTGACGGGGCGACGGCAGCGGAAACGTCAATTTTAAAATGAACTCGCGTTTTGTCGCCGGAGTTGACTTCTTGGGGACTGCACTCAAGTTTAGAAAGAGAGAAAATTTCGTCTTCACTTGTTTACCGTCCTCCATAAAACGTGCAATTCGCCACTTGCACATCTCCCATAATGCACCTTACTTGCCCAACAAATTTTTGTACAAGCATTGTTTTCAATTTCTCTTGGGACGGCTGTTATATCCAGGAGAAATGAAAAACAAAGGTTATGCAAAATTTTGGGGGACAAACAAAGAGTATTATGGGAGATGTGCAAGTGGTGAATTAGGCGTTTTCACGTCGTAATCGCGCAGTGACAGCAAAGAAATGTATAAACAAATGTCATGCACCCTGATAAAAACATCAAATGCTTCTCTCACCTTTGTTCATAATCGCATTTCTCCTGATTCCGAGATTATACTCGGGTGAACCATGAATTGCTCCAATCTAAAAAAACGACAAAATAAATGATGATGTAAAGAAGTTTCCGACTAAAAGGGACACTTTGTACTAAACGGCCGTTTTCGCGTTTTAAGGGACTATCTCCTTTAAAAATGGAAAAAAAAGCTAGCCTTCCATCTCGCTAATATCCCACAAAAGATATTGTACTGCTGTTTATACCATAGCTATAGGAAACGACAGTAACAAAAAAGTTAACAGTGGTTTGGGGGTGGGGGTGGGCTCCGCATTATTGTCTTGTTTTCCTGTTTGTGTCTCGACTTTTTTTGTCGTCCATTGCACGTTGATACAGACATCGGGTTGTATACTGACAGCTTCTGGTGTAACTTCAATGTCCGACTTCAATGCTATGTGTACCATCCTGAAGCTGAAATGGTTGTCCGGGACACAAGAACACGCCGGTAATATTCGGCTGGAACCGGTCTACTATGAAAAGCCCTCATAGCGATTTCAGTTAGACATCAACTGAGTTACAAGTATACACTGGAACCTCGATTAAACGAACCTCTATAATTACAACGAGGCCCTCGGTATAAAAAACAATTTTCTTTAACCCCAATAATAGTAACATTTATGGAAAGGAATCTCGATATAACGAAATCACCTTATAGAGAGCATGTTTTGCCGGTCCCTTGGCACTTCGTTGAGGCTCCACTGTATATACTTTATTATTAAAACCTGAATCATGGGATAATACAATTCTAGAGCTCTGATTGGCTTAGCCATCATGGTATATGAGCCATTATACCATGCTCTGCAAATATGGTAACTTTACGCGTCTGCTCAAAATTAAAAACAAGCTAAAAATCGGTTGTTTTTACAAATAAAGTGGGGAAGAATTCTCAATATTTTGTGGGCATTTTTAATAAAACAATTATTCCACTCACGGTTGTTGGATATGAGATGATTATAGCCAACTCATATCCAACGCTCACTCGTGGAATAATGACTGTTAACTGTGATAAAGCACCACCGAAACCGTGTGATTCGGCCGGCATCTTTACCTTAGATCCATATATCTGAACCTCAGAAGTCTCTGTGATCGATGTCAATGCTGTTGTTAGTGCACCCGTCATCAGCGAGACAACCACGAGTCCTATGAGTACCCAGACAGTGGCGAAAGCGCGCCCAATGTTACCTGCTGGACAGCGGTCACCATAGCTATGAGCACAAAGAACATTTTCGGCCATCATGTTTATGATATTTGATTGGTAGTTGACAGTTAGATAGATAGTTTCATATATGCTAAAGCGTTCGTAGTCTTCAAAGAAAGTAAGTAAAAGATATAAAATCATATCAGTGTGTCACGCATAAAAAAAACAACAACAACAACAACAAAAGGCTTACCCTAGGGTTGTCATGGAAACATAGGCCCACCAGAGTCCTTCCCAAGTTCCACGGAGAAATGACCCTGGAAAGTGTTCGGTGTTTGATTGTGAGTCCTGTCAATAAATGAATAAATAAATATATATATGAATGAATAAATGAATAAATGAAGAAATGAAGAAAGAAAAAAACAAACAAACAAACAAAGGAAATAATGAAATTACTTAGACGGATGAGCTGTCTTTGTTAGAACATAAGTAAGTTGACCGGCTAAATTTGTTATGAGAAGTGTTTTGGAATACAGCCGAATCGCTAACAAAGGCCACATGGTTTATAACGACCACTGGTTATTATCCCGACAGATACCTACGTTCAATCTTTTTAAAACGCCTATACAGTGCGAAACCAACCCCCACCCCTAGCAACAGCTAGGTACCTCAATCACTATGATGGACGTTGTGGAAAGGTTTGACTGTGGGACCTTTAGTAGCGGTAACTTAAGGCCACTTAAGGTAAATTTTCTTAAAAAGTTATGTAATTTAAGGCGACGTAAGGTTCCAGAATAGGGTTGTTTATCACAATTTGCACACACATAAAAACATGAAGGCACGTACCAGCACCCAAATGCAGAAACCAGCAATATAAGCCATGATAAAGGGTATCAGCACAATAGGCCAGCAAGCAAAAAGAGCCGAAACCATGGTATCTTTTACATTAGAATTGTCTGTATACACGATAAACACCACGCCCGCTGATTCCACGAAAGGCGAATACCCCAGCCCTCCCTTGTAACTGTCTTGTAACTTGTAGCCTATTACAGGGAATGAGAAGTCCGTCTGGCTGTCAATGTTTTTTCTAAATTGCTCGATGGTTGTCTGCTGGGCTGCCTGGTTATTTCCGTTCAGCCTGAAATCTAACCTTGATCTGTTGATGTAAATGATATGATTACACTCTAATTTCCTTCCTGGTGTAATAATTCCCATTCAAATCCTTAGAGAGTTTTTTTTTTTAACACATCAACATCTCAGACAGAAGCGATTGCACAGATGTGCTAACTGCTGTAAAGATTAATGCTTAGGGAATCCTCCTGAGAAAAGACTCGCCGGTGAAAGTACATGATAGGTCGGCAAAGTATCGGCCGAGAATCGACCAACTATCGACCGAGTATCGACCGATAGACTGTAGCGGCCGCGTGTCGCTAACATATCGGTCGAGACTCGACAGGCTCTCGACCGATACTCGACCAAGTCTCGACCGACACTCGGCCGATACTCGGTCAACACTCGACCGACAAAGCGACCGATATGTCGATCGAGATATCGGTCGATACATCGATCGACACCCCCCGAAAAATACATGATCCCATCCCAGACCTAACCAACCTAACCTGCGAAGAGTGATGTAAAAATGAATGACACGGTACAGATAGATTAAATACATGTTTTAGGCTTATCGTTGGGTGCAATATTATCGGCCTCAGGTGATAACACTTCCCGAGACCTTGATTATTTCGAATATCAAAAAAATTGAATCTAATAATTGTCTCATCAGGACATTGTTTTGAAGAAAATTATGACAAACACAGCGTCACACGGAACACAGTTTGACGTTGATCCAGGAAATCGTACATTGGCGGGCGCGCAACCTACAGATTAGTCAGTTTTCCACAGGAAGCTGGAAATGGCCTAGTAAGCTTTCTACTATACAAAAGTCTGCATGAGAAGAGGCCCGGGGGGTGGACTCCGCATATGAAAGGGGTGGGGGGATGCTCGTCGTCTCGCTTAGGGGTGTAAATTTCGGATTTGGGTCTCATTTAGGGTATTTTGGGCAAAACGCCATCATATTTAGCCGTGAAGGTCTTGTTTAGGGTTGCACGTGAAAAAATATGCAAATATATGTATTGTCTGTGTTTTAACATGGTCTCTTTTAGGGGTCAAGAAAGCTTGGGCCACGCCCAGATCGGTCTCCTTTAGGGGTTTAATTCAAAATTTCCGAAGAGCATCCCCACCCCTTTTATATGCGGAGTCCCCCCACGGGCGAAGAGGTTCCAGAGCCCTTTAATTTTTATTAGGCATTAAAAACATCAACAAAATAAAACCCGATTACCTGTTATGTTCCTGACACCACCCACAGCACTGATCCACGACGTGGGTCAACAGCTTCGGGATTATTAAACCAGAAGAATAACCAGACGTGAGGTTTCCGAAGTTCAAGTTCACGTAAGGGGGATAATTTCTCCAGTTTGTTGTCAAATGCGAACGACATCGACATGTCTCTGTTAAACAGATAAAAGTTTGTTTGTTAAGCTGATGGTAAGACACTGTGTTGGTCCGTTGAGGTAACCATCCTGACCAAGGGTGTTAACGGAAAAAGTTGCAGAATGATGCTCTGTTCGGAAAAGATAACTGAACATGGTCCTTCGAAGTGGATATGGGACGGCAACTTGTGGCAGGCAATGTTGTTGCCACCGCTAAGTATAGTAACATAATCTATAAGTAATTAAGAGTTCTACCCCTAATGGAACGCTTGAATGTCACAGTCTTCTCATCTATACCTAAAGACACCGTGCTGTAGTTGGCGCACTTGACCTTCAACCTGATGATTCGTGGTGCATAAAGGTCTGTAGCCTGCGACCAACGTCTACACTTCAGAGGAATCGTGAGAAGTCACTCGGAGTCGGGGTTTGCCTGGGGCACATTGAAGTTTCAAATAGGCCATTTTACAGTTATGGATGGAAGCGAGGCTGACAGTGACCTTGTTTTGATACAAACCTTCCTGCCTTATTATGTAAATCAATTTCCATAACAAAGCAAAGGAACAAGGTCACCGTCAGCCTCACATTCACTCGAAGGCTAGGGTACTAAGTCCACAACTGTAAAATGATCTATTGATCGGCGCATGACTCACCTCCAAACGTGATACCCTCGGGCCCAGCTCCCTTGTTAGTTCTTGCGGCCACAGTTATCTTATAAACCGCAAGAGGTTCGAGGTCCTGTAACGTTATAGAAGTAATTGATCGTCCAACATCTTCACTGATAAGATCACCTTCCGCTGTTAAGTCGCCAATCTTTACAGCTTGGTAGGTCACACGATACCCAGCTAAAAAACCGTGAAGGAATTCAGTGGGAACTGGTTCCCAGAAAATGGGTATTGTTGTTAAACTTGTGTGATTTTGAGCTTCAATGTTGGGTGGTGGTTGACTGGGAACTGTGAATGAAAAATGGATGGTCAGCAGAGTTTACGACGTGAAATACAGCTATTTTGAAAGCAGGATGAACAACACGTTTACACGTTTTTTAGGGTGTAATCCCGTCACGCAAATTTTAACAGCCTTTGGTTTGTAGTATCATAGGTCACGCTCTTTGTTCCGCCCCATCGCCCCTGTATAGTCGAGCACGATCTATATGAGAACACAGGCCACATTGTCTAGTTTCAAACCGAGAGGGGCTGGGTAAAAGCCGGTTTATCATGGGATGAACAAGACGAGACCCACATGGTAAGAAAGAGCACATTGATGTTACGAAAAATCTGAAGTTTGGTGTCGATCGGGCCAATGTTGAACAGGATACAGCTATTTAAAAACTTGAGAGTTTATAAGAGAGGTATGGGTTACCAAACACACCGTCCGGGACGTCAACATATTTCTTAGTAAATTTTGGAGTTTTTGAATGAATGTAGTCTCGTTCAATATAGGCCTGATAAAGACCAATCTTGAGAATGTTGCTAATTTCAATGTGCTTTTACCGACTAAACGGGTCTCATGTTGTTTATCCCATAATAAACGGACTCGTACCCAGCCCCTCTCGGTTTGAAACTAGGCGAAGGAAACGACCCCTGATGAAGAGAAGCATTCCGCTTACCGTCCTCTTCCGTCATAACAGTCTGCGATGCAAAATTACCAGGTCCAACCCGCGTGAAAGCCCAAACACGAATCTCATAGACGGAGGCCTTGTGAAGCGACTTTAGCTTAAAAGAAAAGTCATATTCTCCCAGAGTGATCACAGCACCGGTGCCATTCGTCAAAGATGAATACTTAAGTGCGTATCCTTGAATGATGCCATTTCGGTGGTCCGGGGCCACTTCATCCCAATGAATCAATAGGCTCTGAGAATCAAGAATGACGATACCGAGTTTGGAAGGTGGAGCTGTTGGAACTGCAACAACAAAACACCGGTCCATTAAATAAGTTGGTAGAAGACCCGGGGGGGTGCTTGGATTAACTTATACGACCCCGTTCGGCCGCACATCCCCATTAGCCCTTTATAAGGAAGTATTCCCCCCGGATAGAAGGTAGGTCATTCGAGAAGAGGATGGAACCAAGATCTTCTAAAACCAGGTTAGATCTTACTCAAATCTGTTCTGATTTCTGATCACAGCGCCACTGCAGGACGACAAAGAAATCATCTCTTCAGACAGGACACATGTCCAACCAAGTCGCCCAGAAATACACTGATTTATGTGATATGCAAACTGAAACCTCTTTGGCAGTTCTTTCAATTGGTACTATTTGTTTTTCAGCATTTTACGAAATGACATTTAAATTTTGACTTTGGCCGCCTTTGACAGTAAAAGGGTCAAAGGAGGCAAAAAAGAACCCATATTCCTGTTTGGAACGTAGAATTGTTGCAGCGATCCACCTCCAGTCCCACTGCATGGGGGAATATCGTACCTACTTTGAGCTTATATGGTAGTCGTAAATCACTGATGTACATAACAAAATTTTGAATCTCTTTCTCTTACCCCATTCCCATGTTTTCACATACAAAGGATCGGTGAAGTTTCCGTCTTCAGTAGCAAATGCCGCAACTCTTACAGCGTAAGTTGTAAATGGCTTTAAACCAGTTAAAAGTGTTTGGATGTCATTTTTACCAGCTCCAAAGTTGCTGACAAGATCGGGTTGATCGACACGGTAGTATTTAATGCGGTACCCTTGAAGAAATGGCTCATCTTGCAAAGAGACTGGACTCCAGGTCACGTGAATCGTCGTGGCGCTTGTGGCTTGAGCAGTAGCGTTCACCGGAGTTTTATCAGGGGCTAGAAATAAAAGATTGATCACTACACTGATCAGTCAATTCACCAGAGTAAGTAATAAACAGTTTTAACATGACGGGTACTCCAATTCAAGTCCTCATCGCTCTCTTTCCTATCCATTAACTCCGTCAAACATCCGCGGGGAAATGTCAGGGCGTGAAGCTCAGGTCAGCCTCCAGACTGCATTTTGCGCTGAGTTCTTAACCGTCAAAGGTTTTCTTTCAGGGGAAGAAAGTTTATAAGTCCCCTCCTCTATCAGGCCCCCTCCCCTCCCTTCCCCTAATTATTCTTCACTAATAAATGACAGACTGTGTTAATAACAGTAACATCTGTAAACCTGAAGAAGGCTGGTATGCAATAAATATTGTTATAAAAAAGTCCCCGTTGTTTTAAATCAGAAAGCTTTGCTGTAGTCTTCGGACTTCTCGTTCTTGTTCTTTATATTTTGGCTGATTTGATCTCTTCTCTAGAGATCCAACGTTTACAACTAGCAGGATCTTCGTCCACGGTTTTTGCAGTTAATTTAATCCTTAATCAACCATGATTGTAAAACTTCGTGTGAACTGATCCGGGATGGTTTATTTATCAACTGGAAGTTCGGATTTGATTCTGGTCCTCGGCTGCATAACCTCCAACCTTCTTGTTCTTGAGCTTCTCCACTTTGTATTCTAGTTCTTTATGGAGAACTGACACCACCGTCTTTTCTAAATTAAATAAGCCTCCCGTCTCTATTAACCCCCAAAATGGGCTTGAAGTAAATAAGCCCTCTGGGAAGCTTAATAGAGGATTTACGGTACGTTAAATCCTCTTGATTTTTTACGTCCTTCATTCTTGAAATAACAAATGCATCAAGCATGGACATGAGCAATTGAAAAAGAATGAACTCTCGAGCGACACAAACTGAGCGAGAAAACAAGAGGCGAGCGGTTCTAGGCAGAGTGAAGATAACCCGAGGAAAATCACGAAATTTAAACTTGAATCTGAAAACTTTCCAAGCAAATTCGTGGAAATTCTCTTTGCCTACAATTTGATGTTTGCACACGTCGAGACGCCCAGGTAGTAGATTCAGTGTTCTGTTCTGGAACTGGATTCCAATTGTTAGTGGAATCTGGAATCCAAAGTCCAGAATTCCAGATTCCCTTACTTGGGCCGAAAAAAAACGTTTCTAAACGAGAGAAACAAGAATTCTGAATTTGCCTTCGAATAACTGGGCCAAGGTATATAGGACTGCGGGCCGACAGAAATTTAAACATGAAGTCACAAGAAACATACCTCCAGCACTTGTGGTTGTATTTATCAATGAGCTCCAAGGGCCAGGTCCTTTTCTGGTGAAGGCGCGCACTTTAAGAGAGTAGTTAGAAAAAATTACAAGCCCCTCAAAGACCGCTGTGCGAGTAGGACCTTGAACGGTCATTTGCTCGTTGTAGCCATAGGCACCGTAGATAAAAGCCTCGTATTTCCGAATGATACCATTCCGAAGTTCTTCCGATACTGGAAGCCAATCGAGGTTTATGCTCGTGGTGCTGAAGGAAGTCCCGGTCACGTTGATCGGAGGTCCGTCGGGGACTATTGTGAAACAAACATAAGTATCAGGCCCCAGTTGTTCGAAAGGTGGATAGCTCTATCCACTGGATAAATGACTATCCAGTGGATAACGCAATTGGTTTACGTAATACTTATCGGCTGGATAGTGATTTATCCAGTGGATAGCGCTATCCAACTTTTGAACAACCGGGGCGAGTAGTATAGTGAGTAAAACTTGAACCTCGTAAAGTCATTGCGTCTGTGCCCATAACATTATCTGGTACAGACATCATTTAGTAAGTCCTGACAATCTTTTGTTAGTTGGACGAACAGCCAGTCGGTCAATAAGACAGACAGTCATTTAGTGTTTGAGACGGAGTCATTGGGGAGCTTAAGGCAACGACGATGGCGACGGCAACGAAAACGGCTAAAAAGGAATAGGTTTAGATGAGCAAAACAACAACTTTTTTCTACATTTCTTGGCCGTCACTGCAAGACAACGACGTGAAATGTCCTAATTTCACATTTTGTTGAGGACATGAACAGACACTCTCTGAACTTCGATACAGTCTCTAGGAATATTGCTGGCATATGACGAATTGAAAGAGATGGAATAAGCGCGATAAAGTTTCAAGCAGGGCGACTTCACTTTTTAAGTGTCGTTTTTGTAGCCTTCGTCGTCGTTGTTGCGTAAGGCAAAGTTCCCTGTTATTATATTAGGTCGACAGTGATAACGAAATTGGAACAGACAGCCATTTGGTCAGTAGCACAAGCAGTTCATTTGAAAAGTTAAAAAGGGGGTCATCAAATCAAAGTGACAGAGAGCCATTTTCACAAAACGTCTGGTTGTGCGGTCTGGGAGAAACCAGAAATTTCATAACTTCTCTGCGTTAGTCAGGCCTTTAGTCTGCTTGCCTATCACTCTGTTGTTTTATTAAGTTAAAGATGGCTATGTGTGACTATATCTAATGTTTGCTCATAAGTTGCACGAATTATGATTGTCATCAAAGAATGTCTTTATAAAGGTTACTACAAGGCAACTGTTGAATGTACAGAAATGTTATAATGATAAATGACCAAGTCAAATATAAAGTACGAAATATATCAAGCGTGAGACGCAGTGTTTCATCGCCAGATGAAACACTGAGAAGAGAGTTGAAAATACGACGCGCAGCGGAGTATATTTGACGAACTTCGAGGTGTTTCATCTGGTGATGAAACACTGTGTCAAATGCTTGATATTACTTCTCAAACAAAATGATTTTAGAAGGAGAAATTAAGGATGCAAAAAATGAGCAGTTTCTCATCTGATTTCCAAACAGTCATTAAACATTTTTTTCTTTTGTGTTTTCTTTATGAATCATTAATGAGTTTGAGAAATATTGACCACGTCCTGGCAGCTGGTAATCAAGTGTCAATGAAATGGATTGACTCTTACCTCCCTCATCTGTCCAACTCTGTGTTTCACTAAAATTTCCTGCCCCAGTACGTGTATATCCCGCCACGGATATATTATACAAGGTATACGGCTCTAGATTTGTGATATTTCTATACGTATTCAAGTCGTGTTTTATTTCTATGAAGTTCAGGACGTCTGGTTCATTCGCTTTTATGTAGCGCACGACATATCCGAGTAAGACACCAGGTATAGTAGACTGAGATATGCTTTGCCACGTGACCAGGATGCTTGTGACGCTGCTGTTGAACGCGGTCACTTGAAACGGAGGAGCCCTGGGCACTAAAAATATATGTGAAAGTGGGCGAAAAAAACAAACAAACAAACAAACAAACAAATTAACTGCTGCTCAGCAAAGTATACCGTGAGCTCACCCGTGAGGTAAACAAGTTGGAAATGCTGACCCTGTACAGAATAAATATGCGTTATTGACTACGCGTGAAGTCAAGATGGTTTAATATTGCCTGAGACGAAGATGAGGTCAATAAAAAGGCAAAAAAAAGCGGGGAGAAATTCCAGCCACCTTGAACGAACAAGTTTGGTGAATAAAGGATATTATTACACAGACAAAAATCTCAGACGGGCAAGATGGGCAAGTAGCCAATCAGAACGCAGGATTCACTTCATCTTGACTGCTCGAAGATTCGCCCAAATAGTAGGCCAATTTGTAGCCTCTGCCACTATGCCAGAAATTTGTATCAGGGACAACCGTCCTAAGATATCTCGTAAGTACTATTTCTTAACAATAATGCCCTATGCCGTAAAATTATCAACCTTGGGATACATCTTAGCTCAGGCTAGAACTGCTACAAGTCAACGTCTCATAAGTTCTCAAAAGTGAGCGAAGCGAGCTTTAATGCATGAGGTCGTGCAGCGACCGAGCGCGCGATGAAGTCTCGAGGTCGACTTGTTTCGCCTGAATGGATTTCAATCGTATTATAAATTCGCGCGGGAAAAAAATGATTGACATATGCTGAGTCGGGAGCGGTGTGAAATATCACTCACTGTCCTATTGGCAAATTGTCATGAGGTCACCGGTTGAATTTTCGACAGGTGAATTTCGCGCCAAGCTAGTATGGAGAGACCATTAAAATGGCATAACCAACCATAACCAGGGAAAAAAATAAAGGACTTTCGGAAAGTCTAAGCTTAGGACAAGCCGTAGATATTAGATCCGGGTCCCGTTGTATTTCAACAGCCATAAGAAAAACCCTACCTCCTTCATCCGTAGAGACGTTGACCACTTCACTATAAGGACCTAAATCCACTGTGTAAAACGAAACTTGTATAGAAAACATGGTGTATTCATTCAAACCGGTCAATTCGGACTTGAAAACGCTGCTGTTTGTTGGCGCTGATCTTCGTCGTCTGCTGTGCTGTCGGTGAGCGGCGCACGTCCCAACAGCTGTATTTGCATCGGCAGCTTTTGAGTAGGTAAAGCAGAGTTTTCGGATAATGCCATTTAGTTTTGCCGGGGAAGAGGCCTGAAATTCAATCATGATCGATGTGGAGCTTGTGTTGTACGCGGACAGGTTTGCAGGAGCAATATCTGGGGCTGTGGAAGTTCAAATTTATGCGAATTAAGCAAAGACTTTTGTAAAATATATGGTACGAATAAGCTAAGAACGCAAAAAAACCACGAGAAGTGGCCGAAGGAAACAATACAAAGGTACAATACACAATGTCTCAGGCTTTAAGTACAAGGCACTGCGATTGACACAGAGGGTTAAACCTATAGCCTAATAATTCGCAGTGTTTTTACGTCGCCATCTAAAGCACTCGTTCTTCTTTGTCGTAAGTGTGCAGTGTAAGACGCCATTGGGATTTACAGGTCTAAAGTACCTTGTAGGAACCAAGTTTAGCGGGGGGCTTATTTCATTTAGTTAAACAGCCCTGTTAACAAAGGAAAAGGAAGAAATATAATGGAGACGTGGTGATGTAGTTCCTGTTTTGGATACTGTACACATTATCCCCAAACAATTTCTGGAGACTGATCTCCATACATTTCCTTATAGAATTGGTAAAATTATGAATAAACGATCAAAGCATTTTGTTTTGGTGATCACTTAATAAGTTCTCAGAACCTTCTCTCATAATTGCGCAGTGATATTGTTGGGAGAAAGTTGATGTTGGTGACCCTTGAGGCTTTGAGGGTCAAAAAAGCAATTTACAGTAGAAGACTTACCGTAAATCCTCTATTAAGCCCCGGGGTGGGGGGCTTAATTATTTCACGCCCATTTGAGGCGGGGGTGGGGCTTTAATAGAAACGGGAGGCTTATTTAAGAGGGAGGGCTAATTTAATTTAGAAAAGACGATGGTATCAGTTCTCCACAAAGAACTAGAATACAAAGTGGATAAGCCCACGTACAAGAAGGTTGGAGGTCATGCAGCCAAAACAAATCAGAACTTTCAGTTGATAAATAAACCATCCCGGATCAGTCCACACGAGGTTAAAAAGTCGTGATTGATTTATAGTCTATCATTTACCAGTGAAGAATAATTAAGGGAGGGGAGGGGCTTATTAATATTCTTCTCCTGAAAAGGGGGGGGGAGCCTATTAGAGGAAGGGGGCTTATTTGAGAGGGGGGCTTAATAGAGGATTTACGGTAGGTGTTCAGCATTATATACTTACCATCTTCATTCGTGCGAATAATGGTGGCAGAGGTGAAGTTTGATTGGCCCTTGCTGTTGACCGCTGCTCCCGTGATCGCGTGTTCAGTGTATTTTGACAAATTGCCCACCGTAGCATTCAGGATATCTCCATCGAATATCAGCACTCTGGTGTACCCTGTAAGCACTTCTGCTATATTGAATACATAATGAATAATATCCCCCAGGCGCAGCGGTTCGGGAACTGGGCTCCACTGGATGTGTATGCTTGTCGAGCTCAAGTTGTAAACGGTGACATTTAAGGGGCCACTTTGAGGGACTAAAAAGAGTAAACAATAAACAACAAACTAAAAAGTAAACAAACCATCTCGTTCAGTAGAGTGTTTTCACCTGACGTCACGACGGCCATATTGGTGTCCCAAAACAATGAAATGGCGGCCATGTTGGTGTCCAAAACCAATCCTGTGGGAGTTGAACTCTTTTCTTATGCAAACACTTTCTTTTGTTCCAATAAATGTGCATAGAGGCTGGCCACGTGAGTGAAAACACTCTATAAAGTTCTAGCTAAAAATCGCGGCGAGGCAACCTCCCAGAGTCATAGTCCGACGATCATGAAATCAGGTGATACGGATGGTTTTCACATGACGTCACGGCAGTCATGTCCACCCTACTCGCCATAGGGCTCCAGTAGCTTAGTGGTTAGAGCACCCGAACTAGAACTCGGAGGGTCGTGAGTTCGATCCTCACCCGGAGCTGGAATTTTTTCTGAGCTTTCTGGTCTTAGAATTCTTCTTCCTTCAAATTATATTGTTGTTCTAAAACAATGAAACGGCGGCCACGTTCGTGTTACCAAACCAACCATGTGGGAGTTGAACTCTTTTCTTATGTAAATGTGAAAATAAATTTGGATAGATGCTGGCCACATAAGCGAAAACAATGTGTAAGATACTGGTTTCTTGAAAGCGATAATCTGCTGTTCAAATACAAATATAATCCTCCGTATTCACGTTTGAAGCTTTCTTTTAGACACATCCTAATGCAGTGTTTAGGGTTAATGGTTTAACTTCACTCGTTTTGGATTTTATGTCGCTATTTGCAGCTGGAATTGTTTCTTGATTGTTTCCTTTTAATAAGTAGTATTTTAAAAAGATAGTATATCGAATGACGGGAAAAAATAAAAAGGCCTTTTTTGTACTATTTTAAGAAGCAAATAAATAAAGATGACAGCAATACTGAAACGGAGAAATAACAGAAAAGGATGAAATCTTTGAAGATACCGTAAAATTCCGAAAGTAAGCCCCGGGGCTTATGTTTGTTAAAGGCCCTTTTTGAGGGGCGTATTTTTGGAGGGGCTTATATTCGGAGGGGCTTATCTATGGAGGGAAATTTGCGTTTCAAAATCGATTGGGCTAGCCATATAGTTGGAAGGAAATTTACCTAGTTTTGCTTTGTTTTACTTTGTATTTGAGGGCAATTGTCAAGTACAAGCCCCCGGAGGGCTTATATTTGCATGGAGGGGCGATTTAACGGAGGGTTTTTTGCGTTACCGGTTTGGGGGGCTTATATTTGGAGGGGCTTATTTTCGGAATTTTACGGTAGTTCGAAGAACGATAATTTGAAACAAGGCGAAACGAAAATATTAGAACTTGCCCACGTAAGGAGCTCAAGAGAAGTCACGGATAAGATCATCATAAAAAAAAAACCACAACAACTAAGATTCTATCAACCACTTGGCTCGGATGATCGCATAAAATGGTGGTCCCGTCTTCAGTAGGAGACGTTAACCCTTTAAGCCCCAATATCCACATACAAATTCTCCAAACTGATCTTTATATATTTCCTTAAAGAATGAGTTGAGAGAATTTGACAAAATATCAAAGCATTTTCTCTTACGTGATCATTTTATTAATTCTCATAACCTAGTCTCTTGACAATGTACGGATATCATTGGCAGAAAATTGATGTTGGTCACTATTGGGACTTTTAAAACGGGTAAATATAGCGTCCCTAATTAGTAATTTAGTGCGAAATACATTGACACTGAAATAAAAGTGCATTTATCTATACTCACCCTCCGCATCAGTAAAGCAAGAGATCCTTTCACTAAAGTTGCTCCTTCCTGCCCCATTCAGCGCAGCCACTTGAATCTCGTACTCGGTGAAAATTCTCAGTCCTTCCTTAGTAGTGTTGAGTGAGCTGTTACACACAAGACTATCTCTCCACACTTCTGAGTTGTTTTCACGAGGCCTTACACGCACCTTATAACCGCGTATGAAACTGTTATTCATTCCTTGCGTGGAGGGTGTTTCCCAAAGTATTACCAAACTTGTTGAGCTTGCATTATGGCAGTTAACGTTGGTTGGCGGGAAGCTGGGTGCTATGGACAAAGCAAAGAGAAAAGTGATTAAAGAGGTTCGGGAGACAAGGCCTAGAAATAGCTACCCTTACTGTAAGGTATACTTAGAGCATAAACTCTTTTGAAAAGACGTAGGAGAAAATCGATCCCAATTAATCTTAGTTATAAGAGATTTCCAAAGGTCGGTGTTCATATCACTATTTGTCGATCAACCTGTGAATGCGAATACATGCAGGCCTGATCAGACCTTAAAGAAAAAGATGGAAAAATAGAAAGTGGCGTTATGACAGTTGCCAGTCAGACTGGTCGCTGCTTCTCATTGTTTCCATCAATTTTCCGTTAATCTTTCTCCAGCCCCCTCTCCAAAGCTTCATATTTTAAAAGGCAAAGCATTTACTACTCGCAGAAATAAGTGTCTATGCTATCTGCTAATATTAACAATCATCAACCATGAATTAAAAGGAGCATCTTTCTTTAAGAAATGTGGAGCAAAAATTTCGGCTATTCTTGTTTTCTACCACTTCAGTGGAAATCCCGCGAAATGAATTTTACCTTGTTCCAGGGTTGTAAAGTATTGAACTTCGCTTGAATTTCCCAATTTATTTCGCGAATATCGTCTTACGGAGTACTTGTACGTGGTATAGGAGGGAAGACTACAGATCTCGACTCCACTGGTGAGGTTGCAAGTCATATGCGTTGCATTGGATTTTCCAACAACTGTATATGACACTTGGTAACCTCGTATCGCTCCACCTAACTGCTCCACTGGAAAAGGGTCCCACTTGATTCTGACGCAAGAAGTTGTTACATTTACTACAGAAACGTTTGTAGGTGGGGCATCTAAAAAAAAGGAGAGTTCATGACTAGTTGGAAACAGAGTAACAGAACGACAAGTAAACGTAACCTGAGGCCGGTCAACCTTCAGCCTCGTTCTCAGTCATCCTCGGCGAATTCGGGTACGACGTCACCAACGACTATCGCGTTTGGTTCCAAGCCTCTTCCGCTCACTAGGATAGCGCGAATTGGCTTGAGGACGAGGCTGGTCAACCTTTAATGTCCACCTTAAAAAAGTGTTCACTTTGTAAAGAGTTTGATAACAGACAAACAGTTGATGCTCAGCAGAGACTTGTTAACCCTTTAAGCCCTGAGAGTGATCAGCATCAAATTTCTCCTTGTAATGTCAATGCTTTGTAAAACAGAGTTTTTATGAGAATTACGGACGTGATCACACAAAATGAATTTGCTTGATATTTTATCAACTTCTCCCCACTACTTCTGTGGTAAATGAATAGGGGCAACAAATGAGAATTCAAATCTTGATCTTAGGGTTTAAAGGGTTAACCGCTGATGTCCACCCTAGAGAGGAATTCACTTTACAGACCGTTTTGAGAGAGACAAACACGTGATACTCAGATGACATCGTTGATCGGCTGTTCATCATCTCCAAAAGGTTATTTCCCTTTTATAGGGCTCTATAAACTACAAAACATTCAGTCTTTCCAAAAAATAACTACTCTCTTCAGGCTCCCTTGCGTTGTCAAACTCTCTCCAGACCCTTCGTATGACCAGCGAAAAAGGAAGGTTGTTTATTAATCTAAGTGTTTCGTTACAGATAAATAGTAAAATCAAGTTTTCCATGGAGTTGCAGAACGTGTTCATGATGTAAGAGAAACGTTCCTTGCACATGAAGATGGAATCCCGCTTTACTAACACTCCGTTTACACGACCTCGTTATAGAGAGAAGTGTGACGTCAAGTTACCTTGGTAGCAAATTTCTAGATCTCAACAAACCGTGGTACTGCAAATATGCCAGAAAAAAAAAAAAAACCGTGTCTTCACCCCACTACCCAAGGGGGTTGAGGGGAGGGGCGAAGAGACGAGTGACACTTTGGACTATTCCTTACCTAGGGTAGTGGTGACTGTAATGGTTTCACTCTCCTTCCCTACTCCAGCAATAGCGTAAGCAGCGACAGATATGTTGTATGTTCCCAATGATTTTAATTCTGTTATGCTGGCGAAATTCTGAAGAGCATTGATAGTGATGATATTGACCTCCGCACCTCCCGCAGGTCTGATAAGTACCTTGTAGCCCTGGAATACCTCCCACTGGGTCGGAGAAAGGCTGGGATCTTGCCATGCGATATCAATACCTGTATCAGTCACGCGGGTAACGCTAAAAATTTGCGGAGGCTCAGATGGTACTGAAATAAAGTAGAACTGACGATGAGAGTCACGGTACTACTAGCGTGCAGAACAGGCATTACCCTTTCGCGTTTTTCATGTTCGCTTATTCGCAAGAGTAAAGGCAAACGGGGCAACGTAAGGTCCCTATCACTTTAGAAAAAATAATACTTGACCGTTTTGAAGTTTATCCGCCCGGTTAGCTCAGTTGGATAAGCGCCGGTCTGCCGTGCAGGAGGACGCGTGTACAAACCCCGGCCGGATTAACACTAAGGGTCTTAAAATAACTGAGAAGAAAGTGCTGTCTTTGTTGCGACATCTTCAAATGGTTAGACATTCTTTGGTCTTCTTGGATAAGGACTAAAAATCATAGGCCCCGTCTCATAGTTCTTTCACTAGTCTGATTCTTGTGGGACGTAAAAGAACCTTCCCCGCTGTTCGTAAAGAGTAGGGGGCGTAGATCCCGGTGGTGTGGTACAACCTTTCATGGGCTGGGTGGATAATCGACGGGTTGATATCAATTGGCAAGTAAGTCCTGTTTCATCCCCTGTCACCGTGTTGAGTCACCGTTAGTAGTAAATTTCAATTAAGTTGCCCGGTGTATGCGATTAATGAGCCAGGAACTGAACAACTAGGAAATTCCTTTTGGTATATATTCATTTTGTTCTAATGAAATTATGGTGGGGGCGGGGGGAGGGGGGTGGAGGTCAAGCTTATACTAGGCGGGAGAAGTCTCCGGCCTCAGGGATATACGTGTCAGGCCTGTCAGACAATGGTTTAAGTTCATATCTGAGTTCCTTACCAAATTGTGCTGCCAGTTCAATTAACTGAAGAGGCATGTTATAAAGATATCCTGTTCTAGAAACAGTGTCATTCAGATCTTCAATGAGCCTGAAGTTCTTTACATTGTATTCAATGTCGAAGCCTGCTATCACACTTCCAGAACTAAGAAATAAAGAAAAGAATGATCAACACATGATTATGAAGAATACAGCAAAAACGTAGCATACACAAAAAGGAGAGAGATTTATAAAGCTATAGGCGAATACTTGTTTACATTTTTTGCTCATTAACATACGCTTGTTATTATCTGATGAAGCAAATAAAAATAAAATCTCTGAATATTGAAAGGGCTTAACAATTTCAGTTATCTCTGAAAATTTGAGCCCGATATACCGAATAGATTCGAAGAAATATTCTTTAAAAAACCCCCAGACTTTACAAAGAATGTATGAGCTCATTAACGTTTTTGCCTCCCAGCAATTTCGCAGCTTTTGATTGCCTATATTTCCTTTGTTATTGAATGCAAACAGCTGAAAATTGCACTAACAAATTAACCAGTTCTTTCAACTTTTAAACCTAAATTGTACATACGGCGACGTCGTCTACGGATTAACTTGTATGCTAATGAGCAAAAATGAACATTGACGTCACCAAGGATTCGCCTATAGGTTGCTGTAATTTGTTTTTTCATTGAATGCCATTTGATGAAAAGGACTATCATAACTCGTCACACCATCTAAAAGACATAAAAAAGAGAGCAACAAAAATCCGCGAAAATGTTATAATTTATTAGAGAAAAATTAAAGAGGGCAATAAAAATCAACAAAAGTTATTAGCTGCTGTTCATAAACAGAAGATCTGCGAGGAAAAGGAAGGTGAAGGTGAATTAATGAACATCACGTTTACTTACCTAAAGGTAGGCGTACCAACAGAAACATTCACGCCAGGATAAGGTGTATAAAAACTTGTCACCTATCATGTTACGAGAAAAAAAATCCTCTATGATGCCTCGATCTAAAAATGCAAATTATTTTTAGGGGCATAGCCAGCTTTTCGACTAGTTTAGCCCTGGCTGAATTTCATCTCCCCTTCCCCCCAAAATTTAACGCATGACTAGTACACGCACTGACCTCACCAACACTTTGACCTCTTAAGCTTTTTGCTCACCCCAACAACGCATAATTTATTACAAGCTGTAGAGTGATCAAACCGAAAATTGTAGGCCCGGGCCTACAGGTCTATGGGCTAGCTACGCTCCTGATTTTCACATAGATAGACACGCATGATAAAAGGTATGCTTGGCCCCACTGTTTCTGTAATAAAAAAAGGTTAGTAGTATATTCCTCTCTTAAAAATTATACTTGCTTTTTTAAAAACAAGTTCCAAATTCCAAAATTTCACCTCAGCTATAACACACTCCTCCCCCGACGAGTTGACTCCCGACTCTCATCCCCTCCCCCAGAGTCTGTACGGTCAGCGTTCGGTCGTGCGCTCTCGTCATAACCAAATTTTGACGGATGGATAGATCAACAAATTTTCTTAGCAAGGGGCTCCGCTTGCGCGCTCTCCGCATCAAGCAGCTTATGCATAAGGCTATGTTCACATCATGCCGGATAAATTTTCTTGTCGGTATGCTATGAACACCTATCCCGCGATATATAACACTTTAGAGATCGACGCGGCGCAGCTTCGCCACACAAATCGCACCAAAATCACCGTTCTTATGTGTGAACAGAAGTCCAATCCAGTATGGTTTTTGTGTCGGCACGAATTTTAAGCTGTCCAAGCAGAGTGTGAACATGCAGTTTCAGTGAAAATTTTCTGCACTCATTCCGTGTGTCCTCGGGATTGTCCCCGGGATTTTTTTGTGCTCTCATTGAGTTTCATCGTCACTCTGCCTTTGGCCGATTTATTCGAGATTTCGCCAATTAAAATCGCACCTAATCTTAATCAACCCTTGAGGGGCAAGGGGGCACCATGCTTATAACCACCCGACAACTACTCAAGTACTCGCTCCTTCCAGACATTCAAAGAGAAGTACAGCATTATGGCAAAATCTTTTAGTTCGTAGCTTAAGTCCACTTACATTGCTGATAATATCGTTTGCAAGCGTATTGTGTCTTGACGTTCCTGGAATGAGTAAATCATCATGCCAGCCATATTGCTCTACCCGCACCTTACAATGAACATTGAACGGGAACATATCTGAAGCAAAAATAGAGAATAGTTTACACCACATAGAAATAATATGTCGTGGTTATGAATAAAGGAAAACACTCTCAGAGCGTGTTTCTTTGACCGAATAAAAAATACACAGATGGGATGTCATTTAAGACACGCAAAAAACAGAATCAGATTCAGCATCAGAATGCTCTAAACATCAGAAGATTGTATGTTCGGAGGAGTTTGAACCCCGTTAAGCAGTAATCTGTACGGTACTGTTACATCCTCAGTTATTTAGAAAATGAAATGTTGAAGCTCAACTCTGGCCTTAGTCATTTCTAATAGTGAGAAGTTCTCAAACAAAATGGGAAACGCATCAAAGAGAATGCTGTAAACGTTAGAATACTGTATCTTCGCGAAAGAACGAAGCTCTTTTAACAGTGATTTATTTAGAAAACGGAATAATGAATATAAATCTGACAATGACTTCTGCGACTGAGAAGTTTTCAGACAAAAAGGGGCATGTGCATTTGTAAACTTACTCATGTGAATCAAGGATAATTCGCTGATTTTTTTATCAGACAGTGCGAAGTTCCATATGGCTACTTCAGCAAAGGTAGCCCGAGCAAACACACCAAATCCAGCTCCCAAGGAAACAAACGATGATACAAACTGTGGTGCAACCAGGCTGCTACACCCCTCGTCTCTAAGGAAATCCGTCAGTTTCTCTCCGTTTTTGTGTATTGTAAGAATACGTGGAGTAACTGTCGCGTCGAAGGAAATTACAAGATATGACCAGATCTTCGCAGGCACGATAATTTCTTTGAGACAATACGTCGCTGAGCGTTGTATGCGAATAATCAAGGCGTCATTGCTCTCCTGATAGAGTATAAATGAGCCAAAAGAGTTAAAAAGAAATTGTCGTTGGCCATCTTCTCTGTTCCAATACTTGAGCCACAAGGCCACCGTGAAACCAGAGCAAGTTTGGGAGGCGTTAATGTTAACTGTTGCACACGAAACACCGGGGCGATCTAGAAGTTGAATTTCACCGCTAACTCCATCTGTCAAAAGGCCACTCATAATTTGTACACCGCCAATCGCTCGACCCCAGGTACTCGTCTTCACATCTTCGACGTTGTCAACCGATTCCAGCGGCCAGAGATGGGAACAGTCCTCGAAGAATTTGTCTACAGTAAAGATAAAATACTATTCAATCCAATGAAAACACCAACACACCAACTATCGTTGACTCACCTTAGTTGTTCATAAATTAATGTTTTACTTACGATTGAGAATTGCAAGGAATTCAGCTTAAAAAACAGTGTCGAGTTCTCCAAATAAAAGCTTGCTCTATTCCTAGGTTAACTGTAAAGAAGTACTTGAGTTGCAATGGCAACCAGCCCTGAATCTAAACAAATAATAGTCCTTGTAGTCTGTGGGAAAACATTACTTGGCCTAGGAACAGACTATTTCCCAGACTATTGTTTTGTTTTCGAAACGATAACAGGGAACCTTACTATTAAGCCTCTTAAACACAAAATGGTTTCCGTGACAGTAGCCTGAGATAAGGTGCAATTTTAGCAGTTTCCATATACTCTCTCTTACGTGGTATTTCATTTACGAAGCCAAACGAAAATAGAGCCGAATCTCAGGTTACCGAATAGGTGTGTAGGCGACAAAATTTAACAAGCAATCTGAATGACAGAGAATTAAACTGGAAAAATGCATCCATTTTCAGCGGATTTCATCGACTTACAGAGTTGACACTGTAGACGAGAATGATTTTCCACGCTACAACGACAACCGCTCCTAACTTCATCACAGTAGTGTTTGAATGGACACGGCCGCTGACAAAGAGATCCTGCGAATAATAAATAGGCAATGCGATAAATAACAATTAAACGGATGGTCGCGCTTTTATGCGTACCCTTATTAGAACGTATTAATGCACGCATGTTGCATCAGCAAAGGGAGCCAAGCAACCACGATAGCGACGGCAACGAGAGCAGCCAAAAGATGCTTCATAAATTAGCGAGAAACACAACTCTTCTGGCTTGCGCCAAGGCATGCAGGTGAAAATTTCATAGGATCGAGGCTGGCTTGGGATCGCATTTTCGAATCCCGCAAGGCAGCGTGGGAAGACAAAGAACCTGGCGCTCTCTTCTCCATCTTCCCATAATCCTCTGCATTAACCGAATAAAGCATGAACCTCATTTGTTCCCGTACCCACCGGGTACAAAAAAAGTGACAAAGTGTGATCCAAACACCATCGCTTAAAATGCACAACGGAGCATATGTACTGTGTTCACGGGCCTACCTCCAGGTGCCTTGAACAAGACTTCTATGTTACTAACGGTGAAATTCGACTCCCCAGCCAATATTTTTGTCAGGTCCGAGTCTAAAGCACTGTTACTGTCTGTATAAGATGTAGAATGGTGACTAGTGCCTTCCTTCATGCTACCGTCGGCGCCTATTTGAAAATCAAACGGAGCTTCACCAAAGGTGGGACCGGTAGATGAAGAGCTAAATATTGCATTAGAGGATGAACCTTGTGCGACTTTCTTCTTGAAAAGGGAGCCTTGCGAGGTGTTATTCAGAGAAAAGATGAACGCCTTGCTATCCATTTTGTAACTTCTCGAGGAACCTAAAAAAACAAAAGATATTAAACTTATGAAGGCAAATTTTTTTTAACAGTTATTATCACACTTAAAAAAGTAAAAAAAGAAACATTAGGCAGTAAAAAAAATAAACAAAAAAAAAAACAAGAACAAAATCAAAATCGTCAGCCGTTTCACCGCCAATGAAAAAGAGAAAATGTTGCTTGAAGCAACCGATTTGATTAAGTGATAACCAAAGATTACGGATTGCCTTCTATCAAACACCATCTACTGCTCTCTCCCCATGGATGTCACGTCGTTCCTCTGCGTCGAACGCAAAGTATAAAGTTTTGTACCTAAAACTTCTCGAGTTTCAGGAAATAAAGAGTTTTAACAAGCGCGACAGCAAAGGCAAGCAGAACGAAACAGCAACAACAAAAAGGTTAAAACAAATTTTATGTCTTTAGATTGGTAGATTTTTCTTGTCCTCTGCCAAATATAAACTTCAAATAATCCAGTTCCAGGCTTGGTGGTGAAGGTGTAGACGCAAATTATTTAAAGGCTAGTTTTCCTCTCTCCCGGTGAACTAGAAATCCACGACTAAAAATTCACACCCTGGACATTTCAGCCCATTATTTAAACAAGCAAAAGTGGAACATGAACAATTTGAACATAATTCCGTATATTTTGAATTACTTTTTCAAGTGACAGTATTTCTGGTATAGCTGTTAGGTGGTCACGTGGCCTCATACTTACATGAAGACGGCTCCAAGACTTTAACCTGGCCATCAACTTTCTCCTTCAAATTAATCCACTGAAACAAATTCCCTAGGCCTTGTCCACAGTTTCGATCAATAGAAGCTACCTCCGCCTCGGAAAGATAATAATTCCAAACATTTAACGAAGTTATCCGTCCAATAAAAGTAAAAGTAACATCCGGCCAATATGGCCGACTCCCTATGTGTAAGATTCCATGCGGAATGGTTTTATTGGCAAAAAATGGCTGTTTTCCTTCTCCCTGCAAGATGGCGTCCTTGTAAATCGCCCAGTTACCTTCGCTACTTTTCCACTGGACCGTAAATTGATGCCAGTAGCCATCCATTACACTTACAGACCCACTTATGGTCCTAGAAAATTTAGTAAAACCGTGTTAGAACTCGAAATTGTAAAACATCGTATTCTTGAAACATGCCTAAGGTTATATTCACACTGTACCAAATAGCTTTTCGAGCCGCCACGGAATGCCATCCAGTGTAGCATGAACACCTACCCGATATGTGACTCTCCGCTTTAGAAATCGACGCAGTGAAGCTTCGCTCCGTAACAGAAATCGCCCCGAAATCATCGTTTTTATGTATGAACAGAAGTCTTATCCGGTACGGTTTTCTTGCCGGCACAAAAGCTATCCGGGATAGCGTGACCACAGCCTAAAACAAATACTCCTGGGATTTGCATGCGCGCGAGAAGCTCGTGATACCCATAAATCCTTGAGGCCTCATGGTTCATGTGGTTCATACATTCTAAGCTACAACGTTTTTGTCAATCAGGTATACAAGTATAAATAGTGAGGATCACTGTTTGTATTCTCTCACAAAATGAATTATTCATTTTTTCAACAGGAGGCAGCGTGGCTGAGTGGTTAGAGCGCTGGACTTGTAATTCGGAGGCCTCCATTTCAAGTCCCACTCTGACCGCTTGCTGGATTGTTCATGGTAGCCGCGAGTTCAAATCCTCGGCCAATTTTGTAAATAGCCAACTGGTTTGCCTCTGGCAGTTGGGATTCTTAACCCTGTTATGTTTGATTTGAATTATTTGTTTCAGGCATTTGCTCGGCCCCACTAGCATAAGTGCTATAAATACTGCCGAAGGTAAATAAAGAAATTATTTATTTATTTATTTATTTATTTATATAATTGTTCAATAAATAACCAAGAAACGAGAGGTGGTTTGTTGGTACAAACAAGAGACTGACAGACAAACAACTGAACAGGGGCACCCAACGGGAAATTTTGAGAAAAAGACCTAAAAACAACAACAAAGCGTGAATGAAGTTTTCTGAGACTATTTTAAGCATTTTGGGAGATTGCTGGAAAAAAATTATCTGTTCCTCACTCCCAGCAAGACTGATGAAAAAGTTCCCAGCCAGCAACCTTACAACCTGCAACCTGACTTACTGGGAAGTTTCATAGGGCACAATTCAGATCTTGAGTGGTAAGTAACCCATACAAGTAACCCGTAGCAGCTATTCTAGACTTCAAATCCCCTCTGACACCCTGAATTATCTTTTTCCCAGCAACACTTTCCTTCCAAGGACTATTATTTCTTTCACATCTCCCAGCCAGCAAAAATATGCCTGAAGAACAGATATTTTGAGGAACAGATCCATTGGGTGCCCCTGACTGAACAAACAAACAAATAAATAACCAAGCTAAAGCGCAGTTCAGTTAAAAAATTCTTTGAAAACGACTGGATCATGCAGTCCTGATTCCAATTTAATCATGTTCATATATTATTCATGCCGTTGAATTTAAAACTACTTATTCTTACTCGCAAAAAACATCAGGATCAAGCTTGAAACAGAGTCTCGGAGACCGTCCACCATCTACTAGTTTGAAGTTCACGTAGACTGTGTTGTTGCCAAGCCAGAATAATATGGGTTTGCCGCTTTTATTGATGCTCTTCATCCAGAGCGACACCGTGAATTCTGAGAGGTTTGCTGTTAATTTGTCTTGAATGTGATCATCAGCGTTTCCTTGCATGAAATACACATCATAGCTTAAACGAGCCTGACCTAGGAGTAAATAGAGTTTAACATAACATTTTTGCCAAGGACGCTCATTACAAATAGGAAATCCTGGGAACTATTATCTCTTGGAACAAAGGCGCCAACTCGAGACTAATTTGACAAATTGCAGTGATTTCTGTGAAGACTTCTACCCAAGCCTCTACCGCTTTATATTGAGCGCTCGCTGGAGTTTACTGCATTTAAGGAGCAGGAATTCGTTCTGGTGAAGCTAAAGCTAAACGCATATAGACCCGTTCAGACATATCACAATATTCCCTATTAGATAGCGATAACCTTTTGTTAGCGGGCACGCTAATTCTTTCATGGAAATTGCCATTTTCGGTTATGTTAATGAAGTACCAAATAAACGCATATAGATCTTTCTTCAAGGTTACAATACTCTTCTATATGCAACGTTATCTGCACACAGCCAACACGCAGGTTTTCTAAGATTTCTGAGAGTGCAGTAACAGAAAAGTGAGCTTATACATATCACCCCATCCCCACCCAGAAAGACTCGGAAGTAGTCTCCTAAGTGAAAACAGAGATAAGTTGTATCCTCAATATTTCCCAAACAGGTAGTGGGTGGGTAGGAAAACTCTCAAGTTAGACTCGCATGAGAGCAGTTATTGCCTTCGGTTTGGCTAGGGTCACACAGCGGAATTAAGAAATTGTGTTGTGAAGGTAGAACCCTAAAATGTTGAAAACCCTCGAGTTTTAAGCCATCATAGTCGACTCTCTCTTAACGGACACCTCTATAAGACAGACACCTCGGTAAAACGGACACCTAGAGTTTCTTTCCCGGGGGGGGAGGGTACTCCCTTATATAAGCCACATAGCTATGTGCCGCCCAATCGGGTAATCAATCCTACTGATGGTTAAAAATAAGCAATGATTAATACGTTTCAAATTATTTTAAACATTTAATTCAAAAGGAATCAATGATTAATTTCAAGTAGCTTTTGCAATACTGTAATACTTTCTTCTTGTCATACCCATAAAGCTTATTGGTTTGAAAACGGGTATAAATTTTGCCCATTTTGGTCTGGAATCGGGTATGGTTTTCGAGGGAACTTGGGGGGTGTACGAACGTATTTATCGTTTCAGTTCCAAATGAGTAAGAAATAAAGAGAAATATGCGAATATGAAATGGATTTGAAGAATTTATTTTTTTGGTTGCGCTCTCACCTAGGTAATGATGACATGATTTCTGCCTAAAGGCCAGGTCTGAAAACGGGTATGGATTTTCGAGGTCTGGTCTGAAAACGGGTGTGGAAAATGACATTTTTTGGTCTGAAATAGGGTCAGGATTTAGGGAATAGGGCGGCATACCCCCACCAAGAATTTCCAGGGGTACCCCCCGGGCTTTCTTTACCCCCTTTATTTGACTATCCATTAAACGGACACTAAGTGCCGGCCCCAAAGCTATCTGTCTTAGAGAGAGTTGACAGCAGTGCCTGGCATGCACGTGGCTAATACTAAGTTGAATGTACTTAAATCGATCACTTTTGGCTTAGGTTGATGACAATTCATGAAGTGAAAACAAAATCACATACATGATGATGGATGCAGTAGCTTGACTTCGCCGAATACGTTTTCTCTGGCGATTATTTCATGCCACTGGAACATATTTCCCTGGGTTTCACAACCCTGAGAAGCAATTTCTATCTTGGACAGCTGGTAATTCCACATGTTAAAGGAGGTGATAAGTCCTATAAATGAACCAGTTCCACTCGATGCGGACCGATCATGAAGACTTTGTCCAATGAAAAGATATCCGGAGAGAATTTGAGGGGACCAATAATAGTCTGTAAATTCCCACATAAATGTACCATCCACGTAGAGTTCGCCCTTTATGTCTAACAACTTCCACACAACTGCGATATGATGCCAGGAGCCATCTAATGGATTTGCACTTAAGTTATATTTGTAGCTGTGAAATAAAAATTGACAACGGTTTTTTTTATTTCTCTTAGACACATATTAGGAAGCATTTGCAGTGTTTTTGGAAAACTATAGAATGTGGTAGAGGCGGTAGTGGTGTTGGTGGTGGAAAAATAAAAATATTGAGGAGGAGCGAAATTATTGAATTCTGGAAGAGCTGCATGGAGGGAGAGGTATTTTAAACTTGTGTTTCGCGCTAGGAAGAACTAGTTTGCCGCAATGTGCACTATTTGCGCGCCAAGAATGAGTAAACCGGAACTATGGAACAATTTTTTTTCTGTAATAGAAAAAGGAAGCGACATGATTTAGAACTTAGATGCATATATTTCCGCTCAGTATTTTAATTCACGGGCAAATGAACGCTTATCGGCCTTCGACAACATGAATCAACCAATGAATACTTTTCGTAGTTTCTTGTCAACCAATAAAAAACCAAGACTTTCATTAACCTAAAATTTACTAAAAAACCTGTCAAACCGGTTGAACCACCGAAAATATCACATGATCTTGTCTCAGTGAGATTCTTCTGAAAGGCTATAACGTCATTGGAGTTAATGTATTCCCCCGCAAGTTAATGAGAGTCCCGCGAAGAAAAGAAGGAGTAACTGGTCCCTATTATCCTAGAGCTGACTCTCTCTTAACGGACACCTAGAGACGGACACCTCTCTTGGACGGATACTTAGTGCGCTTTCCACTTGTCAGAACTGACCGGCCAGACAATTACCGTCGCAATGATAATTTCCAAACTCTCCAGCCAGATCAGTCAAATCCTAAATAGTATGCTCGAAGGAGATAGGTTTTTAGCAAAAACTCTTGGAAAAAGCCTATTTGTTTTTCAAACAGACTGGTCGGGCAATGGTCCGGCCGGCCAGTTCTGACAAATGGAAAGCGTCCTTTGTGCCGGTCCCAAAAGTGTCCATCTAAAAGAGAAGTAACTGTACTTCGAATTGTCTCAAATCGCTGCTTTGTTAAAAAAGGGATCAATTTAAGTTTCTTGGAAACTGCCCACCTACCTCTCCCCTAACCCAACATTTTCCCTAAGTGAGACGTAAGTGTTAATGTTGACTTATGGGAGGGGTAGGTGGGCAGTTTCCCAGAACCTAAATTGATCCAAAAAGACTACCTAGCCATATATTGTTATCTTACACACTGACATACCTCCAACTTTTTCCAACTGAACGAAAAAGAGCGGCCCCTGCCGTGATCCCTTCATTATAGTTAACTCGATTTTGTAAATTAAACTGTATCATCTCTGCGTCTGTCCGACCGAATGTGAAGAGAGATAACGGAGTGTCAGCAGAGGTCTTTATCCACATCGTTGCCGTAAGGATATTGACAGGTGATGTCCAAGGAACTTTTAAATAATCGTCCCTGTTTTGTCTCGTGAACGACAACTCATAAGACATCTCCGAAGTGTCTAAAAATAAAACGTAAACAAAATGTTGCGCGGAATTCCAAAGCACCCTTAATAGCACCCCTTGTCTAGCCTTGGAGTTTTTTTTCCATCATGCGTAACTGAACACAAAAAACAGTCTGCAACCCAAACAGAACTTGGTAAGCGAAGACCACCCTAGGTGAAATAAAGAGGTCTACAATCGATTAATTTAGCACGAGGTAAAAAAGAAAAGGCATCGAGCCATCCAGGACTTAATGTGTGATGCGCGCCAAAAAAAAACTAAAAAAAAGTCTCCTTCATAGGGCCCGGCAAAACAGAAAGTGGCCGAATTCTCAAGGGAAATAAGAAACAGGTCTTAACTCGCGCTCACTTGCTTAATCTCACGTGGACAATGAAATTCTTCGAATTTCTCAGTGCCTACGTGCTTGAAATAGAGGCATTGCAGGGAAGGTCCCGCGCCACCCCAAACTTAAACGTTTACGCGCGATACTTTATTCCGTGAAGGTGGAAATCCACCCTCAGAGAGTCAACAGTCCATTCTACAGTTACAGGTGCAAACGAGGCTGGAGTTGGTCTTGTTTTGATACAACCCTTTTCACTTTAATATGTAAATTATATTATACTATGTTACGTTATGTTATATGGAAGTCGGGGACCCCAGGTAGGTGAGGTAACCCGCCTGTCCATACAATTTCTCATTTTAATTTGATCACGTTTACATGATAGGTGGGGTGACCCGCCACATGTTACCTCACCTACCTGGGGTCCCCTACCTTCATGAAAACAGGCCCTAATATTTTATAAGCACGATTTCCATAAGAAAACAAAGAGTTTTATATCAAAAGAAAGTCAACCTCAGCCTCACATTTACTCAGAGGCTAGGCTACTGAGCCCATAACCGTAAAATGTTCTATTCGTGCCGCCTGCCGCAAACTTAGCTGAGGCTACACGTCGCAAACAACAATGACATTCTGGGCGATGGATTTACCTTCCCAGCGTTTTTCTGTAAATCCACCGAAGAGATAATTGTCTTTTCTGACAATGGTGAGGGTGGGGGCCATGTTGTCACAGAGTTCATGAAATGAGGAAACATTCCAGCCATGGCGGAGGGCGACATAACATGGGATCCACAATGATGAGTCGTAGCCTTCTTCAATCAGCATCCTACTCAGATGCTGATGATGAACGCTGTTCCTTTGTATAATGGAAGAAGTTATTGCTGTTGGAAAATAATGATAATAAAGATTAATAAGACAATATCGCTTGACAATAATTCGACGTAGACCATTCGCCATTCGCCATTCGCCATTCGGGGCGGATCCAGGACTTTTGCACTCGTCTCTTGCTCTACTTCAACACCAATAAACCACATAGTTTTTTTTTTTTTTGCAGAATACCAGTTGTATTAGAAAACCGCAGGTCATCTCAAGGAGGGGGGGGGGGGCGCACCCCCTGCACCCCCCCCCTAGATCCGCCCCTGTAGTACTCGTTCAAACATGTTACAACACATGACAAACAACAAGTTTAAAAAGTGAATTCGCGTTCATTGAAACCTCCATGGCGATTATCTCAACTCGCTTTTTTTTTCAAATATAGGCGAATTCTCCCGGACTTGAATCCCTAAAAAAAATATCCAGCTTTAAAAAGAGAAATTCGTCGTCGTTTCACTACGTTCTCGATTATTGCGAAATTAGGCAATTCACGTCATAGTTGTGCAGCGACAGAAAAGACATGTGCAAAAAAGTGTACTGCACGTGCAAAGTTATTGTTACTGCCTCTAACGCTTTGAACCCGCTGCACTGGTTTCTGTGTTATATGACTATTGTTTATAATTCTTCCCTTCTTGGCTACTGACCAAGCCTCAGGACCTCTTTTCGTAACAGAAAGTGCACAGTCCTTACCCACTCCCGGGCTGTCCGGTGAGGCGTGTGAAGGAACCAGAGTGCACCTTTCCTGAGTGAAGGCAATCTGATCAATAGCAATATCGCCATAGTAACCATGACTTTTCCTTGCTTCAAAAAATACCTAAAAATAATAATCAAATAAGTCACTGACTGAACTTGTGTGCACAAGGGTTTCGGCAATTTCTATCATACCGGTTTATGTTCTCTTCATCTGGGTAATCTTAGCAAAGAGCGTGTTTAAGCGGTTAAACCTTTTTTTTTCAGCGTCTCAAAGATGGCCTGTAGCTGGCAAAAACAGGAAGAAAAGAACTGGCCACTTCACAAGGCATACTTGGCTTCTCTCAGCTTTCCTATCAATGAAACCCAAGGATCCAAGTCTTATGAACAAATACGTAAAAATTCGCACTTGAAGGTGTTACGTTATAGTTAAAGATTTTGGCCATATTTTGACTGCATACTGAACCTCATGGTTTTAATATTATTTTAATTTTCTTCAAACTCATTATCATACCAGACTTAAAAAACGAAACAAAATTTAACTATGGATAAAATTGGGAACACAACATACTCGGAACCATACACTGTATCTTGAGGAACAGATTTACCTCATAATACAGATCAGTAATTTCAACGGGGATACGAGCCTCCTTCCAAGTGCTATTCTGGTCTCCAAAAAGCCTCCACAACATCCTGTCTTGTTCGTGAAGGTCTCTGAAATAGACGTTGAGCCTTCCAATTTGCACACCCCACATGCGATAATAAAATTTAACACACGTGTATGACGAAGATATTTTTAGAGGGATGACAAGTCGATCGGCGTGCTCATCATATTGCGTCGACTTCCAGGAAACATAAATATCACGCCCTGGAAGAAAAACAAAATGTGATAACTTAGCTGTGACCAAAACACAGCGTGACCCGAAAGAAACATGCCTCAGAGGGTATTTCTTCCGCCAAAGAATCTCCGTAGAACGAGAGAAATAAGGGAGGAAGGAAAAACAGCAGCATGCTCTAACCATCAGAGATCAGAAAAGTCATAAATAATCGCAAATCGAAGGAGACTGGACTGAGGTAAAAGAAGTGAAATTTCTATCATTTCTGTTTCTGTTTCGTGTGGTGTGTCATTCACAGCACAATGTACGCAAAATTGTTGTAAAAGCTCCACTTGCAACAAAGTCCTTTTAAAACTCACTGTCGCTAAAGCGGTGTTTGTAACGTTGCATTTGATTTAAAGTAGATCCTTTTTGATTTTCGCAGCCCAAGTATGCCGTAAGTATGATTCTGAGTTTAAAGGCACAACGTGTTATTCTATAAAATTGATTACATGAGTCTATAACAAATTATTGGGGCCTGTGATTGTGCAATAATAGGAGGAGTGAACTGCAGTTGAAAGACTATGCTAGTTAATTGTCTACCGCTGTGGTGAAAGTAAGTGGAACTTGTTTGTTAATTAAGAAGAAAACGAACACGATTGTCAGCACCTGACGGACATCCCAAGAGTTCCATCCTCATAGAAATATGGTCACGCCACGTCTTAGGATGCACCCGAATGTAGCGTGCATTTATGGAAGGGTGCAAAACGTTCAAAACCACGGTGTCGCGATCCGTGTTTCCATTAAAGACCTGGAGCGAGAAAATATAATGTTAAGGTTAAACTAGTAATAGACTTTTGGAGCTAGCATAACAGAGTTGCTACGTTTTTGATGTGGGTCTGAGGTCTTGAAAAATTTTTATGTTTTAGTGGGTCGAAATTGAATTAGTTAATTGGTTGAGTTTATCTTGCTACGATTTTCATTGGTTTACGTACCTTGCTGTGCTGATAAGGCCTATAGGTGGTGCCGTCGCTGCTGTAGGAGATAGTAAAGCTCGTAACCCATTGATCCCAGTCTTGTCGTCCCTGGATCTGTATTCCTGTCACCTCGGTTTCAGCTCCAAGATCCACTTGTAGCCACTGATGAACGTCATTTCTGAGGGCGGACCATGCGCCACTCTTACCTCCTCCAGCCTTGAAATTGAATCTGCCATTAGTGGCGCCGTATCCAGCCTCGTATTCGGTTGAAGCTGTGATTTGGCCATCAGTTATTTTTCTGCTCTCCATCCCGAGAGGGTCGGAACATGCTATGCACAGAGAAGACGTTGTTATTTCAAGGGACTATAGTGCAAGTTTAAACTCAATTGTTTTGCACGATTATTGCGTTAAGGACTTGCAATTTGGATGCCTACTTCAGGGATCCATATTCATTTTTTTATCAGAGTCGTCAGCCGGGCAAGTAAGCCTGATGGTATACTTGCCCGGTTGCAATTTGGGTTGCCCGGACAAATGTGCAGAACTATGAAAAAAATAGCGATAAAACGCCTTGGAACTTAAACATTTATGATTTGCATTTTATTTCCGTTAATAGTTACTAAGAAAGGGTTTTAACGAAACTACAAAGTACAATAGATACAGGCCCGAGGCTAAACACAGTTTCTTCACGTTTTACAAGTATTTGTTTATTAAACTGTCTACTTGTCTCTCTGTCAGTTTGAAATATCGCGTTCACATGACTAAAGCATAGAGTAAAACCAGTGGGCCTTTATGAAAACACATCATAATTGCGTTTTCATTCAGATTTTATGATATAGTTTTTGCCTACAACGTTATTCAAACTAGTTGCTTCTTCTTTCTAGAAAAAAAGTAGCCGACCTCTATGAGCAACTGAGCCGACGCGTTTCGTCGGCCGTCGATTGGTGCTTGTTGAAACCCCTGCATATATGAATTTTTGAAAAGACCTTGTGGTTGACCAAAACCACACTCGTCCGAAAGACGACTTTTTGGGCCTATCTTAATGGTCCGTGCGAGATTGTAGTCGCCTGGGACGACCGAACGACTGCGAATATGGATCCCTGCAGATTGGAAATATATAGTGTAATCACGAGTACCTCCTCCAACACCATCATCACAGAACCTAGTCCCCTCTATTACAGTGCAGCCGCGGGCTAATTGCCAGTTCCTGAAATTCGCTAGAAATGAAGTCCAGTTCCTCGAGTTATCGTCAAAGGTAAGAAACACTGCAAAACACAGACAAAAGGGCAACTGTAACATGATGAATTAAGATCCAGATCTAAATTAATGGCCATTCGCATTTCAAATTTTAGCATGAGACACACAATACGGAGCATTTTCAGATAACGTCACGGCGGCCATATTGCTGGTTTGCACGTGACGTCACGGCGGCCATGTTGGTGGTCAAGAACAAAAGCATTTCTCTCCTCTGGGAACTAAACTCTATTTTCATGTAAATTCTTCGAGGAAATATTCTTTTGTTTTGACCCCCAACATGGCCGCCTTGTCACGTGGTTGCAAACCAAGAATAGAGTGTTTTCGCTCACGTGGCCAGCATCTATGCAAATTTATTGGAACAAAAGAAAGCGCTTGCATAAGAAAGGAGTTCAACTCCAAGAGGACTGGTTTGGGACACAAACATGGCCGCCGTTTCATTGTTTTCGGACACCAATATGGCTGCCGTGACGTGTGGTGTTGGCGCACCAAGAAAATCCGGTGGGAGTTGAACTCTTTTCTTATGCACATTTTTTTTTTTTTTCATTAAATTTGTATAGCTGATGGCCACGTGAGTAAAAAACGCTTTATGGAATTTCGATGTAAATTTTGTGAAAGTTGTTTGCCCTTAAAATCACGAATCCCTCCTTCATGGGCTATTGACGCAGAGCAGAGCCCATTCGAACTGGAGGGATAATTGCTAATTATCGCGACTACTTTCTGTAAGTAGCAGCATGTGTGAATACCTTCTGAGTTCCGTTCAATCGTCTCCTTGTCCAACGACATGCTCCAAACAGAAACGTCGTCAATCGAAACTGATTTGCCCCAATGTCCGCCGTATTTATCTGAGCTAATCACAGTGAAGAACGGACCATCATTCAATGCATTTAACTGAGATGGACTGGAGTCAGAAGCCACCAGGTCGCCATTGACATAAAACTTGAGCCCGACGTCAGCCCTCCATGTCACGGCGGCGTTGAACCATTCATTAAGAATGAGTGGATGACGTATTTCCCAAACCATGGAGTCCTTGGCAACGATTAAGTGGTACATACCATGGTGAATTTTGAAGTATAAACCGGGTACATTTTGAAACAAATCTACATCAAAGATTTACAGTCCAGATTAGCTAAGGAATTAATACCACATTGTCGCAAGGTTTAAAAGTTTAGGTTCTGGTTGCATTGAAAGAGTATTAAAAGGCTTTAAGACAAGTTGGGCTATGTGAAAAAGAGGACCAAGCAAAACGAAGCTCTCGTAAGCGACCACTCTCTATTGCTTTTCCATGCGACCACTTTTTTGAACTTCCGAGGTGGACGCTTACGAAAGCTTCGACTGTACAATAATTGCCGACGAGCAAGCCGAGCGAAGACGGTCGGCTTGCGAGGAGGCCAGCTTAATGCCACGCGAAGTATTGCAGCAGGCAGAAACATTCTTGATCGTGCTGTGAAAAGCGTAATGTAAGGTGTACATTCCCTGGCGATTTTAGTGGCGTTGGATTTCACGTGTAGTTTCACGTGACTTTTGATGACCTTTGTTGTAAACAAACCTTCAAAGTTCGGCCATTGTTCTCTGCCACACTACTGTGCTTGTACTAACTACAACTCGCTATTTCAAGTTCGCGCTAACCAATAAATGTTATTTCCGTTTCGCTGTTTGAAACTCGACAAGTTTAAGGTTTACAATGTCTAAGCAGAACAATAAGAGCGATTTTAAGGCCAAGAGCATGGCACAAATGTAGGAACGAGGAGTGCTTAGTAGTGGAAATTTTCGCCTTAGCAGCTGAAACGGCTTTATAAACATTGGAACTAAAACCGGTGATGTAGGCAAATTCTTTTTCTTTCGTTGGCACTTAGCGAAAGCTACAACTAGTATAGTAACCAAGCAAAAAGTATTGTCTCTTGAACAACAGGCCTTTTTACAATGTCCTTTGTTTGTCTTCAGTACATACTGGAGAGTGTACGAAAGGGTGACTAGCCAAGATTCTATTAATTCAAACAGTACCTGACAAATCGCGTTTTCCATATAATTCTAACCGAATCCTGCAGTGTTTGTTACATTCGATCAAATGGACGCGAATAAACCTTCCCCTGATGGGTGGTTGCAGCCAGTTTGTGACGGTCATTCCTGGGTCCGAGTTTGCAGATAGCCCCTAGACGAAACAGTCACGTGATTTGAAACAGACATGCATATGATACAAGAATCAACATAACTGCACTTGCAAATTTTAAGGACCGCCTCCAGCTAATGCTCCTCGTCTGAGACTAGGAGATAATCACACCCGAAAAAAGGGAAGCATTCAACAAAGGCTCTGCCCCGAGGTCCAACCCTTCACCCATTGATACACTGGTTATGACAGGAAAGGTATTCTTTTTGTACACCTTCCATTGATAAATGGTACCCATTTCACATAATTACAAAAGAATACTGCATCTTTTTTAACTGCTGTAACTGGTTCGTCTTCTTTATATGAATAAATCGATAAAACAGGGAGGTTTCTTGTCGTAGTACTTAAATCAAAAGCCTTTTCAAAAATGGAAATGACTGATTTCACTACTCTTTCATATACTTAAACTTGTGAAACTTCTACCCATTCATACACCTGAAACCTCAAAAAGGATGCCCTTTGGGCGGAGCCCTTCCCCCCGGTGCAGGTCTTTATAGGGAATTATTTCCCTGAGGTCTGAAACAAAGCGGTGTTTTTGAATTTCCTCTGATTTCAACTTGCAAGGGAAAGTTTGACCACAATTGAGCGGCAGTAAAAAGAGTATAAAGGAAGCTCGGTCCTTATATACGTTATAACCGTGGGCCATAAGTAGTGGCAAGGGCTGCCCAGGGAATACTCAGTTAGTACGCAGGATTTGAATCATGTGATCTAAGTGCACCAATCTGACCAATAAGTCCCTGCATCATGATCCCTTGCGTATTGCAGTCCTAGGGGGCGGAAGCGCACTTCATATGAACCTATTTATTTCTGGGTCTGAAGTCGATTACCTTTTCACCACGGCTGTTTCTATAGAACGTCCAGTCATGCCCATTCGTGCTGTATGACACTTCATATACTTTGGTATACTGTTCAGGTGCTGTCCTTCCTTGGGTTGCGATACAGGTTACCTCCTTTTCTTCCTCTAAATCCACCTACAAAACATCCTGTCATCTCAGAGAAACTCACAGCGTCACCATGGAAACATTGGAAGTTTTGTTAACAATGATTAAGCGATAATTTTTTCTGCAAAGACTTATTTGAGGTTCAACTGTTTCTGAAACACGAGACGCAGTGTTTTATTAGATATTAAAAAAAGGAATAATATATCAAACACGAGAAGGAGATTTACACCTGAAGAGAGTAGGCAATTCGCAATGGAATGACAAAGGGAGCAAGACACCTAATACTGATGTCTACATTAGAGGTATGTCTATCTTACAGACAGTTAAGTTACAAAGATGAAAGTCAAAAATGAATTATTTCATATACACTTCACATCAGTTAAGTTACAGTTAGATAGTTAAAATCGGCTGAGACTCTCCTGAGAAAACAGTGCTTCTAATTGGGGAAATTTGCCTCAGCCGATCGGAAGGTTGCCCAGGTTGGGGAAGTGACAAGCCATCAGTATGGAATTTCTACGCTCGTTCCTCGGACGTCATTACCCGGGCACAGAATTGGTGGAGTCGCAAAATGTCGGCTATTTTCGCAGACCAGTCTGAGACCATCTTACCACTGATGGCCTTCTTACAAAGAGAGTAGTCCGTATGTAAGTGATATGCTTAAGTTATCTACCTGAAACCAATTTCCATCGAATCCATATTGGGGATGTTTATAAGGACCCCAAGCACGCGATGATGAAGTTTGGCCGAGGCGACCAAGGGGGGGCCAGTTATATTCGTTTTCATCAGGATCAATTAACGCGTAAGCGGAGAGACGTTCATTAGGAATGGTATCATCTCCCACCCCGTAAGCTTGCGAACAACCTAAGAGAAACAAAATGAACTTGTTAATTGTGGAAAATTATACAGCACCTCTCTGTAAAAGAAAAAGGAACACCTTTGGGTCATGTCCGCCTTGTAAAGAAACTTCTTTTTAACACTTTAATAAAGGTGTGGGACACGACTATAGCTGAAACCCACATGGTGAATAATATAATTCAAGAAAAATAACGTTCATCAGTATAATAATGAGCGTCTACCAATGGTCCCGCTTATGAATTCTAAGAAAACGGTCGAGCGTTTATAAGCCAATGCGCTTCGATATCGCTGATACTTGCATTAGGGAAGACAGGATGCGTGTCATATTTGAATCTCGTAAACCACTTAGTAAGATCGCCAATCTCAGAGACAGAAAATTTCGTCGGGGAAACATTAAATTATCTTTTGCCATACCTTACGTTATTAATCAACAAGTCTAGTATACTTAACGTTGTGCTGCCTCAACTCCCCCCCCCCCCACCCAACATCTCTCCAATGACCAATTTAGTCTTAACTATATAGCTGTCTATTAGGTTTCTTAGGAGACAGCGAGTGAAGCATACGATCCCGCGAAATATAACGTCCCGCCAGAAGATCCCACGCTCGTGGTGAAGAGAGAGAGAGAGAGACGGGACTATACAGGTTGAAAGCGTATACTCAAAATATCTCAGGCAAGCAATTTCAAACTCTTACCGTCTCTCCACCAGAGAAAAATCACCTGCACTAAACTAACTAAACCGTTAACACAACCATTGCCACGTGGTTTTCCTCTTCTACATGGGCAGCCTACCTTCCTTAGTTCCCTTTCGTTAGCATTCATCGTTGAATTATTTGGTGTTGCTTAATGTAGTGTTACGTAGTATAAATTCTTAACTATAAATGAACTCAATTTTAAAAAATATATGAATGAATGAATGAACAAACGAACGAACAAGTCAAGCACGAACGAACGAAGTCAAGAACGAACGGACGAAGTCAAGCACGCACGAACGAAGTCAAGCACGAACGGACGAACACACGAACGAACGAACTTACGAACGAACGACAGAAGGCAAGAATGAATGCCGGGGATAAAATCGAGATAGAAAACAAGTAACTGGAAACAAACCTGCATCATAAACATACAATTCCGTTTTCATACATTTTACTCCGAGGCCAACCTCAAGACGAACCTTAACAGCTTCAAAAGGAGGGAAGAATGCTTCTGTCAGTATATCCGCGTTTCCATCGATATTCTGACGATTAAAGCGAACAATCTGAAAAAAAAAGGAACATTCAGTAGATACTATGCATTTCGGTTAAAATTCCCACTGCCGCCGTGTCGTTGACAAAGGCAGTCTAGGGACGAAAGGAATGAGACTTAGACGCCGCCTGGTTGCCTCAAATAGATGTGGAGACTGGAGAGAAAGAACACTCAAAATTGAAGGCAAGGCTGGAGGGCGGGTAATTTTTCCGAATATTTCGGTTACGCAAAACTACTATTTATCGGGGGCTAGAAAAGCTAAGTGAACATAGAATAAACGGTTACAATGTTGAAATAATACAAAATTAAAAATAAAATGCGATTGGTGGTGAAAGACAATGGACGGAAACTTATATATATATACTATAAAAATAAAAGTAGGTTAAGTTTCGTCTCGTCTGCTAATTGCCTTTGAAACAAAAAATCCTTCGCGGACTTTACGGATACCATCCTTGTGTGAATTAAGTTCTACAAGGGAATGAGTTATATGTCCCTGATTGAATGGCCTGGAGGAGTGAAGTTGTCTGAAACGGCAGTAGGTTGATAAAGGTGATGGTGCTATAGCGCGTCTGTGCTGTGAAGCGGAACAGTCGGGTATTCCGGGACAGGCCAGCTCTAGCCTTTTCGGATAAGGACGGCGGGGTCCCTCAGTGGAAGCTATGTAGTTTCGTATCATAACCTGAATAAATAATATCGTGAAGCCACCTGTGGGCTTACAAGTATTGCGTTGTTGTATTTCTTAGCCAACAGAGTTTGTTGTTGTTGTTTTGCGTATATAAATTCCGCCAAAAATGTTTGTCTCCATTGGGTCTATTTAGGTTTCCGTGAGAAACCGCCCACCTACCCGTCCCCTAAGCCAACATTATCACTTACTTCTCACTTAGGGCAAAATGTTGGCTTAGGGGAGGGGTAGGTGGGCAGCTTCACAGAAACCTAAATTGATCAAATGACTGCATGTTTCAAGCGTCTTAAGTCCAACGAAACAAGGAGCCCATTCAATTATTTTCCACTACTACTTAAAAGGGAAATTCATACTTTCCGTAACTTCAAAATATATAAAAAAAAAAATGTTAACCTTCTACTTTTACTTATTTATTACTTTAAGAAGCACAATATGGTAAAACACTATGAAATGACAACAATGAATTTAGAAATGAATGAAAACACAAAACAACAAATAGATAGATCTAGATAGTTACATTTACGTTACCCTAACTGCTTTCTCTCTTAGGGCAAAGTTTTGGGACAGGGGAGGGGTAGGTGGTTGGGTAGTTTCCCAGAATCTTACACTGTTCCATAATACCTTCGAAAATGACATTCCATTCACGACCTTGCTGTATGTTATCCAGTTTTCTCCAGCCTCAGTTTTTTCGTATCTTACTGTCAAACTTTCTACGTTAAAACTGGCGCTGTCCCCATCAAACGTTTGTTGGATAGCAACGTGCGTTAATGTGTATTGTTTTCCCAATAACACTTGTAGCCATGAATTAGGGTCTCCAACCTCGGAACACCAAATTGATGCGGCATTCAGCCTCGCGTGGTGTGCAAAAATATTACCATCAGAAGTGGTTGAACTGCTCAACTGGACGTTAGTTATGGCGCCGTTTTCAAGTCCTACAGGTTTGTGAGGCACTGCGAAAAAAAAACACAAACAAACAAAAACAATTACCTTATACCTCTTACTAAACTATATCTGGCACGCCTGGGCTATAAATCAACGGGAAAGACAAGGATCCATAACCTAATTTAAGGACTGAGACAAGGAGGTTAGTAACATATTAATCTATTATATCTCTGAACTTAATCGGGCGAGTGGAAAAGAAAGCGCTCAAATTTAGTGAGCCGTACAAAAGAGTAGCTGAGGGATATAACATAAATGATTAAATGACTGTTATAATTATCACTCGAACCAATATAGGCCACGAGTTAAATATTGATCTCTGTCGTTTACATAATATCTCTTGATGTAGTTGCGCTTATTGGGCGATTTGAGTCCACGGGCACAAACAACCTTGTATTGTTAATTGAATCATCAAAAGTTAACTTTGCGAGGTACTTGGAAAATCTCCTTGACCACATGCTACTCTTTTAAAGAAATACAGTAAACACTCGCTAATAAGAAACTGAAGATTAAGAACCTCCTGGAAGAAATTTGCCACTTTAATGTCCCAAAATACAAGAACCTGTTTAGCCAAGCAAGATCAAGCAGGTTCTTACATGTGGGTTACAGTTAAATTATGATAAACACTTTTAACAAAGGAGTGTAACTTTGAACTGTAATTTTAAGTATAATAATAATATACTGTACTAATTTATATATAAATTCGGTAGTCAATTTTGTTAGGGATGTAATACAATTGTGAATAAATAAAAAGTTTATTTATTTTTCTGGTAATCAACAATCTATTAGCTCCTTCATAGCAATTAAGAACCTAATGTAGAACCTTCTTAGCCTAAATCGCCAATACGTACCCCAAAATACAAGAACCTATTTCGTCAGACTTAAAAAAGAACTAGGTTCTTATTAGGCGGGGGCTTACTGTAAATTGTCTTGACAGTAAAACTACTTTACGAGGTTTACGTTCTGGTATCCCTAAAAATCATAGCCGGAGATCGTGTACACTTACCGTGGTAATAGAACACTTCAACCTCGTCCGGGTAAAAATGAGGAGATCCAATGAAAAAATCTCGAGCTTTGGAGGGGGACCAAGAAATATTCGAAAGATTAAATGAGGCTCCCAAATTACTAAAACCCTTCAGTCTGCCAGAAGCATCTTGAAAGAGCTCGAGGTCCCGCTGTCCAAAGCTAGGGCCTAACGTTGGATCTGTTCTTGCGGACGTCTTGTTGTGCTGCACAGGGAAAAGGCGTGGTGACTCGCTCGCCGGGCTAAACAAGCTAAAAAGAAATCCTTCATGCTGGTTTCCAATGTCCGCTGGTAATCCTAGTAGGACACAAGGTAAGAAAAGACAGATCGAATTTAAATCTTATAACAATCCTTTACGAAAGCATACTTTTTCCAACTTTGTTAGTTGGTCTGTTTGCCTATTAAGGGCTATTAGAGATGTGCCGGACTGGCATTAACTACACTGGGGATGCGTTTTCAACAGCCAGGTACTAGAATAGGATCGCTCAGTTTTAACACAACGGCATTATTAAAAATTGAACAAAAAAGGGTTCGGATAATTTACAATGGCATAAAAATGAGTAAATATCATGGGGTTTGACCTAAATGGTTACAAAATACACTATAACGAAAGAAATAATAGACGTAAAACATCCATGACTAAATGAAGTTGGGAGCCTTCCCTTAAAAAAAGCAACAGGTTCAACAAAGTACACCCGAAGAGAACCTCAGGACACTTACCACCCCAACTCTGCTCCACAAACCCTCCAAAAACGTATTTTCCGACTTGAATTATGGTCAAAGAAGGACCTTTGTAATCACAACTGGAGTGGAACTCTTCCGTTCTCCAGGATGATTGCTGGGCGAAGTAGCATCGTTTCCAATTTGCTCTTTCTCGGATAAAAAATGGAAATGCCGTGCGCAGAAATTCGATACTTGCAAAATCATCCTGAAGTATGTCAGAGGTCATGGCTAGTAGGTAAAAATAAAAGGATGATACACGTTACAATAATTAACAACGGCTATCAACCTCACTAATGTAATTAGCACCAACTTCACAATCACCATCAGCATTATCACCACAACAGCATCCCCATCATCGTCATCATCATCAACATTATTTTTACCATCATCATCATCATCGTCGTCGTCAACATCGTCTTAAAATCGTCATAGCCATCAGTATTACCCGGCACCATCCGATGAGATATATTTGGAATCACGTCACCGACAAACGGCAAAAGAAAATCACGATTCGTTAACAACACGCGAAGTTTTTTCATCAGATATCCAAGTACGCCAATGTGCATAATTTTCCTTGTCTCTCAATTTTTGAGCAATTTATAAAAACATGACTTACCAGCTTGCTTCATGGAAAACGAGACAGTGACTCCCTTGTCGCCGCTGAGCTCAGTCAGAAACTGCCCTTCTTCTTCGATCAAAAGAGATGGTCGGGTATCAGGTATTCTCGCCCCCGTTAGGGTGGCTGCTTTTTGCTTCAGGATGTCAAAACTATCCGTTGTGGATGATCCGTCAAAAGTCCAGTGGTATTGTTCTAATTTGGGAAGAAAAATTGAGTGACGCACTACTGAAAGGAGAGCAACGTGTGCTTGCCTAGCAACGAATTTGGTAAACTAAACATCTACTTCTTCTTTCAATTGTTAATGGTAATGGTACTGAATCAGGTACCGGCTAATAGTTTGCACTCGAGGAGGAGAATGTGCCGCCGTCCTTGGCGTATAGTGAAGAAAACAACTAGAAGGAAGGGAGAAAGGAAGGAAGGAAGGAGGGATGGATGGATGGGTGGAATGGAGCAATGAAGGAAGGAAGGAAGGATGAGTTATTGGGTGGATGGGTGGGAAAATGGATGGATGAATTGGTGAATGGATGGATGAATAAATGGAAGGATCGGCAGGTGTAAAGACGTGTGAATAGACAGACGGATGGATTGATAAATTCCTTTAACGGGGCACTGAAGTTCATATTCTGTACCTTTTGGGGAGACAGATGAATATGCCGACAGCTGCACATCACCATGAGCCATAGCAGCGAAGAAACTCCAGTGAAGAACGTTACCCGCTTCCGTTTGGTATCCATTCGCGAGATTTTGAATTGAAGCTGTTGTTATAACCTTGTCCCACATATTCATGGACGTGATTTGCCCCTCAAACTGATTGTTTAATCCTTCGACATTACCAACCCATATTGTCCCTCCACCTTGGAAAGAAACCCCCGTAGCAAATGCCTGTTGATTTGCGATATTACTACCATCGACGTGAATACTGGCAGCTCCACCTTGAATAACGTCGTTCTGTGTCCAGGTAACACACATGTGGTACCAGTGGTCGAAACCCAGTGCATCATTGGCGGTGAACGTATGCTCCGCATCACTAAAAATGGACAGAGCGATTTACTTATTAAGCCCCGTGCGAACGGACGCAACAATGTCGCCCAACAACTCCCAACATTGCTGGATGTTACATGTTGCGTCTGTTTGCACACCCTGTTGCATGTTGTTGGAAGTTGTTGCGTAAAGTTTGAAACCGGTCAAACTTTTGAACCAACAACTCCCAACATTTTATTGGTTGCGTGATCGCCGAGGCGTAGCGCAACAATGTTGCATCCGTTTGTACAGCTCTCCAAACTTTGTAATGCACGTGCATTACACATGGTCTCCAAGGTCTTATGGGTTGTATCCTTCCCATGATGCACTGCAGGTTCCAACATTGTTATGAGTTGTTGCATTCGTTTGCACACCACTGCTAACATGACCGCATTAACTCCCAACATTGATGGCCCGTTTGCACCCTTAAGATTAACATCTTGCAAGAGTGGTCAAGGCGCGCTCTGCTGGCATTTCGAAGTTCACAAGTTCGGGTTTTGCGCTGACTGGTTAAGGACGTCCGCCCTAATTGATCAGTTTAACAAACTACTACAATTCCAATACTCGAAAGAACTGTAAAAAATTAGCAAAGAAATCAAGGTGGTAAGTTAAAAACGTAATTCTTCTTTCAACCCAGATGGTATCGTAGCAACCTTATGGATGTCAGACCTGTCCAAAAGCGCTCGTGGTCTGGTGCGACTGAGTGGATAAATTGCACAATGATGTGAAATTCCGTTTTGTTTTCTACTTGTGTAAGGGAGGGGACTATAAATTACTAACAAAATTGACATTACAGAAAGTTCATGATTACCCAGGTTGAACAAGCCGCAGCTCCACTATATTGCTATCGTAGTGTATGCTGAAGAAATGTCCGTTTGCAGCAATGTATCGAAGAAAGCTCATCCCGTTTCCATGTGATGGTAGTTGAAATCTAAGCCAGAGACAAATGGAGAAAGCTGCGAAGTCAGTTAAGATATTTTCCCAGTACACATAACCAGTCGAACGCGGTGGAAACTTTAGGTCAAAGTCGCCGGAAAAACCTGATGAAAAAAGGGCAGATGTGACGATATCAATTAGTAAAAGTAAATCTTGATTTCTGTTAGAAGTGAACTTAGCTTCTTTAGCTAGTCTACAGGCACCTTACTAACATTTCTTAAAGCAGAAAATACACAGACAGAGAAAATAACAGGATAAACTGGCAAGAGGGAGCCAGACGGAGAGACAGAAACAGACAGAGCAGAACTCGAGCCCCCGTCCTTACGATTACAGACGCTGTCTGTCCAACAGTACCCTGGGAAAATTAGTGCTTTTTAGTTTAAAGAAGCTTTTATTAAAATGAGAACACATTACAGTTCCAAAAGTTAGAACCACCTTGTGCAGCATAAACAACAGTAACACTGGAAGGTCTGGAACGTACTGCTCTCAGTGAGTAGCTTTCAATTGAATGGTCACATCATAGGATTTCATCCACAGACTCAAAAGTTAGAACCATCTTGTACAGCACAATAAACAGTACCACAGAAACCACTGCTCAATAGCTTTAGTTTAAATGGTCATACCATAGGATTTTATCCACAGACTCAAAAGTTAGAACCACCTTGTACAGCATAATAAACAGTACCACGGGAAAGTACTGCTCAGTAGCTTTAGTTCAAATGGTCACACTATAGGATTTCATCCACAGACTCAAAAGTAATAGTTAGAACCACCTTGTACAACATAGTAAATATGAACAGTACCAATGGAAAGTGCTGCTCGGGAGCTTTCATTCGAACGTTCACTCCAAAGGATTTTGATCACACTCCTGAAGTTAGAGATCTCTTAAACGTATCTGGGATTTCTCTTACCATCTGTTCTTCTTATTTTCATTTCAGTCTTGATGATACTCGGGAATAGTTGCGTAGGAAAGCCAACCCACTTTATTGACGCACTGTTAAGCGAAGCGTTCTCACTGCATGCCGTCGTAAACCACCATCCACCATTTTGCGATAGTGCGCAACTGTCTTTATCTGGAGTTGCAAAACTAGAACCGTTATGCGAATCGAAACCGTTTGGAATATTTCCGGAAAACTCTCCCAGCGACAGCTTGTAAAGAGCACCTTCGTCTGCGACATGGAAGTTACTGTAAATAGCATAGCCTTTGCTTCCATCAGAGATTTCCAGTTGAATCAAGAGTTCTGTGTTCTTGCTTGTCAAGGCGTAGATATTGTCATTACCTAGCCACATCTCTGATTGGTTGTTTACTTCGCCAAAACCTGAGAGAACGACGAAAACATCAACAACAAAAACTGATTTTACGAAAATGTAATAAACTCGCTACGATAACTGTCTTGAATAAAGTTCAACCAATGAATGGGATCAGTAGCATTTTCCCAACCGAGCAAGGATCTCCGAATAATTGGCTTTGACTGTCTCAAACAGTTTTTTCTAAACCTTTAATCACCTGTGCAATGTTACCAAAACTATTTGCTTGAGAGCGGGCCCTCTGCCCGGAGTTTAAGGAGGAGGCGGGGGGATGGCGAAGCGCATCGCTCTTTTTTTCTCCAACACCGACCTCCAAAAGTGGGAGGCGACTACTTACGATTCGTCTCCTTATATCAAATTACTTACAATACCCCTATTTATGCTTCACTTTCCTTCTACAAATGTAATGGTGAATAACAAGCCTGGTGAATATATGAAAATGGCGTTTGTCCAGTCAGTGACGCATGTGATTCAGGAACCATCTGGTTACTTGATGAGATGCTTTACAACTGGGGAGACTCAAGGTATCCAAGGCCATCAAATTAGGTTCATATGACATCTGCCCAGAAAATACGGGGGTTGTTTTCAATGTTTTCCGAGATGGAGCCGAACGAGACACTGAGATCCAAGGAGGGAAAAAAGTAAGTGGTTTGTTATACAGCCAGAGAAGAAAACTTTATGAACGTAAAACTAAGAGAGCGGTTAAAATTCATGAGTGACATTGCACGTTTACTCTCTTAGGTCATAGATTTTGCAATATTGCCCGCTCAGAAAACTTTCTGTTAATTGTCATGTGACCTCGATTTAACCAATAGGAGCGCGCACTCTTAGGCCATACAACAAAATGTACCTGCTTTATATTCACTCCAACTCTTCTTAAAATTTGTGACATCGTTTCCTCGTCTTCTCTGGATCACTGTCCAACCTCCGCCATGCGTGTCGTGATCGCAGAACACTTGAAACTCTACCTCGTTTAGAGGATTTATTGTGTAGACACCACTAGCTCTGTTTCCAGTTAAAAGTAATTCCCTGCAGTCACCTTGGAAGAAAATAGGGAGCTTTAGCATCGACGACGGCGACAGCAGCGAAAACGCCACTTTTAAAAGGAATTTGCTTTTCTTCAAACTTTGTAGCGTTTATTCCAATGCGCAGAAAATGTCAAATGCGGGCGAATTTCTCTGGAGTTGATTTCTTGGGGACCGCAGTCAATTTGGAAAGAGAGAAAATTTCGTCTTCCCTTGTTTACGTCGTCCATAAACGTGAAATTGGACATTTTCACGTCGTAGTCGTGCACTGACGGCAAAGAAATGTACAAAGAAGCGTGATGCACGTGCAAACTTGTTGTTTTGCTTAATAAACCTATTGCTTTTTTGACGTTCTCGTTGCCGTCACCGTCACCGTCGTCTTTGCTAAAGCTCCCTAGTGACTAAATAAGCATCGCTACATTTCAAAGAGGAACTCAGCTGATTGTATTTAGAGGAAGTGCACTTCAGCTCACATTTCCTTGAACAGTTTTTTTTTCTGCTTTTCAGAACTTATATTTTGTAGAAGGGCTTTGGAGCAATAAAGCTTGTTTTTCACCAGCAAAGCAAGCAAAACGCAAGCACGAGGGCATTCACAAGAGTTTTAGGGACTTTAAGATCCGAGGACGGCACCGGCGGCGAAAACGTCGCTGAAGAGGCGAATTCGCGTTCTTTCAATCTTCGGCGGGATTATTCCAACTCACTAACTTTGTCAAATTTGGGCCACCTCTCCCGGGGTTGAATTCCTAAGAACCATATCCAAGTTCAAAAAGAAAAATGAACTTCGTCGTGGCTAGTTTTACCCTCTATAGAGCATGAAATTAGGCGTTTTCACGTAGTAGTCGTGTAGTGACAGCAGAGAAATGTGCAAAAATTGAGCTGAGCGTGCAAAGATTTTGTTTTGGTTATTAAAATTAATACTCTTTTGACGTTCTTTTTTGTGCGCTTGTGTTTGTGTCGCCAACAGGCTTCAGCCATACTTTTTATCAAACATGACACAGTATTTCATCTGATATCCAAACACCTAAAAGTGGGAGAGAAAATCCCAGCTTTTAACTTTTAGTTCGTTGTACCTGTTATCGTTGAAAAACCGTTTAGTGTGATATACATACCTTGGAAATCAGTATTCAATATTCAAAAATCACAGAAGCGATTCATAAATATTTATCAAGTCTGATAATTTTTATTTTTTGGCTAAAGCCAGGAGCTGCTACGGCAATCAGACGGGCGCAAATGAATATAAATTCAGTCTTCCATTTTGTCAATTACATTTTCTAAAAAACATCAAACATCAGAAAGAGTCTTTTTGAGGATTTCTAACCATCGCAGATTGGTTTAGAGATGTATTTATTTATTTTTTCGAGGAAACATTTCAACAATACCTGGTAGCCAGGGAGTCGTTTGTGTGCACTGACCGATCCCTCGGCATGACATTTCTCGGTACTTATTTGTTGGCGTTTCTAGGGGTGTTAACCGAGACCAAGTCCAATCCGTGTAAGTACAAGATGGCGACCGGCCTAAGACATTAAAACAACAACAACGAATTAAAAGGAGCAAAAAAAAAAGTTTTTAGGGATCCATAAAACTGACAGTGAATGTTACACTGTTGTACGGTATAGAACGAAGCTTCAGAAAAAATAAGACTTTTTGTACTAACAAGATGACACCGTTGATATATCTAAAAGTTGATGGAACTCTGAAAGCGTTTTACAGAGAGTTTTCATGGATTTCTTTAAGATCACATTTAAAGGCATCAAAATTATCTGGTCTTCGCCGTTTACATAGGTTAATAGTCAACAAAAACCACAGGTAGCCCAAGCTCGAAATATGAGCATCGGCGAGCATCGATCGGCATTGTTGCGTAACATTCGAAATACAAGGATTTGTATGGGAAAAAACCTATCGTTTCTGTAACCTACGATAATGAAAGGATTTCAATAAAAAACAACTTACCTTACTTAAAATATGTGTTAAGTCTCTCCTGTGTGGTCCACGGGCCGATTTATAGCCGTTTAATGGGCTTTTATTTAAACGGTTTTCTCTCTATATAAAGCTTTACCAAGGCTGGGCACTCCAGCGAAGCGGCCCGACTGATCCACCGAAGGAAAACGGCCGTAAATTCGCTCCAACTATAGAGAGAAAACGGTTTACATAAAAACCCATACAACGGCCATAAGTCGGCCCATGGACCACACAGGAGAGACGTATCACTCATTTTAAGTAAGGTAAGCATTTTTTATTGAAATCCTTTCATTTTCGTGGGTTACAGAAACGATAGGTTTTTTCCCATACAAATCCTTATATTTCGAATGTTACGCAGCAATGCCGATGTTCCCCGATGCTCATATTTCGAGCTTGGGCTACCTGTGTAAAAACAAAGAAACAAAAACGAAAACAACAAAGATGACGAGGACATTTGTTCTTACCCATAAGTTTTCCAATCTCCTCGGCACCCAGACTCCTTCCAAATATAAACAGATCGCTGAGATATCCGTGAAAGTAAAAATGCTTGTTTTGATCAGGGTCGAAGGACCTGCCAATTTCTAACAACCCCGTTGTGTTGTCCCAAGGATAACTGCTATTCCCCGTGGGGGAGATTTTAAATCCATTGATAAAAAAGAAAAGTTCCGTGTTTCGGACAAACGACACAGCCACGTGGACCCATTGTCTTTCTACGACTTTACCCGCGGTATAAATATACGACGCGTTCGAAACCCAATAAGTTAACTGCAACTGGTTGTTAGTATTAACGCCAAAAATAAATCCAGGAATCTGTAGATCATTTTGAACTATTCCTCTAAGGTGTGGGTCAGAAGGCACTAGTTCTATCCAGCAAGCAATGGTGAAGGAAGGGCCGAGAGTGATATTGTCAGCTGTCGCATAAGCTCGAGTTTCATCCAAGTAAAGTGCGTTGTGTCCATCAAGACGGCCTTCCAAGAAACTAGCGCTGTATTTAAGGCTAAAAGTAAGGCAAAGTACCATTGCATTAGTGATACAAGAGTTAACTGTGGTTTTAAAGTACCAGTTTTAGTTGTTTCTTTAAAGTTTCATTGGAATACTACTTTTAAATTCAATTTTTATCCGTGCAGATTGAATTCGCTAAACAACATTCTTAGCCTGCGAAAGGCAGACGTTTCTCCTCGCTCATCGCCGCCGAGGGACGTTTCGCGAAACGTCCCTCAGCTGCGAAGAGCAAGGAGAAACGTCTGCCGTTCGCAGGCTACAACATTCTTCCTCTAAGATTTTGATTTCGAATTCTCGGGATATCGTTTTCATGGTAATATCCATCAAAACCTATTTTTTAACCTAGATCATGTCAAACCTCAACCTAAGACCACAATAAAGTGGTGAAAAATTGGTTTTGATCCCATATGGGGAAGGCATAATTTCCTTTAAGATGATTGAAAAATATACGAATAGTACTTTTCATTCCCAGGGTGAAAGATATAGTCTTACAATAAGGTGGTGCAAACGTTTGGGTCTGCAGATGAAGTTTATGGGGTTACCATTCGAATGAAACCTCTTTAGGAGAACTTGTCTTTCACTTGGTAATATTTGTTTTTCAGCATTTTGCATAACGAAATTTAAAAATTTTGTCGAATTTGTCCGGACTCTGGATACTTCTAGAAATGAAAAGGGGTAAACATGGAGGTTAAGCATGCCAACAAGGATTATCACGAACGAAAGAGAAAACCTAAAAACAGAAAATTCTTTTTACAGGAGAAAATTTGCCCAAGTCAGTATCAAAAGGTTTTAATATAACTTACATCAACTTATCGCTGTCATCTTCGCCGTCAAGACTAAGGTGTACCAAGAGATCTTCTGGCAAATCATAGTCTAAACAAACAAAAATTAACAATAACCACGCAATAACTATTAACAAAATACAGTACCAAGTTCTTATAACTGTTTTCTATTTTTTTGTATTTTCTATCTTTCTTTTTTACTCTCTGTCCATCGTTTATTTATTTATTTACTTATTTAATTTATTTTCTGTCACTCGATTCTTGCAATCGCTTGTTTAAGGTGTCTTTAAATATACGATTATTTTTCATCCCGGAGACAAGTGCCAACCTTAACTTTGAAGCTATTTGCTTAGCTTTAGCAAATTTCTCTCGTTTGAAGGCGATGAATCTCCTAATACCCAACTGACGATTAAGCGTATTTATTTTTAAAACTAATTTGGAATTATTTAAATTACCCGTAGGAGGACAAGTCTCTCCATCAACCACAATTATTTCATGAACATCCTCTTTAAACATTGGCCAAGACACCCAATCTCCGCGTTCTGCTCCACATTTAGATGACAGTACAGCTAAGAGAGGATGCTCCAAGACCCGAGGCCATGCATTAATATGCCCCAGCTGTCCTGAATACAGTTCATTATTATCTCTTCCAACTCCTGCAGTAAAGGTTTTATCCGAAGGTATTTGAATTCCGGTTTTGAAACCTACGCTCTCCTGAATGAGTCTCCCCTCATAGTAGACCTTGAAACTACCACCCTCGGTCTGCCAGGAAACGCAGATTCCATGCCAAGTATTGTCACGAATACCAGGCAAGAGTGCCAGTATTCTATAATGAGAAAAGTAGAAAGAGTTTTATAAACAAAGAAGTGGTCAAATGCTACAACGCAAACGTTCAGCAGTAGAAGGAAACGTAAAATAATCTGCCATGGATATTTACAGTGCGACTACTGTATTCGAAGTCGTGTTATTCATACCTTAATATTTTTGGTAGTTACTTTCATGGGTTACTCATTTTGTTGATTGTTAGCTCCTTTAATTCGAAACCTCAGAAACGAGGAGAGAACTGGGCTGAGTTAACTTTCGCAAAGACTTCTGGGAATGTTTCTAGGAGCTTGAAAAGGCCGATTTAGACGGCATGATTTTTGCTTACGACTATAAACACATGAGATTCGTACAACACGTGGATGTCGTAAGTGAAAATTGTGCGCTTGTGGATGGTCGAAAGTCATGAAGTATGTTAGTCGCGCACGATAGTCGTGAGCAAAAATCGTACCGTCTGATCTAAATCGGCCTTAAAGAATATTGGCCGGCAGGGACCTTACGATTCGACAACGGCGACGCCAATGACAAAGTCGCTAGAAAATAGACCTCAGGTCCTTCGGAAATTTTTGGCCTTTGATACCAAGTCACCCAGTTACTTGAAAGTTGGGACGTTAGGTTGGAACTAAAGAGAGGGAACCACGTCGGAAGTAAGAAAGAGATCGTAAAATTTATCACTTTGTCGGTGCCGTTTTCACGTCAACTCAAAATTCTATAATTTCACGTCTTGAAGAGTTGTTATTTTGCTTATAAAACGTATTGTGTAAGACCTTCCCGTTGCCGTCGCCGTCGTAAGATCCCTATTAGGGACCTCAAGATCCGACGACGGTGACCACAACGAGAACGTCACAAAAATAACAGGTTTAACAACCAAAACAACCATTTTTCACGTGCATCACGTTTTTTTGTACATTTCTTTGCCGTCACTGCACGACCACGACGTGAAAATGCCTAATTTCACGTTGTACAGAGGAAGTACACAAGCGAAGACGAAATTTCCTCTCTCTTTCTGAATTTGGATAGGGTTCTTAGGAATTCAACTTTCGGAGGGTTCGCCTACATCGGACAAAGTTAGAGACTGGAAGTAATCGCGATGAAGATTGAAAGGACGCGAATTCACTTTTTCAGGGACGTTTTGTCTGCCGTCGTCGTCGCCGTCGCCCCCGTAAGATCCCTTTTGCCCAGTTGAGCGGCGCGTTCCCAATAACGATCCCAGAAATACTTGCGAGACGCATTCCGGCTCCAGTACCCTTCAGGTTTCCAAAAGGAGAATACTATTGCGCCTTTTAAGCCCTAAGATCAAAATTTGAGTTCTCATTTGTTGCTCCTATTCATTTCCTACAGGAGTGGTGGGGAGAAGTTGATAAAATGTCAAGCAAATTCATCTTGTGTGATTATGTCCGTAATTCTCATGACCACTCTGTTTTGCAAAGCATTGATATTACAAGGGAAAACTCGATGCTGATCACTCTTAGGGCTTAAGAAAGGGTTAAATATGAGGAATTACCTTTGTTCATCAAGGAGAGTAAGTACAAGGTTCTCGTTGCCATAATCAACGGATAAGGAAATGAGATTGTTAAGACTTTCATCTGAATAGCGTAGAAGGCCAAAAGGGCCTCCTACATCATTGGTTTTGACCCACACACATATCGTGAATGCTTCAATGTCTTGTTCACCAGCAACTGTCACTTTCGAAACGAGTGAGGAATGTTTCGTAGTAAACTTTAGGTAAAAATCATGGTCTGCAAAATAATGAAGATCGCAGGGTTAGTCTACACACGTGTATGACTAAAATAATCGAGACTTAACATTGCTCCCGTTTACTCATTACTATAGTGGAAGCTCTAATAAGTGGACACCCAAAGAAGGCAGTGTTCGTAACTGGAGATGGCCGCTTACAAGAATTGTTCTTATTCGCCAGTTGCACATCTCCCACAATACACATTACTTTTGTTTAACAATGAATAATAATAAAAATCTTAGTACAGGAGGCTCACATCACCAAGAGTGATGTTCATTGAGGCCCTGTTTCGCTTGATACATGTAAAAAGGCAGGCGAGGCGAAACGAGCGCGACCACGTGAGAGAAATTGCGTGCATGAAAGCTGATAAGGGCCGGATCTCAGGTTTTGATTAAACAAATCGGACCGCAGCGAGGCGGACGTCCGATTTTGTTTAATCTCTCGTATGACTGAATTGGACTCCGCCTATTCCTAATAATCTAATAACGACAACTGTACACATAACAAACACAAGTTTGACCTCAAGTTCATCTGTCGAAATTTGTTTAGGATCAACCAAAGAATTCATATGAAATCATCAGACAAAACACAAAAAGAAAAGGAACGTATTTCTAAGTTTTATAGTTTGGTGTTAGTAACAATTCTCAAAAAAGCTACCGAGTAGTTTTTCCTCTTGCACTATTTAATTTTTTGTAGGTACTGGATAGCTCTCACTTTTGAGTCTGTGGACGAAATCTTGCGGTGCGACCGTTCAAATAAAAGCTATTGAGCAGTACTTTCTGGTGGTACTGTTTATCACGCTGTACAAGGTGGTTCTACCTTTTAAATCTGTGAATGAAATCCCATGATGTGACCATTCAAATGAAAGCTACTGAGCAGTACTTTCTGGTTGTACTGTTTATTATGCTGTACAAGGTGGTTCTAACTTTTAAATCTGTGGATGAAATCCTACAGTGTAACCCTTCAAATGAAAGCTACTGAGCAGTACTTCTCCGTGGTACTGCTTATTATGTTGTAAATGGTGTTTTCAACTTTTGAGATTTTGGACAAAATCATACAGTATGACCAATCAAATGAAACCCCTTTAAACATTTTTTTGTCTAATACTCAGTTCAGTATTTTGCAGTATGAAACTCGAAATTTTTCTTGAACTTCAAGGGGTACAAAATCTACGTTTAAAATTTAACCGTGCCCGATTAAAGTTCATCGAATGTTTTCTTTATGGGGAGCTGAGGAAGGTGGCGCTAGAGAAACAATGGTCACCAACGAATAACAAAAATACAGTTGTCAGATACTTGGTTTACTGCATACATGTCCATGCCCAGTGACAGTCAATACCACAAATCATGAAGACGTTTTCTCTCTAGCTCCATATAAATGTACTTAAGTGTCACCTCATATTTTCGTGACCTATTCTTTTCAAACAATTTGAGTATCTTTAATTTCCATGTGCATAACAGTGACCAGCTGAGTTTCTGTAACTTGTAACTTGAGGCCCGTTTAAGGAAAGTCCTGGTAACTTTTCGGGCGCGAAATAAAATATTCAAATTTTAAAAATCTAAAGAATAAAAAACAGTCTATTTTGTTTTGTTAACTGATAGTTTTATCGCATTAGCTGTAAAACGTTTCTGTGTCCCCATAAATACAAATAGATCCGAAAGCTCGATCTTAAATGTAAACAACAACAACTTTCCGGGCCTTTATCGGAACTTTCGAGAAACAGGCCCCAGGAACAGATAAATGCGGAACAGTTTGGTGGGCGAAAGTCTGGGTAATAGGTACGATTTCGATCCCACTTATTTTAAAACGTTGTTCAGTTTTAACGAGCCGTTGACCAACAGCTTTGTAATTTGTGTTTGAGCCTTCCTCTGGAGAGGTAATTGCAAAGACCGTAAAATTTATAGACGTCTCAGTGGGCTATCTCAGTGATTTCCGAAAAATTTATAAAGCCATTGGTAGCCATCAATGAGTAACTGGAGTAAGCAATTAAACAATGACAACCCGCGTAAAATTAAAGATAACGCAAAAAAAGCTCAGGTCCAACTTTGAAAGAAATTCTTAGAGATAATGTTTACAATATATATATATATATATAAACTGTTTTATTATTATCTTTATAAAGTACACTTTCCTTTTTTGAGCAACATAAGAAAAAAAATTAAACTGGAAAGACAAAAACAAAAAAATAACCATACCATTGCACAAGATTTCCTCCGCAAGTGAATTTCCCAATAAGACAAGAAAAAGAACCTACAAAAGATATGGAAAAAAATCGATTACCTTAGTCGTACAAGAGATAAATCTTGTTCACAAAGATAAAAAAGTATCAAAAACTATCAAACTTACCTCCAAAATGAATGTTTTGGAGGTCTTCCACAATCTCCAATTATTCATGTTATTATTATCGATAACAAGGTGTATTCGTCGTAGAGAGTTGTCGATGTTCTCTTCCAGTCGCTGTTTGATCACGCCATCATACAATAAAAATAAGAGTAAGCCAAGGTTTTTAAGTGAGACTGTTTCTCAAAAAACAGATTTGCCGAATTTCACGAAACACCTGCAGGAAAAATGGAGATTGGCAATTTACGATGTTTATGGATAAAGTAATCTTCGAAACAGTGTGCGACTGACTTATTTGGTCTATGAGCGAACTAAGATTGGTTTCCTTGGTCACTAATCAACGTCAATAAGCAGTCACTGATGTTTCTCCCGTGTAAACAGTGTAAGGTAAACTACGCCATCATAATTGCAGAAGGCTTATTTGTTTAGCAAGATTGTCCGAAATGAAATTTGTAACTTAACGAGGCATTTTCCAGATATTCTAGGAAATTACCTTTTCCACAATCAGAATTATATAAATTACTGAAAAAGAAGATTAATTCATATGTGCCTTCATTGCAATCAAAAGAGGGAGCAAACTCAAAATCGGTTTAATGAACAGTTTGAGATTTGTCATTCTCGTCAAGTTTAAACTTGAAATTTTTTTTTGAACAAATGACTTTACTTTAACTACACACATAAGACTTTATTTATCCTCAGATAAAAATAAATAAAAATTAAAAAATATAAATAAAACGTTATTGAGCCTCTTCAGTGTTTATTAACTCAAAACAGGAGCCAAGCAAATTTCTGAAACCAGAAAATCGAGAACAAAAGGAAAACTATAAACAGTTACAAGACTGTTATGTAATCAAATAAATCATATTCTGTCAGGGCAAACTGCTAATAGACAAATTTATCAAAGAAAACGCAGCTTGTCGTGATAGCGCGCAGAAAAGGACTGAATCCGACCTCCGGTGTTTGATTTGCCTTTCTACCCTTGGTCAGTCAAGTCGCTTTTACGATCTGCGCGCGTCTTCTTCACCGTCGTGGCGTTGTCTTTGCCAAGTCTGTTTAATAGCAATGGAACAAACAAGTACAAACAGACACTGACTAAAACCTTTTCTACTTACAAGTATGCTGGGCAAGGTATCTTTTTACATACAAAAGTACATTATTGAACAGACGATATCCGACCTAGTTGGCTGAATTCCTGAGTGGAATTTAATAAAATAAATATCTATCTTATAATTTATATCTACAACGTTCTGTTTGGTCCATAATAATAATTTTCACCCATGGAGTGAATAAACATAGCGAACATTTAGTTTAAACTACAATCGGCGACAAAATTACAGATGTAGTTCAGACACTGTGCCCCGAGGGGTACTCCCTTATAAGGGCTTAATGGGGACGTGCGGCCAGCCAGGGAATGTTTTTCAGGGTATCGAATTTATCATTTTTTGTCTTAATCAGGGTATCGATTTTTCAATTTTTGTCTTAAACAGGATAAATGTCTTAAACAGGGTATCAAAAATTGGAATTCTGTCTTAAAAAGGGTAGGAAAATCAGAGATATTTGTCTTAAACAGGGCCAGGGTATGAGGGGCCGCGCCGCACCTCCCCACCCAGGGATATATCGAGTACCCCCCCGGGAAACTGTGCCCGACCAACCTAAAATAAACATTTAATTATAAAATCTACATAGCTCTGACTGGTGTACGTCACTTTCTATCCTACAGTGACTAAATATAGCAAACTTTTAGTTCACAAATATTATGTTAAACTAGCTCCTTGTTAACGTCGCCTGTTCTTGTTTAAATATTGTTATTTAAAACAGTCACCTGAGTTCAGGGTTCGTACTCTTTTATGACACGCCATAGGGGACAAAAATGTATGTGTGAATTTGTGTACAACTTGTGTGAATTTATACACAACTTATCCTTGTCGAAGATAACTTCCTACAATACATTTACAACTTTGCTGTTAGGTCTACGACTTTCAGCTTCATTTACTTGACTTCTAACAAAATATGTACAACTTGTTTGTCAAACAAACGAATAAAATCGATCTATTCACACAACTTTTAACTAGCAGACATCAAGGTTGTTTTGCAATTTACGACGTGTTGTTTACATGTTTGACTTACGGCAGTTTTTATAACTCAACTACGAAATACACGACTTAGCATTGTTTGAGTACAACTTCCTCTATGAAATACAGAACTTCTTCCAGGTGCTAAACTTACGTCACTAAGGCCCAAGGACAGATAGATGCGGAACAGTTTGGTGGGCGAAAGTCTGGGTATATAGGTACGATTTCGATCCCACTTATCTTAAAACGTTCTTCAGTTTTAACAAGCCGTTGACCAACAACTTTGTAATTATGTGTTTGAGCCCTCCTCTAGAGAGGTAATTGCAAAAGGCCAAAAATCTACAGACGTCTCAGTCGATTATCTTAGTGATTTCCGAAAAATTTATAAAGCCATAGGCGGCCATCAATGAGTAACTGGCGCAAGTAATTAAACAATATCAACCCGAGTAAAATTACAAACAAGGAAAATATGCGCCGGTGCAACTTTGAAAAAGAATGCTTTGGGATAATATTTACAGCATAAAAAAAGCTGTTTTATCATTATCATCATAGAAAACACTTCTTTTACCAACACAAGAAGAAAAATTAAACTTCAATAACAAAAAAAAAAAAATAACCATACCATTGCACAAGATTTCCTTCGCAGGCGAATTCCCTAATAAAACAAAAAGAAGAACCTACAAAAGATAGGAAAAAATCGATTACCTTAGTCGTACAACAGATAAGTATTGTTCACAAAGATAAAAAGAATCAAAATCTATCAAACTTACCTCTAAAATGACAGTTTTGGAGGTCACGCAGACGCTCCAGTTATTCACGTTATTCTTATCGACAACAAAGTGTATACGTCGCGGAGAGTTGTTGCTGTTGGCTTCGCTGTTTGATTACACCATCATACTAAAAAGAAGAGTATACTAGAAACAAGAGTATACTAAGGTTTTTAAGTGAGACTGATTTCTTAAAAATAGACTTGCCGGATTTCACAGAAATCGTTTTCTGGTACTCAAAACACCTGCGAGAAAATGGAGATTGGCAATTTACGATATTTATGGATGAAGTAATAATCGAAACAGCGTGTGACTGACGTGTTTGTTGATATATAACGGTCTATGAGCGCACTAAGATTGGTTAACTTGGTCACTGATCAATGTGGATAAGCATTCGCTGACGTTTCTCTAGTGTAAACAGTGTAAGGTAAACTCCGTTATTATAAATGCAAAAGGCTTATTTGGTTAGCAAAATTGTCCAAAATGAAATTTGAAACTTATCGTGATTTTCTCCAGACATTTAGGAAAATTGTTTTTTCGACAATCAAAAGTATATAAATTAAGGGAAAAGATTGTTAATTAATGTTTCCCATCATTGCAATCAAAAGATGAAGTAAAACTCAGAATCGGTATTGCCATTCTGGTCAGGTTTAAAGTTGGCTTTACCTTTACTACACACTTTGCTTGAGTATACATAAAATGAATTAAAAGACAAAGAGATAAAATTAAAAGTAAATACATAAAACTTTATTTATCCTCAGATAAAAATAAATAAATAAATAAACAAATAAACAAACAAAACGTTATTTAGCCTCTTCAGTGTTTATATTAGCTCAAAACAAGAGCCGAGGAAATTTCTGAAACCAGAAAATCACGAAAACAAGGAACGTAAAAACAGTTACACGACTGTTTTGTAATCAAATAACACATATTAAAATATTTCTTTTGAGAAAAACTGCTAATAAACAAGAGCTGGGGCCCGTTTCTCGAAAGTCCCGATAATTAACGGGCCCGGTAAGCTGTCTCCGTTTACATTAAAGATCGAGGTTTCAATAGTTTTGCATCTAACATGATAAAACTGTCAGTCAATGAAACAAAATGGAGTAGTTTGCTAGCCAGGACCCGCGCTCTAATTCTTCATATTTCGATTTGAATATTTGATTTCGGGCCCGTAAAGTTACCGGGACTTTCGAGAAACGGGCCCCAGGGAACTTCTGGCGATAGCGCGCGGAAAGGACTGGGCATGATTTCCGGTGCTCGATTTGACTTTCTATCCTTTGTCAACTCGTTTTTAAGATCTGTGCGCGCCGTCTTCACCGTCGTGGCGTTGTACTTGTTCAATCTGTTTAACAGTAATTAACTTTGATAGTAATGAAACAAACAAGTAGAAACAGACACTGACTAAAACCGATTCTGTTTACAAGTATACTGGGCAAGGTGTCTTTTGACATGCAAAGAGTCCCGACCTAGTCGGTTGAATAATAGTGTTTATTATCAGTTCCCGTTATAACTTTCAAGTGGCGCCTTCTCTAAATACAGTCTCCACTGTGTGGAATTAAATAAAATAAATAACTATCTTATAATTTAAATCTATACAACGTTCTATTTGGTCAATAATCGTAATTTTCTCCCGTAGAGTGAAAAGCGAACATTTAGTTCACCATACAATCGGCAACAAAATTAGTTGACATCCCCTCCATGCAATGTTGTGTCGCTGTTCGGGCTACCTGTGGAAAACAAAAACACCCCAACTTTGAATGGAGGGGGGGGGGGGTGTAGATTGTTTTGTTCTCCGAAGTTACCCTATTTGAGGACAACAATTGTTGCTGAATTAAATAAAAAGACGCTGTTTTAATCCAGCGATCTGAGATTTGATCGAAAATCCCATTCTAAGGAATGGAAAGACTGAAATAACTATTATCTTCATTTATTAAAAAAGTGAAAATTCAAACAATTTTCCATCTTGGTGGCTACGTCCTTAGGGCCAGCACAAAATGAAGAATTTATTTCAAAATCTACGTTGCTCCGACTTGTATACGTCACTTTCTACTCTGAAGTGACTAAATATGGAAGACTTTTAGTACACAGTTACACTATTCTGTTAAACCGGTTCATTTTTAAAGTCGGCTAGCTGTTCTTGTATAAATATTGTTATTTAATTCAAGTATTAAGAAAAAACGCTATTTTAAAGCTGTCATCTGAGGTTACAAAAGGATTTCTCGATGAGCAGCTTGAAGGTCACTGAACGAGACGTTCCTGTCAGTTCCTGGAATTATTGTTTTAGTATTGTTAAACGATGTCCAGTTCACTGCATTTTCACGTATTTCTCCCTCCAAGTGCCTACAAAAATATTCTTGTTACACTGCCCACAACAGGTTAAGTTGTTCAGCCTTTGGCGCATGGAAATGTACACTTGACTGACTGAGCCAAAAATCCCAGCTTCGTAATAGACTAAGGGCCTGTTTACATGGAGTGGGGGACCCCGGTCTAGTGGGGTTGGTTTCTTTTGTTTTCACGCTCTGGGGAACACAAAACAAAAGAAACCTACCCCAGTAAACCGGGGTCCCCCACTCTATGTAAACAGGGTCTAAGACTACGGAGGGGTGAGTTAAAGAGTGACAAACGGAGGTGGTGAACATTTGCTGGAAGCTCGACGAACAATGCCGTGGGTGCCGTACGATGATGTTGTCTAGAAGAACTCGAAGTGGGTGAAAGAGGCCATGACTTCCTTGGCTTGAAAACTAATTAGGGCCAAACAGTTGCAAGACGCGCGTGCCAAGCCATTTTAGCCCAAGACATGATTTCATTGCAGGTGTCCTTGTGGGTGCCAAAGGCCTTTTCACATGCACCAACACACTGAAGTTAGACCCCTGCCTTCGTTAGAATGATTGGCATTTTCGCAGAGGAAACTTCCTGCAAGAAATGCACCTGATGTAACAGATTATCTGCAGAAGACCAATTCTGGCGTGGTCTTACAGCCGCGGAGAACTCTCTCGTACATTGGGAAAAAGAGAGTTCAGATGATTTGAAGGGGGAAATTATTTAAGTTCCTTAAACACAACGATTACAGTTCTTAGCAATTATTTAATGAGGCTGAGTATGATCTGAATAATTATGTAGATCGAGGAGAGTGCTATCCGCCGACGCTGAAGGCCGATGCGGATAACCTCCTTAAAGAGTGGTCTTTCTTGACTTTCTTACCAAAACGTGCGAATTTTCCTGCCATTTTCTATCAAAACGACTGAACTAATGCAACCTCGTCCCCCGGGCTTCTCGGATGCCGTGTTCTTGTGAAAATGAGTTTTATTTGCATGAGAATAACAACATATTTCAAGATCAATGGCTTCGCACTTCGCTTAGCCTCAGAGGCTTTGAGCAACTTGGCCTTTTCTTATGCAAACGACGTGATTAAAGTCACGCAAACAGCTTTGGTCTGAGCAGGGTGCAAAGAAAGTCAGTTTTACAGCCTGCCATTCGGGTAAGCTGTAGCTAGCATGTACTAGCGCACAAGTCATTTCAACTAGCGCCAAAACCCTTTTTGATTAGCAGGATTGATTACAATCCTTCGGTAATTTGAATTTCCCCCAAAAACAGCACTTGCCTGTCGGGCAAGTTAAGAACAAAAATCACTAACCCGATAGTAAAATCCACTTGCCCCAGGCTATCGGACACGACTTTCTTTGCACCCTGCTGGGTCATTTTCTGTCTACTCCCTTACCTTAACCAACTGTTTAAATTCATGGCATTATGGTTGCCGACCATGAGGTTAACCTTGCAATCATCCGCATGAACATTTACTCTCACAACCGAACCTGCGCAAAAAATGCAGTCACTCATATCAAATAACTTCTCGTACAAATGTAAAATACAATGTAATTACGCAGAAGATAAATAAATTCACCAATTGTTATTGTTCGATAAAACTTACCTTGTTCCCAGATTGCCTGCTTGTTAGGCGTTTCAAAGGGCAAGGGACAGAGAGAAATTAAGGCGCATGAAACTCGATGGACGCGTAAGAACATCCTTTCTCGCGCGCCTATCGGCGTCCGCGAGTGTTACACCTTCCATGGACCATTAAGTTTGAGGGGATGGGCCATTGGAAAAGTAAAGGGAGAGGACAAGAAAAAAATCCATACACGAAAAAATTCACGTGAAAAAAAATTCATACAGCCTGAACAGTCAGAAAGACATACATACAAGCTAAGAAGAAGAAAAAACATGCACACCAGGCAAACCAAAATAAGACATATACAACTACTCGCAGGGTTGAATTGAGCTCCCCACACCTCGCCCTTCTTTTTTCTAATGGTCCTTTCCTAAGAAAAAATCTATGACTCACCATCGACGGTTTCGTCTACACCAGTGCCATCTGATTGGACGTCAGTCTCTCCTCTCTCCAACTTAAGAAGGTAAGTCTTCACATGATGATGTCCACGTCTCTCTGCTACTTGTAGCGGTGTTTCGTTGAGCTTTGTGAAAATGAAAATACATTTCACCAAAGATCCGGGAAATTTGGCACTTGATTTTCAATTAGAACAATTTATGTTGTTGTTGTGTCATTAGGATACATCGCGCATTATCCTAAATAAACATAATTCATATAGTTTTTTCGTGTCATTGGAGTAATCTGCTGATCAGTAACAAGAAAGAGATTTGTACTAGGCAAACAACAAGGTTGAAGATTCCAAAGTTGTACTTCTAGTCAGCGACCTCGTACTTGCACCCAAATCTGAATGCCACTATAGTTGTTTTCAGCCATAGTCGCAGTGTCGTCTTAAGTGCTTGGTTTTAAGAGGGAGTTAAAGATACCGAAACAGCGAGGGCGGGTGAAACCGCACTTAAAAAGTGTCTTCACGTTCTTTGAGACTTAAGCGCGATTATCCCAACTTGCTCAGTTGAACTCTCCTGGATCAAATGGGAGGAGATTTATCCACTGGATAGAGGAAGTGAAATTTGTTTGTTCATGTTCTCCAGAAAGCGCAAAATAAGACAATTTCATGTCATAGTCGTGCAGTGACGGCAACGAAATATATCAAAAGGAGTGCTCCACGTGAAAGATGTTGTTTCGCTCATCTAAACTTGTCCGAAGCTAGTGGATTTTGCTGGTTTGGCTAGGGAATTTCGTTCTTTGTTTGCCCGAAGGGCAAGTGAAGTTTTTCGGGAATTCAACAGAAATTCTTCCCACGCGTTTTCCAAAATTGTATACCTTGCGCAACAGTGTTACACTGAACCAAAGCGATATTAGTAGCAATGTTACTTTGTAGGAAGTGTAAGCTAATTGCGGGCGACCAGAGGAGCCCGCAATCCAAATCTCAAGTTTGCTATTACGCATGAGTGGCAGGTATGTAGACGGCATTCGCATAGCCTTCACTAAGAATGAATGGCAATCGCATGTGTAAAACGCAATCTGATCACGGGCGTTTGGACCTTCTATCGCGTGAAACTTGCTCTATCTCGCCCACATATACACTCCCTAACCTTCGATTATAATTAGTTTGTAAATACTTGAAGGCTGATCTAGGCAACACAATAAAAGAATCACAAGGAAACACTTACGTTGCTTTGTTTGCAGTAGTCAGCGGGGCTGTAAGGATTTCTAACCAATGCCTTGACAGCCCCGAGATTGCCTTTCTCCGCAGCTAAATGTAGTGGTGTGTAGCCAAACTGCAAAAAACAAATACCATTTTAGTTTATTTAACACATATCATAGCGCAGACAAAAAAACAAGGCTTAAGGTAGAAGAAAACATACATAGTCAACTAAATTTGCGTCAGCTCCATTCTCTAACAGCATGTCCAAAAGATCATCATCTCCACCAATTTCATAAACTACGAAGTGAAGAGGGGTCCTTTGATTTATCTAGGGAGATAAAATACTAATAGACAAATTACCTAAAACATGAGCAAAATGTGCCTGAAAGATGGAAAAACTTCCACGAGAAAAAAAGTTCGGCAAATGTTCCGTCCGAACATTCCACTTGCGCCATCTAAAAATTTTAGGAAATTTACAAATTAAGAAAGTATATCTGAGGGAAATTGGTAAAAAGTGCCGATAAGTAAGCCAGTAGTCAATCCAAGATGGATGTAAAAATTTGAGAGAGCTGAACATGAAGGCAGGTACCAGCAGACAGCCTAGAGATAGCCCTAACAGAGGGTGGGTGATTGGTGGGGGAAGGGGATGGGAGGCTTTTAACACATCTATCGCAAAGTAAAGGAAACTGGATGACTGGGTGTGACTAATTCTTCAGGGTTTCTAACAGGCATTATCAGGGATGTCACTAAGAGCCTGCAGCCGCAAATTGAACCTCAGCGGACCAGTCAATATCACCAAGGTTAAATTCTCCTGCTGCTATTATTTTAGGGTGATGATTAGAGGATTCCAAGACACAATTAAAGGAATCTGAAAATTGTTCCAAAACATCTTGGGGAGAATTTGGTGGTCTGTAACAAGATGCTAGGTGGGGAGTTTTACATTTACCGATCTTAACTGATGACCAGAGGATTTCGAAATCTTTTCTATAGTTAGGCTTTTCCTTGCAAATGATTTCAAACTTAATCGTCTGGAACACACCTCCCCCATTACGATTTCGGTCCTTTCTGGACACGGAATAGGTGGGCGGACAGACTGAATAGGTCGGCACTCAGTCAAGCTTTGATTCACAGCCGAAGATGATATCAGGTTTGTGAAAGTCAAGAACTTGAAATTCTGAGAAACGAGATGGACCCTTGAGGCCGTTGCAATTGATGATCATCCCCTTTAAGCCAGAAGATACCTTGGTATCTTGGGGAGCATTAGGAGCTGACAGGTAGACAGGTTGCTGTTTGGTGATGGTGTTGGTTGGACATGGACGATGTTAATGTTATCCGACGATTCATTCAGAATACTCGTGTCAGCATCTGAAGAAGGATCCAAACCGGAGCTGGGATTTCTAATATCAGAAAAAGGCAGATTCTTTGAAGTTGTAATTACACACACAGGGCAGCTCCATGGGAAGCTGACAGTCAAGGAGGCAAGTTTGGTGTATTCAGCAGATGAGACAAACATCGCATTGAATCTCTCGATGGTCAGCAGACTGAACACAAGTTTTTATTACAGTTAGGAGCTGGACCAGGATTGGCTGAAATGTCGCCTCAAGAAAGAAGCCGTACCAGCCGGAACCCAACAACTGAGTTGGGATAGCAGGCCAAACTTGAGGCTAAAAACGTCGTGAGACGGTGTGCAAGAAACCCAAGAAGGAGGCAGAAGTTGACTCGAATTCTGAGAAGAGTGACCACACTACAGCGAAAACCGTGGATAACGGTAGATAGACGTAGATGACTTCAATCCTTTTTCCTTAAGATGGTGCAGTGAATCGTTTGGATGCGGAGAGCAGACATAAGAAAGCAGAAATACAATGTAAAGAACGCAGCTCAGGAAAACACAGCGAAAACACAGCCAGTCGCCATGACACCTTAATCTTACCATGTCAAATTGAATGCAAACTTAACGATGTCAAATTGAAAGCGAAACAAACAATAGGGTTTCCCCGAAACCGAAAAGATAAATGCCTCTTAAGTAAGCAGACTAAACAAAACCACACGGATTGATTCTAATTACATCAACTACCTCATACCCGAGTTAGGAAAAAGAAATTGAAATTATAAACCAAGGATTCTGTAGGCAACTAACTCACTGACTATGCAGACGACATATAAAAGGCTAAGCCGATTCGAGCATTGCACTGCACTGCAGCGCAGTCGATCAGACTGTACGAAATGTTGAACTGCCAAATACAATAGGTTTAACCTGTATTTTCTTCATTTAAGAAAGTATAACGCTTAAGATTTTGATTTGAAATTATTGACACTTTCGACGCGATACAGCTCAATCGCGCATAAAATCAATGGAAAATTATTTAAAGTTTACCACCGTCATGAGCGAATGAAGAACGAAAGAGCGATGATGCGACGCGATGGAACGATGGAGTTGCACTGTCTGTGTGCTGGATAAGATTTCCTTGCACTCTCGTGTTTCTTTTTACGTAGGTAAGAGTGAGGCGTAATGCCGCGGCAAATAATAACTACAGAAACTTTATTTATGAAGTTTCTCACCTTACTATTGGGTTCCCTGAAATTTACTGGCGCGCCCTTTTTTAGTAGTGTTTCAATTATTGATATACGCTCGACGCGATCGATTTTTTTGTTTTTTAACGCGTCCCAAAGCCTTCTGCCTTTGTCTTGTACATCTCCATCATCATCTCCATCATTTCTAGTGGCCATAGTTTTTCCAGTTTCAGGACGACCAACATCAAGTGTCTTCTGTTTTTCAGCACTAAAAATATCTCCTGGTAGTGTTTCTGGCGAGTTTTCTCTCGTTTTGGGATACTCTTCTGGTCTTTCACCCTCATCTGAATGACATAAAGGATCCCTATCAGATCGTTCGGTTTTCCTTGGGACTTGTTCGTCTGTTGGCTTACTCGAACTCAGATAACATTTATGAAATTCCTGGTCCTCCGTAAAGACTTTGAAGCCTACTTTTCTTGTGCGCCATAACAACATATACAGAGACTCGATAAACACAAGGAGTGCAAACGCTCCAGTTACAACGATCACGGCATTAGCCCAGACGGTCTTCTTAGCTGCTCGTTGATTATGACATTCGTATGACGCTTGCGTTTCGGTTTCGTTACGAGACGCACTGGCCGTAATGTCTGAAAACTTCCCGTCTGTTGTTAAGTTACAGTTAAAGTACGAGGGAAAGTTGAGAGGGTAAAGTAATTTGGTCTGCAGAACGAGAAAAAATATCCCAAGAACAAATCTGGCGAGAAGTTGCAAACAGTACGCTTTGAAAAGCTTTTTCCTAGAAGTTTGCCCTAAATCCGGGTTTCTAGGGTTGTCTTCAAGTTCCTCAACTTTCGACTTCACCGCTTGTGAGTATATTCCACAAACACTTGCAGTCACAAGGAAGTTAATAATCACGAATCCATAAACAGGGAATTTGTTGTATTGTTTATCGTACTCTTCGTAACACTTTCCACGAACGAGTTCCTTGTCGCCATTTGAGCCACAACGGAAGTCTGTCGGTTCGCTGTTTTCGAGGTCTAGAAAGATTGGAGATAGGATAATTCCGAGCAAAATCCAAAATACATTTGCCACATAACTGAACCAGTGGAGTGTTTTAGGAGCAAGCAAATCTTTAAGACCTTCCATGTTGTATGCCTCTCGATTTCTCGCTTATGAGCTCCAAATGCTTGCATTTAGCCAAAAGCGGGGGGCGGAGGGAGGGAGACGAGGTCTGGGACCGAGAAACGATGTTGTCACAACTTGCAAAGCGGTCACCCTACGTGGTGGTCACCTTATAGTTGCAGTATTTTTCCCACAGTAAATCAATCTCGTACCCAGAGTCTTCAACCGTTTGGGTCAGCGGGGCAACGCCGGGAAGACTCTGGGGACATCAAATCGGAAAGCACTAGATAACATCGACCTAAACCAGATGAGTTAAACCTGTAATAGACTCAGCTGTATTGCATTGAACAACGCGGCTTATGGTCTTTCCGAGGAATGCTGGTTTTGGTCGATGTTATTTAGTGTCGACAAGTCACGAAATGCTATTTAACATCGACCAAAACCTAACAGGAACTCGGCTGCGGCTCCGAAAAAACCTAAATACATAAAATAAATCCCGCGAGAGTGCCAATCCCATCCCAGTTTTATTGCTGTCATTAGAGTTTCAAACAGTAGTTTTCCAGCTCTTCCACTTTCACCGAAGAAAGTTTAAGAAGTTCATTATAAAAAAAGTTCTACTTCCACAATCACGTGCCAACATTCAACTTGAGATTAGCTGCGGCCGCACTTAGCAAGTTAACCGGGTTAGTTTTTGAAAAACCCGGTAAAAATTCTTCACAACGTAACCTGGTTAAAAGAGTTTAACCACGTTAATTTTTATCAGCGGCCGGACTCAATTTAGACTTTCACTTCATTCAATTTTGGGGCGGTTTTTTGTTTTTGTTTTCGCTCGCTTGGGTCGCTCATAACGCTCGCCTAAGAGTGACTGACAAAATTTGACCCCGTATTACTGATAAAAAGAGGTCGACTTCTTAAAAGTCGTGACTCAGTTATGTTAAGAAAGAAATCTGAACTTGGAGCGAAAGAAGTAATTTCGAAACTGTTGTGCTTGCGTGCATGGTAAAGCCAAAATTTGGACCATTCTTCTCACGCGTAGGCGGAGATGATCGACTGATTGATAAGGTTAACCTGCGTTAAACTCCCGGGGAGGGGGCAGGGGGTACTCCCTATGATGGCCTAAAAGGGGACACTCCGCCCGAAAGGTGTACCTTTTTACGCTTCACGTATATGAAAGAGTAGGGATTTTACTCGTTGAAGTATATAATCCAGCCGGATTTATGAAAACCGTACCATCGGACACCAGGAGCCCACACCTTAAACTGACTCAACTAAAGTAAATATCGCCAAGAAACTCAGCTCTTACCCATGGTTCTCTTAAGGTGACTCTCTTCTTGGTTCCTGATTAGCAAAAGAAACATTCAAGTCCATCAAAAAGACACTCTGGACTTGTCCATACACTCTAGCTGCTTATAGGCCCTAAATGACGGAGGTTGCTTGAGACTTAAGCAAGTTCTAAGCAGAGAATTCAAGGTTAAATCAACCCCCTGACTTCCTCCACCCCCCCCAGCCTAGCACGTGCTTGAGGGGAATGCTTTCATTGGCCAATGGGCCTCAAACGTTACAAGAATTTGACATGACCAACTAAAGGCAGACATGACCAGTGCACTGACTCTCCCAGGCCAGGACTAACGGAAGGTACAACGCTTTTGCAGCACCCTCCCCCCCTAGGGATTGACATGGAGGCCCCTTTCCAACCCATGGCGAGTTAGCTCAGGGGCTGAACTTGACAATGAGACCAACCAGGACAGCAAGCCCCCTATGTTTTTTCTCACCGCAGTGACCAGCTGGCCCATTTTGAGGTATGTTTTCAAAAATTCGGCTAGATATAAAAGGGTAGGAAAATTTGTCACTTGGGTCTGTGAAAGGGCCCAGTCAGGGCTAACAGATACATTTTATGGCTTTATAAAGTCGAGGAAACGTTCAATTTTTGTGATTGCTTCCTATTTAAACGACAGTGCATTTACAGCAGTTAAAAGGGATGCAACGTTCTAAACAAGGTATGTGAAAGGGGTACCATTTGTCAATACAAGGTATACGAAAGGGGCACCTTTTCCGTGAAAAATGGTATATAGAAGGGTAAGGGGTTGGACCTCGGGGCGGAGCCTCCCCGTAAAAAACTTTGTTGAGTACCCCCCAGGATTAAACTACCTCGTGAGGTGGAGTAAAAAAAATAAAGATAAGATAAAAGGAATAAAAATCTATCAAACTTACCTGTGAAATGAAAGTTTTGGTGATTTTCCACACTCCCCCGATAACAAGGTGTATTCGTTGGGGAGAGTTGTCGAAGAAGTTCTCTTCCAGTCGCTGTTTGATTATGCCATCATACAATAAACGTAACACTAACCTAACGTTTTTAAGCGAGACTGTTCCTTAAAATCAGATTTGCTGAATTTCACGGAAAGCGTTTTCTGGTACTCGAAACACCAGCAGGAAAAATAGAGATTGGCAATTTACGATATTTATGGATAAAGTAACTATTCTCACTGGGGCCATCGTGTACAAACGCCCCAAATCCCTTCGGGATTCAAGGATAAAAATTCCCGCGCGCTCGTAGTCTCCTGGGTGTTCTGTTTCACACAGGTTTTGTATAAATAGGCCTGTTTTGGCCTGTTTAATTGTCTTTTCGTTAAACGTTCGCCAGTCGTTAGCTTGGCGTCCCTCCCTCCTCCCCGCAGCGATGACCATTGTTGTCATCCTAGCTAGGTCCCGCTCCTTTTCGCCTCCGGGCTCGCTTCTTCCCATATCTTATCCTTGCCTGGGGCGTTTGGGAGTGAGGGCTTCCGGTGGGAATTTATTACAATCGACCCAGCGTGCGACTGACTTATTTGTTTATACATAACGGTCTATGAGCGAACTAAGATTGGTTAACTTGGTCACTGATCAACGTCAATAACCAGTCACTGACGTTTCTAATCTACTGTGTAAACAGTGTAAAGTAAACTCCGCCATCATAAATGCAGAAGGCCTATTTGTTTAGCAAAATTATCCGAAATGAAATCTGTAACTTATCGAGACATTCTCCAGATATTCAGGGAAATTACCTTTTCCACAATCAGAATAAAATAAATTACTGAAAAAGAAGATTAATTTCTATGTGCCATCATTGCAATCAAAAGAGGAGCAAATTCACAATCGGTAGCTTGAGAATTGTCATTCTGGTCAAGTTTAAACTTGAATTTTGTTTTTGGAACAAATGACTTTGCCTTAACTACACACTTGGCATAAGTCATCATAAAATGAATTCAAAACAAAAAGATAAAATTAAAATTAAACAAAACTTTTTTTATCCTCAGATAAAAATAAATAAATAAAACGTTATTTAGCCTCTTCAGTGTTTATTAACTCAAAACAGGAGCCGAGCAAATTTCTGAAACCAGAAAATCGAGAACAAAAGGAAACTATAAACATTTAAAAGACTATTTTGTTATCAAATAACTCATATTACGATTTTTCTCTCAGGGCAAACTGCTAATAGACAAATTTAACAAAGAAAACGCAGCTTGTCGTGATAGCGCGCAGAAAAAGACTGAACCCGACTTCCGGTGTTTGATTTGCCTTTCTACCGTTGCTCAGTCATTGCTCAGTCAAGTCGCTTTTACGACCTGCGCGCGTCGTCTTCACCGTCGTGGCGTTGTCTTTGCCAAATCTGTTTAAAAGCAATGCAAGAAAAAAGTACAAACAGACACTGACTAAAACCTTTTTCTACTTGTATGCTGGGCAAGGTATCTTTTTACATACAAAAAGTACATCATTGAACAGACGATATCTGACCTAGTCGGCTAAATTACGGTGTGGAATTTAATAAAATAAATATCTAACTTATAACTTATATCTACAACGTTCTGTTTGGTCCATAATAATAATTTTCACTCATGGAGTAAATATATATAGCGAAAATTTAGTTTAAACTACAATCGGCGACAAAATTACAGATGTAGTTCAGAGACTAAGAGCCTCTCTGGCGTTTTTGACCAACCTAAAATAAAAATTTTATTATAAAATCTACTTTTCTCTGACTCGTATACGTCACTTTCTATCCTGCAGTGACTAAATATAACACACTTTTAGTTTACAAATACTTTGTTAAACTAGCTCCTTGTTAAAGTCGGCTGTTCTTGTCTAAATATTGTTATTTTATAGAGTCACCTGAGGTTCGTACTCTTTTGAGTTCTTCAAATACCATGACTTTTCATGACTATGTTTTTATGACCTTAGGTTTCGCTGTCATTTTCAAAAATTTCCATTGACCTTAAACAGTTCAACTGAAACAAACTCTGGTATCCAGCAAAATTCGTGCCGTATAATTGCTGCTCTTTATCTTACGCTATCCCTGCTTTGCCATCTGCAGTAACTAATCTACCAGACAAAACTTTAACTTTCCATGACTGTCAAGGACCGACAGTTGAAATTCCATGACTTTCCAGGACTTGAACATGAAATTCTTAAATTCCATGACTTTCCAGGATTTCCATGGCCTGTACGAACCCTGTGAGGTTACAAAAAGATTTCTCGATAAGCAGTTTGAAGGTCACTGAACCCCGGAAGGGAGGCACTGAACTAAAAGTTCCTGTCGCCCAATGTAAGGGAATCCAAGACACGTTTGGATTCTGGATTCCACGCCGTGGATTCCAGATTCCAGGTACTCGATTCTGGATTCTTTCTCAGTGGGACTTGGATTCCGGATTTCAATCGTTGAAAGGATTCCGGATTCCTTGAGTTGTATTCCGGATTCCAAAGTCCGGGATTCCAGATTCCAGTGGCAAAAATTTCCCGGATTGCGGAATCTCATTTTCCTTACACGAAGCGATTAATGAATTTTTAATATTTGTTGAGTGGTGTGAAGTTCAGTACATTTGCACGTATTTCTCCTGACAAGTACTTATAAACACATTCTTGCTACACTGTCCACAACAGGTTCAGTTTTTCAGCCTTGACGCACGGAAAACTGAGCAAAAATCCAAGCTTCGTGATAGACTAGGACTGCGAAGAGGGGAGATAAAGAGTGACAAACGGAGGCGGTGAAATTTTTCAGGAATCAGGACTCACATAATTGATGTTGCCTAGAAGAACTAGAAGTGGGTGAAAGAGGCCATGACTTCCTGGCCTTGAAACAAATTAGGGCCAAACAGTTGTAAGACGCGCGAGCCAAGCCATTTTACCCTAAGACATGATTTCGTTGCAGATGTCCTTGTGGGTGCAATAGACCTTTTCACACCAACACACTGAAGTTAGACCCCTGCCTTCGTTAGAATGAGTGGCATTTTCGAAGAAGAAACTTCCGGCAAGAAATACACCTGATGTAACAGGTTATGACCAATTCTGGCGTGCTCTTACAGCCGCCGAGAACTCTCTCGAACAGTCGAAACAAAAAAGAGTTCAGATGATTTGAAGGGGAAAATTATTTAAATAAGTTCTTTCATTGTAACGATTACAATTATTTAACAATTATTTAATGAGGCTGAGTACCATCTGAACAATTATGGAGATCAAGGAGGGTGTTTACGATTCAATAATCTGGCAATTTGCCGCACGATTGTCGTCATTTTTCACATAACGCAAAACTCTTCCAAATTTGGTCGACAGTAGCTGGTTATGATGAATTGTGCGTGGGATTTTATCCAATCAGAAACGGAGAAATATTTTGAATGAATAATAATAGCAATTATTGAATGAGGCTGCGTATGATATGAATAATTATGCAGATTCAGGAGAGTGTTATCCGCCAAAGCCGAAGGTTGATGCGGATAAGCCCCTTCGAGGGTGGTCTTTCTCCCAAAGATGTGTGAAATTTTCCGCCATTTTCTATCAGAACAACTGAACTAACGCAACCTCGTCCCCAGGGCTTCTCGATTGCCGTGACTTTTTCTGGCGATAGCCTGTATCTAGCCGTTTCTTGAAAACGAACCTGACAAAAGGGAGCGAAAAAGGGACAAAAGGCAGGTTTTTGAGAAGGAAAAGGAAAGGAGAAGAAGAAAGAGCGAGAAGGAAGAAAGAAGAAGAAGAGATAAAAAAATGGTTGCACTCTTAGTTTTTATAATGGCTACTTTGGCTGTAACGGCTTAGAAAATCCGGCTAGATATGTATAATAATAAATCTAAAACTATAGCAGAAACAAAAATGTAACGGGGTGACTTGATCCAGGTCTATATCATCGGGCCTGGCCACGACATATGAAACAAGTTTTGGATTAAACAAACTGACATTTCCATGACTCTAACAAAGCACCACCCCGCTGGGTAATAGTGCATTTCTGAGTTCTAAAATACTCTAACTTTCAAAACGAGGCTAAGTGCAAAATTTTCTTGTGAAAATGAGTTTTATTTGCATAAGAATAAAAAAAAATATTTCAAGGTCAATGCCTTCGCACTTAGCCTCAGAGGCTTGGAGCAACTCGGAAATGGCCTTTTCCTATGCAAACGACGTGATTAAAGTCACGCAAACAGCTTTGGTCTGGGCAGGGTGCAAAGAAAGTCAGTTTTACAACCTGCCATTCGGGCAAGCTGTAGCTAGCATGTACTAGCCCCCAATTCACCTCAACTAGCCCCAAAACCCTTTTTGATCAGCAGGATTGATTACAATCCTTCGGTAGTTTGAATTCCCCCCCAAAACAGCACTTGCATGTCGGGCAAGTTAAGAACAAAAATCACTAGCCTGATACTAGCAAAATCCACTTGCCCTGGGCTATCGAACACGACTTTCTTTGCACGCTGCTGGGTCATTTTATGTCTGTTCCCTTACCTTAACTAACTGTTTAAATTCATTGTATTATTGTTGCCGACCATGAGGTTAACCTTGCAATCATCCGCATGAACATTTACTCTTACGACGGAACCTGCGCAAAAAATGCAGTCACTCATATCAAATAACTTCTCCTACAAAGGTAAAATACAATGTAATTACGCAGAAGATAAATAAATTCACAAATTATGATTGTTCGATAAAACTTATCTTGTTCCCAGATTGTCTGCTTGGAAGGCGTTTCAAAGGGCAAGGGACAGAGAGAAATTAAGGCGCGCGAAACTCGATGGACGTGCCGGAACATCATTCCTCGCGTGCTTATCGCGCGCGTTAATTCTCCCTTTTTCTTGTCTAGTTCACTGAGTACCCAGGATTCCTGTTCCGCGGGTAATAGAGTGTTTTCACATGACGTCACGGCGGCCATATTGGTGTCCCAAAACAATGAAACGGCGGCCACTCTTTCTTTTGTTCCAATAAATTAGCATAGATTCTGGCCACGTGAGTGAAAACACTCTATACACCTTCCATGGACCATTAAGTTTGAGGGGATGGACCATTGGAAAAGAAAAGGGAGACGACAGAAAAAAAATCCATACGTGAAAAATTTCACGTGGAAAAAAATTCATACAGCCGGAACAGGCAGAAAAACATACATACAAGCTAAGAAGAAGAAAAAAAACGCACACCAGGCAAACCAAAATATAATTTTTACATCACGATACCTTTCCGAAAGTTATATATTGCGGATTTACTAATCTCGCGAACTTAGGTAGTCGAGGGGTAATTAGTTCCGGGTCGCACTAGTTTTACGAAGAGACAATGTACTCATATGGTTGGATAAAATTGGCCACTATTGTGACGTATTTATTAATATAACAATAAAAAGTCACGCCACGCTTAACAAACTAATCAGATCGTGACGTGACATGGAAAAAATTAAGTAATTGAATGTCTCTTCGGAAAAGGTGGGGAAGAAATAACCGCCTTCCGAGAGAGAAATAAACACTGGCTGGCGAAGAGGGGGAGGTAGGTAGGAAAATTTGAACAGATAACTTGCCACACGATGGTGTAGAGGTAGAAAGGGGCCCTCGTATTTGCGCAACGTACTATAAAGCAATGCTCGATCACATGTTACCTAGTACCCAGTTCACGCAGCCAGTGCTTGATAACAACAGGTATCCCGACGCAAAAATGTAATTATGTTTGGGACATAATTTTTTGTACATACAATTACTCGCGGGGTTGAATTGACCTCCCCACACCTCTCCCTTCTTTTTTCTAATGGTCCTTTCCTAAGAAGAAATCTATACTCACCATCGACGGATTCGTCTACACCAGTGCCATCTGATTGGTCGTCAGTTTCTCCTCTCTCCAACTTAAGAAAGTAAGTCTTCACATGATGATGTTTAACCCTCTCTGCTACTTGCAGCGGTGTTTCGTTGTGCTTTGTCAAAATGAAAATACATTTCACCAAAGACCCGGGAAATTTGGCACTTGTTTTTCTATTAGAACAATGTATGTTGTTGTTGTGTCATTAAGATACATCCCGCATTATCCTAAATAAACATAATTCATATTGACTGTTTCGTGTCATTGAGGTAATCTGCTAATCAGTAACAAGAAAGAGATTTGTACTTCCAGAGTTGTACTTCCACTCAGCGACCTCGCACTTGCACCCAAATCTGAATGCCACTATAATTGTTTGCAGCCATAGTCGCAGTGTCGTCTTAAGTGCTTGGTTTAAAAAGGGAGTTAAAGATACCGAAACAGCGAGGGCGGGTGAAAACGTCACTTAAAAAGAGTCTTCGCGTTCTTTGAGACTTAAGCGCGATTATCCCAACTTGCTCAGTTGAACTCTCCTGGATCAAATGGGAGGAGATTTATCCACTGGATAGAGAAAGAGAAATTTATGTGTTCACGTTCTCCATAAAGCGCAAAAAAAGACAATTTCACGTCGTAGTCGTGCAGTGACGGCAACAAAATTTATCAAAAGGAGTGCTCCACATGAAAAGATGTTTTTTCGCTAATCTTAACTTGCCCGAGGCTAGTGGATCTTGCTGTTTGGCTAGGGAATTTCGTTCTTTGATTGCCCGAAGGGCAATGCCAAGTGAAGTTTTTTGGGAATTGTATACCTTGTGCAACGGTGTTACACTGAACCAAAGCGATATTAGTAGCAATGTTACTTTGTAGGAAGTGTAAGCTAATTGCGGGCGACCAGAGGAGCCGCAATCCAAATCTCAAGTTTGCTGTTACGCATGAGTGGCAGGTATGTGGCCGGCATCCGTATGGACTCCACTAAGAATGAATGGCAATCGCACGAATAAAACGCAATCTGATCACGGGCGTTTGGACGTTCTATCACGTGAAACTTGCTCTATCTCGCCCACAGGTACACTTCCTAACCTTCGGTTATAATCAGTTTGTAAATACTTGAAGGCTGGTCTAGGCAATACAATAAAAGAATCACAAGGAAATACTTACTTGGCTTTGTTTGCTGTAGTCAGCGGGGCTGTGAGGATTTCTAACCAATGCCTTGACAGCCGAGAGATTGCCCTTCTCGGCAGCTAAATGTAGTGGTGTATGGCCAAACTGAAAAAAACAAATACCACTTTAGTTTATTTAAGACACATCAAAAGATAGCACAGACAAAAAAACAAGGCTTAAGGTGGAATAAAACATACACAGTCAACTAAATTTGTGTCAGCTCCATTCTTTAAGAGCATGTGTAAAAGATCATCATCTCCACCAATTTCATATACCACGAAGTGAAGAGGGGTCCTCTGACTTTCCTAGGGAGATAAAATACAATTAGACAGATTACTTAAAACACAAGGAAAATGTGCCAGAAAGATGGAAAAACTTTCACTAGAAAAAAAGTTCAGCAAAAGGTCCGTCCGAACATTCCGCTTGCGCCATCTAAAACTTTTAGGATATTTACAAATTAGGCAATTACATTTGAGGAGAATTGGTTAAAAGTGCCGGTAAGTAAGCACGTAGTTAATCCAAGGCAGATGCAAAAATTTGTGGGAGCTGAACATGAAGGCAGGTACGAGCAGACAGCCTAGCGATAGCCCTAACAGAGGGTAGGTGAATGGCAGCTGGGATTTAAAATAAGGGGGGTGGGGATGGACACATTTATGGCAAAGTAAAGGAAACTGGATGACAGGGTGTGACTAAGTTCTTCAGGGTTTCTAATAGGCATTATCAGGGATGTCGCTAAGAGCCTGCTGCAGCTTTGCTGCCGGCTAATTTCACCGTCTGAAAAAGGAAAAATTGCTCAGCAAAGACATGGGGTAATTTTGAAGGTGCAGTTGGGTAAAAAAGCTGGCTTGACCTATAACAAAGCCTGCTTAGCTTTTCCTTCGATACATCCCTGGGGAATTATGGAAAAGTTGTCATGAACCTTTTACTTATTTTTTCCTGTTTGCCTGTGGTTGTTTTTTGACATGTTGCACTAAATAAAACTGATAACATTATCATCAGACACTTTACTTTAATTCTCAGTGTCTTTCAAAATAAAATTATAAGAAATGCCCAAAATGTGCTTAAATGTTGTTGTTGTTGTGTCCCTGCCATATCTGACAAAGCTAACAAATAAAATCCACCCACAAATTCAAATTCCCCACTCCGTAGTTACAACAACAGGCAAGAGCATGCAGCAAATTGAAATGACTGGACTTTTATCAGCTATTACGGAAGTATAACTTCCTACATATTTATTTGCCTCTCTGTCAACCAGCGTCTGTCACGCGCACGAGACACCTTTGAACTTTTCCATATGCAGCATACACGTCAATTTCGTCAATTACCTCAATGCGTTAGTTTTGAGTGCATATTAACATAAATACTGGTAAATCTGAACATAAACCTCAACCTTAGTCCAAAAGAAATCAGAATATGTTTTTAATGCTTTAATTAGTCATTTCGGAGTTGCGTAGGAAGCTGGGGCGAGTTTCAAATTTAAACTAATCGATAAACTGACACCACCATATAAAAGGTCATGTTGAGATTGGTTATCTGACCAAGTTTGGTGCTCTAAAATTGAAGGGGAATCAAGTTATGACTCTTGAAACATGGTTAAAGATCCATACAAACGTCTATAATTTTGTGACAGCGTCCCCCAAAACCATATATACTCTTTAAAATTTTTCAGTTTTTCTTTTAAACTGTAAAATTCGTCATGCATCTACTACTTGGAAGGAACTAATTCGAAAATCACTGTGTTTGCCCGTTTTTAGGAATATCACAGAAATCGTGAAAAAAAATTAAGAGTTTATATGGTTTTGGGGGACGCTGTCACAAAATTACAGAGGTTTGTATATTGTATTTTATAAAACATTGACAATTGGTACGAAAGCCTGCGTAGTTCAAGAGTGTCCCAACCAAGCTGTTTTAACATGGGAGTAACATGACTAAAATTTGAGTAGTCTCTAAAAACGAACCTTGCTGCTCTATGCTGAACTGGTTTGATTTGGTGAATATTTCGTTTTATTTAAGGGTTCTACACAGAGCAAGCACACTCTAGTTGAGGACGCACAAGGGTAGTGTATGCCTTGGATTTGACATCCATGGAACAATGCGCAACACCCTTCTCAGAAAACCAAGCGTGCTATTAGCCTTACTACAAATATTATCACAATGTTGATTCCAATTAAGATTATGAGTCATAGTTACTCCAAGATATTTGATGCAGGCTAATTTAGCAATAACAATATCATTAGTGAGATAATTATGGGAAAAGGGGACAACCTTATTAGTAATCCCTAAGTGATAACATTTGGTGATATTAAAGTTTCGTTGCCAGGTTTCAGCCCATTCACGTAAGCATAAAACAGGACCCAGTAATGAGCCTTGGGGTACACCAGAAGGTACAGGCCGAGGGCTGGAGTGAGTGCCATTTACAGACACCACTTGGGAACGATTGCTTAGGGAAGGCTTTGATCCATGCCGCAGTCTTTCCACATATACCATAATAATCAAGTTTTAATAGTAAACGCTGATGAGGTACAGAGTCAAAGGTTCTGCTGAAGTCAAGAAGGATTACGTCAGTTTGTGAACGCGAGTTAATACATCGAGCCTAGTCGCTGATTGCTGAAATAAGTAGAGTTTCATACGAGAAGCGTTGTCTAAATCCATGTTGCTGATCGATCAGGATATTGTTTGTGGCCAAGTGTTTTGCAATGTGACTCAAGATAATGTGTTCCATAACCTTACAACATAAGGAAGTAAGAGAAATGGGGCGATAATTACCAGGGTTTGACTTTGAATCCTTTTTATGAATAGCTGTAACCAGGGCTTCAGTCCAGTCAGAGGGTACTACTCCTGTGTCATAGGACTGTTGGAATATAGAACTAAGCCAAGGTGCAATAGATGAGGTCAGTTCTTTAAGGACACGAGCTGGTATTTCCTCCGGACCACAAGCTTTTCTTAGGTTTAATTGAAGAAGTTGTTTATGTACCCCATGAACTGAGATGTCGATGTCAGAAATTAGGTTGTACGGGGAGGTAGGTTTAGTAGGGATTGGTAGTTTCTCTTGAGTAAATACTGAGTAGAAATAGGAATTAAGTGCCTCGGCTTTGCTTTTATCAAAAGTGCACAGGTTATTGCCATATCGCAGAGGGGGTATACCAATGTCCTCTGATTTACAAGATCTGACATAAGACCAAAGTTTTTTGGGGTTCTCCTGAAGGCTCGCCGCGATACCATTGTTCAAGTAATCACTACATACGAGATTCTTTAACAATCCTTGAAACGAGGTTCCGTTGTTTCTTAAACGCCACCCAATGGTCGGGTTTCTGGTAGCGGAGAGCTTTCTTATGCAATCGATCTTTCTTGCTCATTTGACGTTTGATTTAGAGGGTTATCCAAGGGAGCTTGTATTTCATGTAAGAATATCTTTGAGGAATGTAATTAACCATGCCCTTTGTAAGTGTAGTTTTGAAGAGGGGCCAGTTATCTTCTACAGCAAAGTTTTGTGGAGCTGAAGCAAAGAAGGTCTCTGCAGAATCAGACATGGACTTTCTTAAGCCATCAAAATCTGCTCTTTTGTAGTCAAAAATCTTGTGTGGAGGCTTAAATGATCTTGAATCTTTAACATTTAGGTGAAAAAGGATTGCCAGATGATCACTCATTGCAGGTATAGTATAGACATCAGAGATAACGTTTAGGTAAGATGAAAAAATAAATCCAAAGTTTTTTCAGATGTTGGACGAGTAACGCATTTCACGTGCTGCGTGAGCGAAAAGTCCTCTGTAATACGAAGCAGCCTATTGTGTAGAGCCGAGGCAACTGAGTTGTTAGCAAATGGAACCTCGGCGGACCAGTCAATATCACCAAGGTTAAATTCTCCTGCTTCTATTATGTTAGGGTGATGATTAGAGGATTCCAAGACACAATTAAAGGAATCTGAAAATTGTTCCAAAACATCTTGGGGAGAATTTGGTGGTCTGTAACAAGATGCTAGGTGGGGAGTTTTACAGTTACCGATCTTAACTGATGACCAGAGGATTTCGCAATCTTTTCCATAGTTAGGCTTTTCCTCGCAAACGATTTCAGACTTAATCGTCTGGAACACACCTCCCCCATTACGATTTTGGTCCTTTCTAGACACGGAATAGGTGGGCGGAAGGACTGAATAGGTCGTCACTCAGTCAAGCTTTGATTCACAGCCGAGGATGATATCAGGTTTGTGAAAGTCAAGAAGAACCTGAAATTCTGAGAAACGAGATGGACCCTTGAGGCCGTTGCAATTGATTATCATCCCCTTTAAACCAGAAGATACCTTGGTATCTTGGGGAGCAGTAGGAGCTGACAGGTAGACAGGTTGCTGTTTGGTGATGGTGTTGGTAGGACATGGACGATGTTAATGTTATCCGACGATTCATTCAGAATACTCGTGTCAGCATCTGAAGAAGGATCCAAACCGGAGCCGGGATTTCTAATATCAGAAAAAGGCAGATTCTTTGAAGTTGTAATTACAGACACATGGCAGCTCCATGGGAAGCTGACAGTCAAGGAGACAAGTTTGTTGTATTCAGCAGTTGTTACTTTACCACATTTGATGTGACACCAAGAGAGACAAACATCGCATTGAATCTCTCGATGGTCAGCAGACTGAACATACGTTTTTATTACAGTTAGGAGCTGGACCAGGATTGGCAGAAAGGTCGCTTCAAGAAAGAAGCCTTATCAGCCGGAACCCAGCAACTGAGTTGGGATAGTAGGCCAAACTTGAGGCTAGAAACGTCGTGCGACGGTGTGCAAGAAACCCAAGAAGGCGGCAGAAGTTGACTCGAATTCTGAGAAGAGTGACCACACTACCGCGAAAACTGTGAATAACAGTGTAAAACGTAGATGACTTCAATCCTTTTTTCCTTAAGATGGTGCAGTGAATCGTTTGGACGCGGAGAGCAGACATAAGAAAGCAGAAATACAATGTAAAGAACGCAGCTCAGGAAAACACAGCGAAAACACATCGAGTCGCCATGACACCTTAATCTTACCAATGTCAAATTGAATGCAAACTTAACGATGTCAAATTGAAAGCGAAACAAACAATAGGGTTTCCCCGAAAACCGTAAGGATAAATGCCACAGACTAAACAAAACCGCACGGATTGATTCTAATTACAAGGATTCTGTAGGCAACTAACTCACTGACTATGCAGAAGACATATAAAAGGCTAAGCCGATTCGAGCACTGCACTGCACTGCACTGCAGCGCAGCGCAGTCGATCAGATTGTACGAAATGTTGAACTGCCAAATACAATAGGTCTAACCTGTACTTTCTTCATTTAAGAGGGTATAACGCTTAAGATTTTGATTCGAAATTATTGACATGTTCGACGTAATACAACTCAATCGCGCATAAAATCAATGGAAAATTATTTAAAGTTTACCACCGTCATGAATGAACAACGAAAGAGCAATGATGCGACGCAAAGGAGAAATGGACTGTCTGTGCGCTGGATAAGATTTCCTTGCACTCTCGTGTTTCTTTTTACGTAGGTAAGAGTGAGATGTAATGCTGCGGCAAATAATAACTACGGAAACCTTATTTATAAACTTTAAGTTTCCCACCTGTCTATCGGATTCCCTGAAATTTACTGGTGCGCCATTTTTTAGTAGTTCTCCAATTATTGATATACGGTCGACGCGATCGATTTTTTTGTTTTTTAACGCGTCCCAAAGCCTTCTGCCTTTGTCTTGTACATCTCCATCATTTCTAGTAGCCATTGGAAACAAACTTTCGGATGCCGGGTTGCGGAGAATCTTCGTGCTAAACATAGTTTTTCCAAATCCAGGACGACCAACATCAAGTGTCTTCTGTTTTTCAGCACCAAAAATATCTCCTGGTAGTGTTTGTTGCGAGTTTTCTCTGGTTTGGGGATACTCTTCTAGTCTTTCACCCTCATCTGAATGACATAAAGGATCCCTATCAGATCGTTTGGTTTTCCTTGGGACTTGCTCGTCTGTTGGCTTACTCGAACTCAGATAACATTTATGAAATTCCTGGTCCTTCGTAAAGGCTCTGAAGCTTACTTTTCTTGCACGACATAACAACATATACAGAGACTCGATAAACACAAGGAGTGCAAACGCTCCAGTTACAACGATCACGGCATAAGCCCAGACGGTCTTCTTAGCTGCTCGTTGATTATGACATTCGTATGACGTTTGCGTTTGAGTTTCGTTACGAGACGCACTGGCCGTAATGTCTGAAAACTTCCCGTCTCTTGTTAAGTTACAGTTAAAGTTCGAGGGAAAGCTGAGAGGATAAAGTAATTTGGTCTGCAGAACGAGAAAAAAAATCCCAAGAACAAATCTGACAAGAAGTTGCAAACAGTACGCTTTGAATAGCTTTTTCCGGGGAGTTTGCCCTTCTACATCATCATCCGCGTTGTTTTCACGTTCAAGTTCCTCAACTCTCGACTTCACCGCTTGTGAGTATATTCCACAAACACTTGCAGTCACAAGGAAGTTAATAATCACGAATCCATAAACAGGGAATTTGTTGTATTGTTTATCGTACTCTTCGTAACACTTTCCACGAATGAGTTCCCTGTCGTCATTTGAGCCACAACGGAAGTCTGTCGGTTCGCTGTTTTCAATGTCGAGAAAGATTGGAGATAGGATAATTCCGAGCAAAATCCACAACACATTTGCCACATAACTTAGCCAGTGGAGTGTTTTAGGAGCAAGCAAATCTTTAAGACCTTCCATGTTGTATGCTTCTCGATTTCTCGCTTATGAGCTCGAAATGCTTGCATTTAGCCCAAAGTAGGGGGCGGAGGGGGGGAGAGACGAGGTCTGGGACCCAGAGACGACGTTCTCACAACTTGCAAAGCGGTCAACCTGGCTGGTGGTCAGCGGATAGTTGCAGTATTTTTCCCACAGTAAATCAATCTCGTACCCAGAGTCTTCAAATATTTTGGACAGCGGGACAACGCCGGAAAGACACTGCGGACATCAAATCGGAAAGCACTAGATAACATCGACCTGAACCAGATGAGTAAAACCTGTAATAGACTCAGCTGTATTGCATTGAACGACACGGCTTATGGTCTTTCCGAGGAACGCTGGTTTCGGTCGATGTTATTTAGTGTCGACAAGTCACGAAATGCTATTTAACATCGACCGAATCCTAATGGGAACTCGGCTGCGGCTCCGAAAAAACCTAAATACATAAAATAAATCCCGCGCGAGTGCCAATCCCATCCCAGTTTCATTGCTGTCATTAGAGTTTCAAACAGTAGTTTTCCAGCTTTTCGACTTTCACCGAGGAAAGTTTAAGAAGTTCATAATAAAAAAAAGTTCTACTTCCACAATCACGTGCCAACATTCAAGTTGACATTGGCTGCGGCCGCACTTAGCAAGTTAACCGGGTTAATTTTTGAAAAACCCAGGAAAAAATTCTTCATAACGTAACCTGGTTAAAAGAGTTTATCCACGTTAATTTTTATCAGCGGCCGGACTCAATTTAGACTTTCACTTCATTCAATTTTGGGGCGGTTTTTTGTTTTTGTTTTCGCTCGCTTGAGTCGCTCACAACGCTCGCAGAAGAGTGGCTGACAAAATTTGACCCTCTATCACTGATAAAAAGTGGTCGACTTGTTAAAAGTCGTGACTCAATTATGTTAAGAAAGAAATCTGAACCTGGAGCGAAAGAAGTAATTTCGAAACTGTTGTGCTTGCGTGCATGGTAAAGCCAAAATTTGGACCATTCTTCTCACGCGTAGGCGGAGATGATCGACTGATTGATAAGGTTAACCTGCGTTAAACTCCCGGGGAGGGGGGTACACCCTGTGATGGCCTATACGGGGAGACTCCGCCCGAACGGGGTACCGTTTTTATGCTTCAGGTATATGAAAGGGTAGGGATTTTACTCGTTGAAGTACATAAAAGGGTAGGAAAATTTGTCACTTGGGTCTAAGAAAGGGCCCAATCAGGACTAACAGATACATTTTATGGCTTTATAAAGTGTAGGAAACGTTCCATTTCTGTGATTGATTCCTATTTAAACGACAGTGCATTTACAGCAGTTAAAAGGGATATAAAGTTCTAAACGAGGTATGTGAAAGGGGTACCATTTGTCAATACAAGGTATACGAAAAGGGTACCTTTTCGTGAAAAATGGTATATAAAAGGTAAGGGGTTGGACCTCGGGGCGAAGCCTCCCCCTAAAAAACTTTGTTGAGTACCCCCCAGGATTAAACTACCTCGCGAGGCGGAGTAAAAAAACTAAAGATAAGATAAAAGGAATAAAAATCTATCAAACTTACCTGTGAAATGAAAGTTTTGGTGATTTTCCACACTCCCCCGATAACAAGGTGTATTCGTTGGGGAGAGTTGTCGAAGAAGTTCTCTTCCAGTCGCTGTTTGATTATGCCATCATACAATAAACGTAACACTAACCTAACGTTTTAAAGTGAGACTGTTTCTTAAAATCAGATTTGCTGAATTTCACGGAAAGCGTTTTCTGGTACTCGAAACACCAGCAGGAAAAATAGAGATTGGCAATTTACGATATTTATGGATAAAGTAACTATTCTCACTGGGGCCATCGCTTACAAACGCCCCAAATCCCTTCGGGATTCAAGGATAAAATTCCCGCGCGCTCGTAGTCTCCTGGGTGTTCTGTTTCACACAGGTTTTGTATAAATAGGCCTGTTTTGGCCTGTTTAATTGTCTTTTCGTTAAACGTTCGCCAGTCGTTAGCTTGGCGTCCCTCCCTCCTCCCCGCAGCGATGACCATTGTTATCATCCTAGCTAGCTCCCGCTCCTTTTCGCCTCCGGGCTCGCTTCTTCCCATATCTTATCCTTGCCTTGGGCGTTTGGGAGCGAGGGCTCCCGGTGGGAATTTATTACAATCGACCCTGCGTGCGACTGACTTATTTTTTTATATATAACGGTCTATGAGCGAACTAAGATTGGTTAACTTGGTCACTGATCAACGTCAATAAGCAGTCACTGACGCTTCTAATCTACTGTGTAAACAGTGTAAAGAAAACACCGCCATTGTAAATGGAGAAGGCTTGTTTGTTTAGCAAAATTATCCGCAATGAAATCTGTAACTTATCGAGACATTCTCCAGATATTCAGGGAAATTACCTTTTCCACAATCAGAATTATATAAATTACTGAAAAAGAAGATTAATTTCTATGTGCCTTCATTGCAATCAAAAGAGGAGCAAATTCACAATCGGTAGCTTGAGAATTGTCATTCTGGTCAAGTTTAAACTTGAATTTTGTTTTTGGAACAAATGACTTTGCCTTAACTACACACTTGGCATAAGTCATCATAAAATGAATTCAAAACAAAAAGATAAAATTAAAATTAAACAAAACTTTTTTTATCCTCAGATAAAAATAAATAAATAAAACGTTATTTAGCCTCTTCAGTGTTTATTAACTCAAAACAGGAGCCGAGCAAATTTCTGAAACCAGAAAATCGAGAACAAAAGGAAACTATAAACATTTAAAAGACTATTTTGTTATAAAATAACTCATATTACGATTTTTCGCTCAGGGCAAACTGCTAATAGACAAATTTAACAAAGAAAACGCAGCTTGTCGTGATAGCGCGCAGAAAAAGACTGAACCCGACTTCCGATGTTTGATTTGCCTTTCTACCGTTGCTCAGTCAAGTCGCTTTTACGATCTGCGCGCGTCTTCTTCACCGTCGTGGCGTTGTCTTTGCCAAATCTGTTTAAAAGCAATGCAAGAAAAAAGTACAAACAGACACTGACTAAAACCTTTTTCTACTTGTATGCTGGGCAAGGTATCTTTTTACATACAAAAAGTACATTATTGAACAGACGATATCCGACCTAGTCGGCTAAATTACCGTGTGGAATTTAATAAAATAAATATCTATCTTATAATTTATATCTACAACGTTCTGTTTGGTCCATAATAATTATTTTCACCCATGGATTGAATAAATATAGCGAACATTTAGCTTAAACTACAATCGGCGACTAAAATACAGATGTAGTTCAAACACTCTTAAGAGCCTCTCTGGCGTTTTTGACCAACCTAAAATAAAAATTTTATCATAAAATCTACTTTGCTCTGACTCGTATGCGTCACTTTCTATCCCGCAGTGACTAAATATAACACACTTTTAGTTTACAAATACTTTGTTAAACTAGCTCCTTGTTAAAGTCGGCTGTTCTTGTCTAAATATTGTTATTTTATAGAGTCACCTGAGGTCAGGGTTCGTACTCTTTTGAGTTCTTCAAATGCCATGACTTTTCACGACTATTTTTTTATGACCTTAGGTTTCGCTGTCATTTTCAAAAATTTCCAAAACTTTAAAGGCCGATACACACGAGGGATTTTGCTCCCGGAGCATGCTCCAGGGGCACGCTCCGGGAGCAAAGCTCCTCCGTGTGTACCAACGATTTCATGGGTATACTTAATCCTCGGGAGCAGAATTTCCACCCCGCAAAATGCTCCACGATATTTAACAGGTTAAATATTTGGGAGCAAGCTCCCGAGGCAAATTGAGCGAACTTGTTGAAAACCCTCCCTCGTGTGTACTGACACCTGCAAAATGAGCCTAGAGCATGCTCCGGGAGCAAAACCCCTCGTGTGCATCGGCCTTAATGGCTTAAGCATATTTTTGACCTTAAACAGTTCAACTGACACAAACTCTGGTATCCAGCAAAATTCGTGCCGTATAATTACTCCTCTTTATCTTACGCTATCCCTGCTTTGCCATCTGCAGTAACTAATCTACCAGACAAAACTTTAATTTTCCATGACTGTCAAGGACCGGCAGTTGAAATTCCATGACTTTCCAGGACTTGAACATGAAATTCTTAAATTCCATGACTTTCCAGGATTTCCATGGCCTGTACGAACCCTGTGAGGTTACAAAAGGATTTCTCGATAAGCAGTTTGAAGGCCACTGAACCCCGGGGGGGGGGGCACTGAACTAAAAGTTCCTGTCGCCCAAAGTCCAGGATTCCACATTCCAGTGGCAAAAATTTCCCGGATTCCGGAATCTCAATTTCCTTACACGAGGCGATTCCTGGATTTTTAATATTAATGTTAAATGATGTGAAGTTCAGTGCATTTGCACGTATTTCTCCTGACAAGTACTTATAAAAACATTCTTGCTACACTGTCCACAACAGGTTCAGTTGTTCAGCCTTGACGCACGGAAAACTGAGCAAAAATCCAAGCTTCTTGATAGACTAGGACTGCGAAGAGGGGAGATAAAGAGTGACAAACGGAGGCGGTGAAATTTTTCGGGAATCAGGACTCACATAATTGATGTTGTCTACAAGAACTCGAAGTGGGTGAAAGAGGCCATGACTTCCTGGCCTTGAAAACAAATTAGGGCCAAACAGTTGTAAGACGCGCGTGTCAAGCCATTTTACCCTAAGACATGATTGCGTTGCAGGCGTCCTTGTGGGTGCAATAGACCTTTTCACACTAACACACTGAAGTTAGACCCCTGCCTTCGTTAGAATGAGTGGCATTTTCGAAGAAGAAACTTCCTGCAAGAAATACACCTGATGTAACAGGTTATCTGCAGATGACCAATTCTGGCGTGCTCTTACAGCCGCCGAGAACTCTCTCGAACAGTGGAAAGAAAAAAGAGTTCAGATGATTTGAAGGGGAAAATTATTTAAATCAGTTCTTTCATTGTAACGATTACAATTATTTAACAATTATTTAATGAGGCTGAGTACCATCTGAAGGATTATGGAGATCAAGGAGGGTGTTTACGATTCAATAATCTGGCAATTTGCCGCACGATTGTCGTCATTTTTCACATAACGCAAAACTCTTCCAAATTTAGTCGACAGTAGCTGGTTATAATGAATTGTGCGTGGAATTTTATCCAATCAGAAACGGAGAAATATCTTGAATGAATAATAATAGCAATTATTGAATGAGGCTGCGTATGATATGAATAATTATGCAGATCCAGGAGAGTGTTATCCGCCAAAGCCGAAGGCTGATGCGGATAAGCCTCTTCGAGGGTGGTCTTTCTTCCAAAGATGTGTGAAATTTTCCGCCACTTTCTATCAGAACTACTGAACTAACTTAAGCTCGTCCCCAGGGTTTCTCGGTTGCCGTGCCTTTTTCTGGCGATAGCCTTTACCACTGATGCCATTTTATCACGGAATTTTGCAAACGTCTTCTAAACTTGGTCGACGCCAGCTGGTTATGAAGAATTAGCTAGAGGATTTCGGCCAATAAGAGACGGAGAAATATTTTGAATTTTTTGAACACGAACCTGACAAAATCTGCAGCGATTTGACTGAAAAAGGGCCAAAGCTTGAAAATCACACATGCGAAGGAAAAAGAAAGGAGAAAAAGAAAAGCGAGGAGGAAGAAAGGAGGAGAAGGGAAAAAAAACAATGGTTGCACTCTTAGTTGTTATAATGGCTACTTTGGCGGTAACGGCTTAAAAAATCCGGCTAGATATATATAATAATATATCTAAAACTACAGAGAAACAAATGTAAGTGTGTAACTTGTTCCAGTTCTATATCATGGAGCGTGGCCACGACATATGAAAACAAGTTTTGGATTAAACTCAAACACATTTCCATGACTCTAACAAAGCGCTGCCCCGCTGGGTAATAGTGCATTTTTTAGTTCTAAAATACTCTAACTTTCAAAACGAGGCTAAGTGCAACATTTTCTTGTGAAAATGAGTTTTATTTGCATAAGAATAAAAAAATATTTCAAGATCAATGCCTTCGCACTTAGCCTCTGAGGCCTGAAGCAACTCGGAAATGGCCTTTTCCTATGTAAACGACGTGATTATAGTCACGCAAACAGCTTTGGTCTGGGCAGGGTGCAAAGAAAGTCAGTTTTACAGCCTGCCATTCGGGCAAGCTGTAGCTGGCACGTGCTAGCCCACAAGTCATTTCAACTAGTGCCAAAACCCTTTTTGATTAGCAGGATTGATCACAATCCTTCGGTAATTTGAATTTCCCCCAGAAACAGCACTTGCCTGTCGGGCAAGTTAAGAACAAAAATCACTAGCGAAATCCACTTGCCCTGGGCTATCGGACACGACTTTCTTTGCACGCTGCTGGGTCATTTTATGTCTACTCCCTTACCTTAACTAACTGTTTAAATTCATTGTATTATGGTTGCCGACCATGAGGTTAACCCTGCGGTCATCTGCATGAAAATTTACACTCAAGACGGAACCTGCGCAAAAAAATGAAGTCACTCATCAAATAACGTCTCCTACTAAAGGTAAAATACAATGTATACGTAATTACGCAGAAGGTTTGAAATAAATTCACAAATTATTACTGTTTGATAAAACTTATCTTGTTCCCAGATTGCCTGCTTGGTAGGCATTTCAAGGGGCAAGGGACAGGGAGAAATTTAGCCTGCGAAAACATCCGTTTCTCCTCGCTCTTCGCCAGTGGGGACGTTTAGCGGCGAGGAGCGAGGAGAAACGGATGCTTTCGCAGGCTAGGAGAAATTAAGGCGCGCGAAACTCAATGGACGAGCCAGAACATCCTTCCTCGTGCACCTATCGCGCGCATTAATTCTCCCTTTTTCTTGTCTAGTTCACTGAGTACCCAGGATTCCTGTTTTGCGGGTAATACACCTTCCATGGACCATTAAGTTTGAGGGGATGGACCATCGGAAAAGAAAAGGGAGAGGACTGAAAAAAAATCCATACATGAAAAATTCACATGAAAAAAAATTCATACAGCCGGAAAAGGCAGAAAAAAATACACACGCGCTGAGAAGAAGTAAAAAGATGTACACAAGGCAAACCAAAAAATAATAAGTTAAGTTAAGTTTACACGCAAGGTCGAATTGACTCCCCACACCTCCCCCTTCTTTTTTGTAATGGTCCGTTCCTAAGAAGAAATGTACGACTTACCATTGACGGATATGTCTACATCAGTGCCATCTGATTGGACGTCAGTCACTCCTCCCGCCAACCTACGAAGGTAAGTCTTAACATGATGATGTCCAAGTCTCTCTGCTACTTGCAGGGGTGTTTCATCGATCTTTGTCAAAATAAAAATACATTTCACCAAAGACCCGGGAAATTTGGCACTTGTTTTTCTATTAGAACAATTTATGGTATAATGATATATGAAATAAATCATATATGAACTGCGGAAATGAAATGAAAATGAAGAAATGATCGTCGCAGTGAACGCAATTTATGCAATTGCGTAAGGAAGCCTGAAAAAAATTCGGGTTCAAACCCCTTTGAAGTCTTGAATTTTTTTCAGGCTTCTTTACGCAATTGCATAAATTGCGTTCACTGCGACGATCATTTCTTCATTTTCAATCTATGTTATAGTTGTGTCATTAGGATACATCCCGCATTATCCTAAATAAACACTTTTCATATTGATTGTCTCGTGTCACTGACGCAAACTGCTAATCAGTAACAAGAAAGAGAAGTGTACTAGGCAAACAATAAGGTTGAAGATTCCAAAGTTGTACTTCTACTCAGCGACCTCTACTTGCACCCAAATCTGAATGTCACCATAATCGCTTTTAGCCATAGTTGTAGTGTCGTGTTAAGTGCTTGGTGAAAAGAGGGCATTTAACGATACCACAAAGGCTACGGCGGTGAAAACGTCCCTTAAAAAGTGTCTTCACTTTCTTTGAGAGTTAAGCGCGATTATCCCAACTTACTCAGTTTGACAAATGTAGGTGAACTCTCCCGGCTCTGGTTTTTCAAATGGATGGAGATTTATCCACAGGATAGCGCTATCCCTGATACAGTCCTCTATGGCTGATGTAGCAATAATTAAATTTCGACCCTGCTCACAAAAGAACCTCCAGTAGCTCAGTGGTTGGAACCATTCTATCAGTAAACTTGCTCAGTGGTTGGAGCGTTTGGACCCTGGAACCTCCAGTAGCTCAGTGGTTTTTTGGACATTCTATCACGTGAAACTTGCTCTATCTCGCCCACACTTCCTACTCTATGGCTGATGTAGCAATAATTAAATTTCGACCCTGCTCACTGATCAGTGGTTGGAGCAATTTTGAATTAAAAACTTTCGACCCTGCTCACAATAGAACCCCTCCAGTAGCTCAGTGCTCAGTGGTTGGACGCGTTTGGACATTCTATCACGGAAACTTGTTTCTGACATTCTATCACGATGAAACTTGCCTCCAGTATCAGTGGTTGGAGCGTTTGGACCATTCTATCACTTCCTACTCTATGGCTGATGTAGCAATAATTAAATTTCGACCCTGCTCACAATAGAACCTCCAGTAGCTCAGTGGTTGGAGCGTTTGGACGGGTGTTTTGACATTCTATCACGTGAAACTTGCTCTATCTCGCCCACACTTCCTACTCTATGGCTGATGTTGCAATAATTAAATTTCGACCCTGCTCACAATAGAACCTCCAGTAGCTCAGTGGTTGGAGCGTTTGGACGGGTGTTTTGACATTCTATCACAACTTGGAGCCCCTGCTCACAAAAGAACCTCCAGTAGCTCAGTGGTTGGAGCGTTTGGACGGGTGTTTTGACATTCTATCACGTGAAACTTGCTCTATCTCGCCAAATGTAGCAATAATAAAATTTCGACCCTGCTCAAATAGAACCTCCAAGGGTTGGAGCGTTGCTATTACGCATGAGTGGCAGATATGTAGGCGGCATTCATATAGACTTCACTAAGAATGAATCACAATCGCATGCATAAAACGCAATCTGATCACGGGTGTTTGGCCCACATGTACACTCCCTAACCTTTGGTTATAATTAGTTTGTACATACTTGAAGGCTGGTCTAGGCAACACAATTAAAGAGCCACAAGGAAACACTTACTTTGCTTTGTTTGCTGTGGTTAGCGGGGCTGTGAGGATTTCTAACCAATGCCTTGACAGCCGAGAGATTGCCTTTCTCGGCAGCTAAATGTAATGGTGTGTGGCCAAACTGCAAAACAAATAGTACTTTACTTTATTTAACACACACCAAAAGATAGCATTCTTGATAGACAAACTAAAAATCCACTTCTTCCACCTTGAATGAGCCAAAAATACTAGACAGAAGTGATAAGAGACAGGGGAAATAACAGACAACTTTTAACATTTTGCAAATTATCTCAACCACTGCATTGAAAGTAAATGTAAGAGAAAAGCAGGAAAGATATAGCCAGGTAAAGAGAAACCCTAAGGGAGACAGCACCCATTAGGCAAAAAAATTACCAACGATAGATCAGGAAAGGATGGTGCACGGTTACTCCCTGCAATAAGTCAGTTTGTTACAGTCAGAGATGACTGTGATTGGTGGGCGATAGTCTTATCTTAGTCTGTTGCGATTGAATCCACAGTCTCTTACCTTACAAAATAATAGGGACCTTAAGCAACCAGAACGTTGACGTTCCTGACATCAAAAATAGCAACTAAAACTTGATATTTTCTCTCTTTCAGTAATCTGACTCAACAAATTCATACAGCAGGTGTTAAAACAAAGACATTCAGATTTGTTGTTTGAGACAGAAGCGTTCCCTCAAGCGAGATAATAGACTTCCGGTTGCTATTCATTGATTTTGGGATGTCAACGTTCACATTACTTAAGCTCGATATTACTGTATTAGCTAAGCCTTACAGTGCAACCGAGAAAACCGTCAACACTTGAAATATCTCAGGAATGTTTGTTATGTTATGACCAATCGTATCAAAGATCAGGACACGCAAACTGGCCACAAAACCACAAAGTAATCGAAGTTCTTGCTTGCGGTTTAGTTTCCTCACGCCTGATTGGCTTTCAGCAAGACAATAACATTCCAGAAATACTTTTGGTGTTCACGGTTTTAAATTTCCCGGTTTCACTGTAAGTCTTACCCTCACCTGGGGCATTTTTACGACACATGAGCAAATTTGAGGTGGTCTTAGGGAAAAACCAAATTCCCAAGCGTCTAGAATTTTCCAGACAAAAAACAAGGCTTAAGGTAGAATAAAACATACATAGTCAACTAAATTTGCGTCAGCTCCATTCTCTAACAGCATGTCCAAAAGATCGTCATCTCCACCAATTTCATATACTATGAAGTGAAGAGGGGTCCTCTGATTTTTCTAGGGAGATAAAATACAATAAGACAGATTATTTAAAACATAAAACGCGCCATCTAAAAATGTTAGGATATTTAGGCAAGTACATCCGAGGGAAATCAATAAAACGTGCCGCTAAGTAATCCAAGGTAGACGTAAAAATTTGAGGGGGCTGAACACGAGGCCAGGTACCAGCAGACAGCCTAGAGATCACCTGACACCACATAGCCCTAACAGAGGGTGGGTGATTGGCAGCTGAGAGTTAAAATTAGGGGGGAAGGGTGGGGATGGGAGGCTTTTAACACATTTATGGCAAAGTAAAGGAAGCTGGATGACTGGGTGTGACTAATTCTTCAGGGTTTCTAACAGGCATTATCATGATCAGGGATGTTGATGAGAGCCTGCTGCTGGCTAATTTCAGTGGCTGAAAAAGAGAAAATTGCTCGGCAAACACATGGGGTAATTTTGAAGGTACAGTTGAGTAAAAAAGCTGGCTTGACTAATACAAAAGCCTGCTTAGCTTTTCTGAAGCAACATCCATGGGGAATTATAGTATAGTTGTCATGAACCTTTCACTTATTTTTCCTATTTGCCTGTGGTTGTTCTGCAACATGTTGCTCTCAATTAACTAATAACATGACCATCAGACACTTTACTTAATTCTCAGTGTCTTTCAAAATAAAATTTTAAAAAATGCCCAAAATGTGCTTAAATAAGATCTTCTCATTAGGGGGAAGAGAATGTTTTGGGCCCACGGCAATATATCGGTACACCTGGTTCTGGCGTCCCTGCCATATCTGACAAAGCTAACAAATAAAATTCAATAAAATAAATTATATCAGCCTGCCCATACCATGTGATTCAAGGGACAGAGGGTTGGAAGTCATACATAGCCAAAATGGGTATGTGTTGGAATTTGGTTTTGATCTAGGAAAGAAAGAGCATAGAAACAGTTTCTCATTAACAGGACCTCCAGGGTAGGGTAGGGAATATTTGGAATGAAGTCTGAATGAATGATAACTTTATTTATACACGGTTGAAAACATCAGTCTAACATACAAAATTAACAAAAAATTCTCACAAACTGTTTCACATATTTGCCGCGTGGTAGTACTGATTAGAAAACCATCTATGGGAACTTCTCTTAAAGAGACCTAAGGAATTTGATGTACGTATTTCCTCAGGGAGATTGTTCCATAGAAGAGCGCCACTGTAACTAAAGCTACGCTTCAGGTAATCAGTTCTTGGTTTTGGGAGCATTAATTTTTTCTTCATGTTGCGAAAATAGTAATTCGGTGTTCTTGGCGCAAACAAATTACAGAGATAAGCTGGGGCGAGATTATTAATGCACTTGTACATGAAATAAGCCTTTTTTTCAACCCTTGTAACTCTGATAGCACGATTTTGAAGTTTTTGAAGTTTCTCCCTAAGCTGTTGGGTCAAGCCATCCCATACAGAGCTGCAACAATCGAAGTGTGGCTCAATAAGACCTTTGTATATTTTAATTGCAGTGTGCATTGAAACAAATGGCCTGACCCACTTAAGAGCACCGATACCAGAGGATACTTTTTTAGAGATTTCATGAATGTGGGCCTTCCACAAGAGATTTTCATCAGTGATAAGCCAGAGGGATTTGCTTTGATTGCTTTGGTTTATTGGGACGTCATCTATATGAATGTTCATTGTCTAGTCATTTAAGGACTGTAGTTTCTGCCTCGAGCTAATAACCATAAACTTTGTTTTGGCAACTTTGAGACTTAACTCATTATCTTTGAGCCAGCGATCAGTATATTTCAGGTCACTACAGTCTGGTTATTTTAAGGCTCGGGACGTCACACATCCACGCACAAATTTCAATATTTCCCCACTCCGTAGTTACAACAACAGGCGAGAGCATGCAGCAAATTGAAATGACTGGACTTTGACCAGCTACCACGAAAGGATGACTTCCTAAACATTTATTTGCCTTCTGTCAAACAGCGTCTGTCACGCGCACGAGACACCTTTGAACTTTTCCATGCGCGGCCATACACGTAAGTTTTGTCAATTACCTCAGTGTATTACATGTAGTTCTGACTGCATAGTAACATAAATACTGGTAAATCTGAACTTAAAACACAACCTTATTCCAAAAGAAATCGAAATATGTCAAATGGAAAGCGAAACAAACAATAGGGTTTCCCGTAAAACCGAAAGGCTAAATCCCTGTTAAGTAACCAGACTAAACAAAAACACATGGATTGATTCTAATTATATTTACTACCTCATACCTGCGTTAGGAAAAAGAAATTGAAATTATAAACCGAGAATCATTAACTACCTCATACCTGAGTTAGGAAAAAGAAATTGAATTTATAAACCGAGAATTCTGTAGGCAAATCACAGACTATGCAGTGGACGACTAAAAGCTAAGCCGAATCGAGCACTGCATTGCAGCGAAGGGAATGTTGAATTACCAAATACAATCAGTCTTATCTGTACTTTCTTCATTTACGAAAGTATTTCGCTTAAGATTTTGATTCGAAAGAACAGACATTTTCGGTACAATACAATTCAATCGCGCGTAAAATCCATGGGAAATTTAAATTAAAGTTTTACCACTGTCATGAATGAACAGCGACACGCGATGGAACAATAGAGTTGTACTTTATACTATACTCTCTGTGCGCTGGATAAGATTTCCTTGCATTCTCGAGTTTCTTTCAGTTTTCGTTGGTAAGAGTGAGGTGTAATGCCGCCGCAAAAAAATAACTACAGGAACCTTATTTATAAAGTTTTCTCACCTGTCTATCGGGTTCCCTGAAATTTGCCGGCGCACCATTTTGTAGTAGTTCTCGGATTATTGATTTTCGTTCGACGCCACCGATTTTTTTGTTTTTTAACGCGTCCCAAAGCCTTCTGCCTTTGTCTTCTACATCTCCATCATTTCTCCTAGCCATCAGAACAAACTAAGGAGGCATTAAGACAGAAACCCTTGGTAAAAACAAGCATGGAGATCGGAGAAGCGATGTTCGTAAACACAGGGTTCTAGCCGCGGCGGCTCCCGCTAAAAATAGACGGAGAAAGAAGACTGGAAACGAAATAAAAATGGATTACTTGAACAAACCTGTGACTAGAAACCGAAACCGCGATAGAAAAGTCTCTGGCACCCAGGGTAGTGACTTTGAAATTTCTATCTGAAATTTCCTTTTATTTGTTTTTTAGAAAGTTCCAAAACAAATTAAGAATATAAGAGTCATATAAAGAGACAAAAGAGGTGGTCCTCTGCGCCAGTCATTTGTAATCAAAGAACTGATTTCAAAAAGGAATAACGAAAATATATAGCAGAAGTTAAAAGAGGAACTTTAATAAAGTCAGAGTGATTTGCCATAAACTTGACAATGTACTGCAAATGCTCTATTCTCCAGATTCTCATTTCTTGACGGAAGAGTTGGAAAGCTCAGGCTGACAAGTTGTCACAAAATGTGGGGAAGGAACGCGTGACGCGTGACAAAGCCCAAAGAACTTCTGAGTGCGAGGCTACCTTGTGTTTAAGGCGCGGGAACCGCTCCTGGTGCGAAGTGCGAGCCAACCCATTCGGGTTTCTTGTTGCAGATACGATTTTTTACTTGGTGTCACATCAGTGTCTTCTACTCCCGGCCCGAGAGAGTGTGTGTTAATCTGTGAGAAAACAAGCTTTTTTTTTCTAAAATATACCTCGCTGTTTTTTTTCAGCTAAGTTGATGGTTGAATGCCAACAATCTCTGTTTCGGCTTACAGAGTTAAAAATCTGTTACAGATCATAAACCATTTAAGCATGTTAAATTACATTTAATGCCAGAAAAAAAAAACGTATGGCAAGAAGACTAATTACATCCATATAATTACACTGCTATTACAACCTGTTGAACCACAATAAGAGTAAGTTCTCCAGTAGGGGCCACAATTATTTCGTGTTGTTTATTCCGGACCCTTATAAACTGGAGCTTATTCTGCGGGTCTAATTCTCGCACCGCGGAATGGGCCATTTCTATGAGGTTCCCATACAGCAACGCGTAGTTTTTAGTGGTCGTGATGTCCATATTTGTTCTGAGTGCTTGTCCCTCACGATTTGTCAACATCAAAGCCACTACATTGGGGGCCTGGGCCTGGATCCGCCGAAGGAATCTTATCAAATCTTCCATGTCTTTTTGAAAACGTGAATAAGGAATAAGCTGAAACAGACGAAACAGGAAGAAAATGACGTCATCATATAAAAAGAATCTTCCATTACTCTAAAATGTTTTCTGAAAAAAATTGTAAATAGGAAATAAAATACATGAGAATATCTTTGCGTGATTGGCACCCTAAGAAGGTGATCAGTCACGGGAGGAGGTTATCAACGACCACTCGGATAACAAGCGCAATTGACCAGGGTGTTCAAACTGACGTTGCTTTTTTAGATTTCTCCAAGGCATTTGACTCAGTCTCGCACCCCCACTTGATCAGCAAGTTAGATCAAATTAGAATTGAAGGCCCTCTTCTGCAGTGGTTCACAAGTTATCTGGATAACAGGGTTCAGCGTGTGGTAATCGATGGCAAAAACTCTGAGTGGTTACCGGTCACTTCGGAAGTCCCGCAGGGCTCCCTGCTTGGTCCGGTTCTGTTTGTGTTATTCATCAATGACATGCCTTGTGCTGTGTCTCAGTGAAGCACATTGGCATTGTTTGACGACGATGCCAAATGCTTCCGCAATATTAGATCTGCCAGTGACTGTGTGCTGTTTCAAGGTGATATTGATAACCTGGTTGACTGGAGTGATGTTTGGAAGATGGCTTTTAACATGGATAAATGCTCGCTTTGCACGATAACGAGGAAGCGCAATCCAATAATTTATGATTACAATACGAGAGGAAAGGCACTTAAGAGAGTGGAGGCTCAGCGTGACCTTGGCGTTCTCATCACTTGTGAAGCTCGACTCAATGAGCACATCTACGCCCAGGTGAACAAAGCTAATAAGATGTTAGGTTTTATCCGTCGTTCACTTAGCAGCAGGAGCGATCAGTTTCTGCCAACATTTAGATCTCTCTACGTGGCCCTTGTGCGTTCGCATTTGGAGTATGCCTCTGAAATCTGGAGTCCAAAGTCTGTCACCTTAATAAAGCTTATTGAGGGTGTCCAACAACGTGCTACGCGGCTTCTCCTACCTAATTTAACTTACAATGAACGCCTTCAGCAGCTCAATCTTCTCCCATTGGTGTACCAATTAGAGAAGTTAAAGACATAACAACATTTTATAAACTGAAGTGTGGTTACTATAACTATTCAGTTGAAAGATATTTTGACTTTTGGTCAGACAAAAGATTAAGGTCATATTCTAGTAATAAGTTAAAGATTAACAAAGTCAGAACCGAATTATTCAAAGGCACTTTTTTCAATAGATTACCATATTTATGGAACAACCCGCCCGATAAACTCAGGACCTCTAATTTAAGCCTATCATTATTTAAAAAACAATGTAATGAGTTCTATAAAAAGAAGAACTTCGACCCTGACCACGCGCATGTCACTTGGATGTAGCGATCGATGTAACAATTATTTTCTGAGTAGATTAATCTAGGATATGACATATTAGCAATTATAGTTTTTAAACTTAAGATATAACTTTAATTTTTTTTTCTTTTTCCTTATTTAAGTGTAAGTTGTAGTTTTTGGGTGGACTAGCTCGAATGGTTCGTATGTTCCCTTCTAGTCCTTCTCCACCGCAATAATTTTTTTTCTTTTTTTTTTCTAGTATTTAGTTAATTGTTCTCTTATGTAATTTAGCTAAGTTTTCTTTAAATATATATATATGTATATGTTTTATGTGTGATACCTTTGTTTCAACTAATGCAGTGAAAATGGAATAAATTAATTAAATCAAATTAAGTTAAATTAGAACAATCTGTTTTAGCTTTTTCAACATAATCTTCCTCAATCTAGATGTGAGATGGTAGAGCGAGAAAAGAAACCCAAGGTGTTTTTCAAAACTTTCCCTGGTTTCGTGGACTTAATTAATTACACGTTGTTACACAACTTGAGCTGCGTTAAGTACACAACTTGATCATCTTGAATATTTCTATAAGTATGGATTATTCGTGGAATTATTTTGTTGCTGTTGTCCTCGTGGGTGTTAAATGTTCTTTTAATACCAACTTACAGAAGTTAGACCGCTACCTTTGTTATAGTGAACGACATATGCGCGAAGACTCCCTGCAAGAGAATGCACCATCTATAACAGGCAATCTGCAGAAGGCCAATTCAGTACGGCGGAGATGTTTCTCGGACGTTCGAAAAAGAGTTAAAATGATTTGAGAGGGAACATTATTTGAGTTCATTCAACGCAACAATTATAAAAATGTAACAGATCTAAGACTATCACTGACAAACTTGTAAGTGTTTGCTTTCTCGATATCTTATGGACATGGCACGACTCATGAAAACAAGTAAACTGTTTTAGATTAAACAAAAGGTCACCAGGGTTTCATGACTCTAACTAACCGATGGCCCGTTGCCTAATTCGTACCCAAACGGAGTGATTACAACAACACAACCAGCTTTATTTGCGGCATTTTCCGTCTACTTTATTTGTTACCGTTTGTAACGGTATACGTTCATTGTAGTATTGTCGCCGATCATTATGTGTGGATTTCCGCCGTCTGCATGTACTTTGACAACCGCATCTGCATAAAAAAAAAAAAAAAAACAGTCACTCACTTAACACAACCTCTTCTACAAAGGCAAAACACAATGTAATTACGTATAAAGGATGTCAAATTAATTCACTAAATTCTCTTTTGTAGCCCCTACGCTGTGGAGCTCACCTCCAGACATAATAACACTGTTCGTTTTGAACGGTCTCACGTAAAAAAGGTTTTTTTTGTTTTAGCCAATTATTTTAATAAATAAATATTTAACAATTATTCCTCTAGCCCGAATGGCCTCTGAGTCAATAGCCCATGAGGCCGAAGGCCGAATAGGCTATTGACTCAGCATTCGGGCTAGGGGAATAATTGTTTTAGTAAAATCCAGCTAATTGGTCAAAAATATCGAGACAAAACAACTTTAGCTAGCAAAACGCGATTCAGCCGCCACTGTTTTGGTTTTCAAAGCCAACGCTTTTCGCTACTAGTGGGCTATAACATATAGCCAAGTAGTAGCTCAACCAATCAGAACGCAGCATTGATAACAGACCACTAGTTGGTTTTTACTAAATAGATTTAGCCAACACTAAAAGCGAAGCTCTCGAGGGATCTTTTGAGAAATGTCCTTCTCAAGTAATTCAACTTCAACCGTCAGCAGAAAGCAAACTAACCCGCCTTGAAAAATGGACCTGAGCCCGCGATCAATTGAAAACCAAAAACTGCTCTCTGAATAGCTTTGAAAAATACGTTGTATACCTGAGCCTGCGAAACAGTCATGTGACACTGGTCAGCGGAGACCCTTTTATGACAGCTGACAATTGACCATAACATAGATGTCCAATACCAAGTATATACAAGTACACAGCAAGTATATATACGCCTTGGACTCTGAGCTAGTAAGTGTGCCATTTCACATCCGCTAATATAACGGGGTGGACGTACGGACGATTTTGTCAGAACCAAAATTTCTTAGATGCAAATTTTCTAACCCATGGTGCTCCCCTGCAAGCGCATCGCGGGCGCCAGAACTCCGCAAATATCTTAATCATGCATTTTCTAGATTAAATGGGATTTTTTAAAATGAAGTCAGTTTTAAAATATTAATAATAACAATGATGTTACTTTTTTTATTAATGAACTGAGACCTAGTCTCAATGTACAATCAGACTCACTGCGTGCAACAGTTTTTAAATAGCTCTTTTTATTAGATTCTATTGTTTTTGTTTTTTTTCTGCATGCTTTATTTCATTCTTTTATCATTTTCGTACATTTTTTATAGTTCTTAACATATTTTTACATCTTACAGATATATATGCTAATTCTTTTAACTGTTTTTTTACTTACCTGAAAACGACCGAAGATCGGTCAAAACGTCGTTTTTTATCCGTAATTTTTACTGTTAAGATATTAACAATAAATAATAAATAATAATAATAATTAATAATAATAATAATAAAGCATTTATGTAATGCACAGATTGCATAAAAATACCCATAAGAGTACTGAAATATACCATATTTTCTCTGATTCTAGTAGGATTTTTATCATAACTTCACACCCTTCCCCCTTCACTCCGTATGGGATGATTCGTATCAGGATCAGTGATCCGAGATCACCCGGACCATGGTAAATCAAATGAGGCCTTTCCCAGGGTGGATTCGTTGGTTCCTTTGAACCCCTCTGATCCGAGTCATCACGAACTACCGATCCTGATCTGGATCATCCCAAAGGAATGTACCCGCGACTCACCATCGAAGGATATCTCTACACCAGTGCCACCTGAATGGACATCAGTCTCACCTCTCTCCAACTTAAGAAGGTAAGTCCTCACAAGTTGTTTTTCACGCCTCTCTGCTACTTGCAAGGGTGTTTCGTCAACCTTCATCGAAATGAAAATAAACTTACTATACTTGCTGTCCGGTATAGTATTATGAACAGCAAGTCACATGAACTGGAGCAAGGCGTTCATCGTGCACGAGCGGTTGACCGAGAGGGTTCGGTTTTCCAGCTGAATGAATGAATGAATGAATGAAGAGCAAGAGAGGATAAAGGGGACAGAGAAGGCATCCCCCATACACACCCTATTCCATAGGTAATTCGTCTCGAGTTATTTTTAAGACCATAGATCCCAAGGGGGATTAGACAACAGCCAATCACATAGCGCGAATGTGTTCCGCGGGGATGACCCACGTTCAGAGCCACGCGTCCTTCACGAATTGACGCAGAAAAAAATGGCGGAAGACGCAGAGACCGTTATTGCTATTTGTTTTGTCGACGAAAACGACTAAAGAGAGATTTCTACTAAAGCTGTGTCAGCGAAACGGAAATTAAAAAAGAATCGCCCATCCCCTTTTGTATAGTGCTAACAGTACAGCAAGGAAATCCTTTAATAACTCACTGAATATTCTCTCAGGATCATTTATAACTTACAGTTTGAAGAGAGCAATTTCTGGTTTGATATTTATTCTTTTATTAGCCTTTTATTATTCAACAAAAATAACACTTGGCGTCCTACTTGCTTTATTATACAAACGACCGGTTTCAATAGACCGGCGAAATTTCTCATTTTATTAAAGCACTGAGGTTACGACAACTTCGAGTTCAACTGATTTCACGGGTTGTCAAAGAGTGCAGCGATTCCCTTTTCCCAGATGAGCGCCGACTCATTTGGCTTCAATATACAGAAATGCTCTCGATCTCTTCACGCTTTCATTGCCTTTCGCCCGACATGTTTTGCACGGCGTTTAGTCATGCGAAACCTCCGCGAAACATCCACGCAGCGCGCTAGGTAACTTTATCCCGATTCTAAAAATAACTCTAGACGAATTACCTATGGAATAGGGTGTGTATGGGGGATGCCTTCTCTGTCCCCTTTATCCTCTCTTGATGAAGAGTCGTGGATGAGAGGACAACAGACGTACATTTGATACAATACATAATTTAATACATACAATACATTTTAACATGTGAACAGTAAGCTCGGACGTCAGTATACAAAGGCGCCACTGGCAGGCGCTCTCGGTCCATTTATGAGCTTACTGTACCCACCCAACCCATGATGTGGATGATGTGATGAGTGAAGGTTGACCACAACACCGGGGCCTACGTCCCCTACTCTTTTCGACCAGTGGTGTGGGTTCTTTTACTTCCCACAAGAATCAGATAAGTGTAAGTGCTGTGAGACTGGACCAACGGTTTTTCGTCCTTATCCGAAAAGACTAGAAAGTCTAACCGTTTGCAGATGTCATTACAAAGGCAGCACTTGCTTCTCAGTTATTTAAAGACCCTGAGTGTTGGTCCGGCCGGGGCTCGAACCCGTGACCTCCCGCTCAGCAGACCGGTGCTCTCCCAACTGAGCTAACCAGGCAGCGATCGTTTACTAGAGGTTCCAACTGCAGGGCTTTGACTGGGAAAACTTTGGTGTTTTGGATGGGCGGTCGGCTTATGGGAAGTGGTCGGACATGGAGGTTCCAGTCCTTTTTCCTACTTACTCAGTTCCGCTACGGTCCAAATACCTGTTCACACTACACCAAAGTGTGGCACAGAACCAATCCGATATCTAATGCTCCACTTTCAAGATCGGCGCGGCGCAACTTTGGCCCATTACACCGCGAGATCGCGCCACAATCACCGTTTTTATGTGTGAACAGAAGCCTTATTCGGTATAGTTTTTGTACCGTTGCAAAAGCTATCTGGTATAGCGTGAACATAGCCTTAAGCACCCCAACGTCAAATATCGGCGCATCCTTCAAAATGAATGGTAGTTTCAACAGAAGTACTTCCCACGCGTTTTCCAAAATTTGTTTGCCTTGAGAAACTGCGTTACAACCAAACCACTGTACAGACTCAGTGGAACGTTTTCTTGTACTGAGGTTCCTTTTCCTTCCGTGGAGCGCGAAGTAAAGGATTCGCGCGGCTCAGGAATGTTTCAAAGTTGCATTCGGATGTCCCGAAGTTGCTTCGCAATTATTTCGAGATATCTTCGAGTTCTTTGATTTATTATTATTCTTATTTGTTATTCTGGCTGGAAATATTGACTGCAAAAGTATTTTACAGAAAACATTGAAGCAATTTGGGCTAGTAGCTTCAAAATACGAGTGAAAATGGAGATACAAGAGCAATTTTCAGTGCGTCTCACTTCGCAGACGAGTTGTAAGGGATACTAGTGCTAAGCTGGCTCTACTGTAACCTCCCTGGCAGACGTTCAAAGGGATTCGTCACGCGTTCCTGTTCCACAAACGTAGTATCATTGTTGCTTTTATTGTGGTAAGTGTAAGCTAATTGGTACATACTAGGTGGCTACTGTTGGCAAAAGCATAAAAGGAAAAACAAGAGACACTTACGTTGTTTTTTTTCCTGTAGTCAGCACGGCTGTTAGGATTTTCAATCAACTTTTTGACAGCCAAGAGATCGTTTTTCTCCGCAGCTAAATGTAGGGGTGTGTGGCCGGACTGCAAGTATGAAAATACGCGATTATTTACCACACATCAAAAGTTAGCATTCTTGATAAAATTCAACGGGAATGGGACTAAAATAGCCAAAAATCACAAGCGGAATAGAGGAGAGACACAATACGGCTCGCAAAAAATTACTACCGGACAGAAAGCGAATAAACTAAGTATTATGAAGGAGAAAAACAGAAAAGGTATAGTAGTCTAAGGAGAAAGAAAGGAGGCAAGAACAGGATAGAGAAGAATCTATTGGCTGCGAAAGACGGCATCCGTTATGAAAAACCTCCGACGATCGATCGGGAAACACACGGAGTGGAAGCGCTTCTATTTTCCCGACACGTCCCAGTCTTCTACGATGGTCGGCGATCATTCCCGGAGACGAATGATAACTTAGTTTGTTACAGCAGGAGATGTCAGCTATTGGTGGGCGAGAATTTTACCTCCGTATCAATCCTCTTAGTGTAAGGGACTTAAAGATTCGCTATGGAGAGGTGCTACTACGGCGACATGAGGTCAAAACTACTTCCGGTGACTTTACTACCGGGGTTGTAGTACGACTTTCCCGCCGGCTGTAGCCGGAACGTCCGTTAGAAATCACGTAGTGAGGAATACGGCAATAAAGGTACTTTGCCGCACCAGAAAATAAGGTTACGGCTGGTGACTTCACCAGAAATGATTTTGATCTCGGCATGTCACTGTAGTAGCGCTTCCGTACTTCTCTGTTCAGTAGCGAATTTTAAAAGTCCCTATTTGCTTGACGCCAGACTGCTATCTTAGTACAAATCATAATAGCTAAGCTCTTTAGACTACCATAAGAATTTTTTCGACATATGGGCAGAATTTGGGGTGAACTTGGGGAACAATGAAATCCACGCTCGTCTGGAAATTTTCAGACAAAAAACAGCTAGGCTAAAAGTAAAACATACTGTAAAGTCAACTAAATTTGCGTTAGCTCCATTCTTTAGCAGCATGTCCATAAGATCACCATCTCCACCAATTTCATTTACTACGAAGTGAAGAGGAGTTCTCCCCGTATTTGCCTATGATATAAAAAAAATCTGAGATCACTTAAATCATTAAAAAAATGAAAAAAACTATCGGGAAAAAATATGTCCCAACATTTTCCGTCCGAAAATTTTACATTATGAAAATTATAGGATATTTAGGTAAATACATCAGAGCGAATACAGTACATTAGTCAAGTCGCGGTAGATGTAAAAATTTAAGTGGGTTTAAGGCTGGTACCAGGAGACAACCGAGAAATAGCCCTAACAGCGGGTGGGTGACTGGTAGCTGGGGGTTAAAATTAGGGGGGTGGGGATGGGAGGCTTCAAACACTTTTATGCAAAGTAAAGGAAAGTAGATGACTGGGTCTGACTGATTTTTCAAGTCTTCTAATAGGCATTAGAGTTTACCGGGAATGCCACTAACAGCTGGTTACCGGCTAATTTCACTGGCTGAGAAAGAGCTTACCACGGGCTCAGATTGCCCTGGAAAAAAACAAAGACATGGGGTAATTTTGAAGGTGCAGTTGAGTAAAAAAGCCAGCATAGCTTTAGAGCTTAACTACATCCCTGCAGACAATGTACTTTAATTCTCAGTGTCTTTGAAAATAGAATTTGAAAAAATGTCCAAAATGTGCCATGGGGGAAGGGAATGTTTCCAGGCTACAGCATTATATTAGTGCAACCAGTTGTGGTGTCCGTGCCATATCTGGCAAAGCTAGTAAAACAAAATTTAATTAACCAAAAAATATGCACAGAGATTTTAAGGATGTGATGAATAACGCTGTGCACAGTTACTATCTATAGACCCGAAACTCAGACAAACAAACTGAAATTAACATTACCGAATTCCTCACTTTTGTGTCACTTTTGTCATTAAAATGTCATGTCTGTCTGTCTTTTGTCATTAAAATGGGAAAAATGACAAAACTCAGACAAAAATTGCAAATGAGTCACTTTGATGTTATCCGCGCTACCTTATTGAATGAAGATCAAAAATGGTTCTAAATTTTAAAGTTATAATTTATATGTCATTACTGCCCCGCCTATGCAATGCCTCTTAACATAGTTAGCAGAGGGGACTAACTATGCTCTTGTTAAGCAACCAAGGGAGCGAGAAGCGGTGGGGGGAGTACAAAACCCACATGGGTATGTGTTGGGATTTTGGGTTTTGATCTAGGAAAGGGAAAGCAACAAGACCTTCAAAAATGGCAACCCGAAGTTGATACTTTCTCTCTTAAAGTGCTATATGACGTGATAAATTCGAACAGCAGGAGTTAAAACAAAGGCATTCAGCTGAATTCAGATTCATTGTGTGAGACAGAAGTGTTCCATCAAGTGAGACATCAAACTTCTGGTTGCCTTATTATTCTTGTTGCTTAAGCTCACTTAGTAAGTACAGGGTATGGTAAGTAATATTTGGTTAAGTCTGGTTATTTTTAAAAAGGTTGAGGATGGCACACATTCACCCACAACATCATACAAAAAACAGGCTATCACTGAAGTATAATTTCCTAAACATTTACCCTTTGCCTTTCTGTCAACCAGTGTCTGTCACATGCACAAGACACCTTTGAACATGTCCATATATGCGACCATACAGGTACACGTCACTGATTTTGTTAATTACAGTGGTGTATTAGTTCCGAGTGCATGTTAACGTAAATAATGGTAAATCTGAACATAAATAAATGTATTTCTGTATACTGTTGTTGTATTTCTGGTTAATGGCAAAATACAATGAATGAATGAATGAATGAACATTATTCCGAAACAAATATTTCAAATGGAAAACGAAACAAACAATTAAGGGGTTTCCCCTAAAATCGAAAGGATAAATCCCTCTTAACTAAACAGACTAAACAAAACCACACGGATTGATTCTAATTACATTCACTACCTCATACCTGAGTTAGGTAAAAGAAATTGAAATTATAAACCGAGCATCACTGACTACCTCATACCTGAGTTAGGAAAAAGAACTTGAACTTATAAACCGAGAATTCTGTAGGCAACTCACTGACTATGCAGTGGACAACTAAAAGCTAAGCCGAATCGAGCACTGCATTCAGCGAAGAGAATGTTGAATTACCAAATACAATCGGTCTTATCTGTAATTTCTTCCTTTACGAAAGTATTACGCTTAAGATTTTGATTCGAAATAATAGACATTTTCGATACAATAAGATTCAATCGCGCGTAAAATCCATGGAAAATTAATTAAAGTTTACCACGGTCATGAATGAACAGCGAAAGAAAAGAGAAATTGGGAAGCCTTCAATTTTTTTTGGATGGAATATGGGGGGCCTTAAAATGCCAAAAGATGACCTTGAGGGGGTCTTCAAGTTTCTTTTAAGTAGCATCCCTACTGAGCAGCATGATGTTTGAGTATTAAAGGACCTGATTTTGATTCAGTTTTACACAAAGTCCAAAATTGTGTAATACTAAAACAACTTAATCAGCATTTTTACAAAAAGATTTAATGCTCAAATAGTAGGTGCATCAACACAACATCCATTATTGTGTAACACTGAAACAATTTCATCGGCATTTTAACAAATGATTACATACATAAAGTCATGTTATGCAATCTCACTATCCGAATCAATATTTGTAGATGAGGTTGATGTGGACTCATATTGTCTTTGTCACCGTCAAGTTTTTTGCTATTAGAGCATGTACCGCTCATATAAAAAGCAGTAAGCTTTGGCTGATTATCTTCTTTCTTCCTTGAAGCGGTCCTGTCGGCCTCTCACCTTTCGATGGCTTGTCTTATCTCAATTATAACACAATCACTGATATATCCTTGCTCTATAAGCTGTTTGAGAGGCTCTAGGTGAAATCTCTTTCTCAGTTTAGTGTGAAGTTCTTCTCTGTTGTTAGTTGGCAAATTCGGAAGTGACAGTGAGTAAGAACGGTAAAGTAAAGAAAATGTTATTTGTTATTACCATTTGGGTATTATGTATAAGAAAGGGGGGCCCTTAAATCTTTTAACATGATTGAAGGGGGGTACCTAAAAAACATGGGTGCTATTAGTGGGGTCTGGAAAAAATTTGGAATAAAAAACAATTTCTCCTCCACTCCCCCCTCCAACTTAAATTATGACTGGTCCCTAAGCCTGTTCGAGCACTGCATTGCAGCAAAGGGAATGTGTTGAATTACCAAATAAAATCGGTCTTATCTTTATTTTCTTCATTTACGAAAGTACAACGCTCAAGATTTTGATTCGAAATAATAGACATTTTCGATATAATACAATTCAGTCGCGCGTAAAATCCATGGAAAATTAACTGAAGTTTACCACCGTCATGAATGAGCAGCGAAAATATTCAAGTCACGCCGCAATGGAGTTGGACTCTGTCTACGAGCTCGATAAACTTCCTTGCATTCTCGTGTTTCTTTCAGTTTTCGTAGGTAAGAGTGAGGTGTAAATGCCGCGGCAAAAAAAATAACTACAGGAACCTTATTTATAAAGTTTTCTCACCTGTCCGGGTTCCCTGAAATTTGCCGGCGCACCATTTTGTAGCAGTTCTCGAATTATTGAATTTCGTTCGACGCGATCGATATTTTTGTTTTTTAACGCGTCCCAAAGCGTTCTGCCTTTGTCTTTTAGATCTCCATCATTTCTACTAGCCATCAGAAACGAACTAAGGAGTGCAGTATGGTGGCCGACCGACCGCCATTCGTCAAAACGACATAAATTTGTTAATTTTAGATTTAATTTTATGCAAAACAGACAATGTATGCTAAAAAGTAGATGCCAAGAAACAAATGCTAAATACCGTATGCCAAAACACACGTGCCAAAAATGCTAAAGAAATGTAAACATTTTGAATGGCAGTTCCCGGCTATGAACATATTAATTTTACTTCTGATTTTATTTCACTTTTATTTTTATTTTCATTTCATAATAAAAATATTTTGTTTTGAGTTGAAAATGAAGAAAAATAGTCTATTTCCAGTTAAATGAAAACGAAAATAATTTTGCGTTTTACTTCACTTCATTTTCAATTCAAAATAATTAAAGTTCAATGTAAAATTAATTGTAACAAATTTATGTCGTTTTGACGAATGGTAGTTGTCGGCCACCATACAGATGCAATGTGGTGAAGAAGCCCAAAAAAGAAACCATAAGGCTTATAGATATTGAGCTCTCTCAGATTATAAAAGTATAATTAAGTTTACATGGCCAGCATTGATTGGATACAAAGTAATTACATGACATTATATTGATAAAATAATAGGTGGATAACTAATATAAATATGTATAAATAAAGTAGAGTAACAGACCTATAATCAAATAATGAGACACTTTGAGGAAAACAATAACTATTTACAAGGTTTATATATAATATATTAATAATAGACTGATTCTCATAGAAGTGGGGAAGGAATGCGTGACGAAGTGTTCAGGAACGGAAACCGCGCGCTCCTGGTACAGAGTGCGAGCCACCTCATTCGGGTTTCTTGTTGCTAAAGACGATTTTTTACTTGGTGTCACATCAGCGTCGTCTACTCCTGGCCCGAGAGAGTGTGTGCTAACCTGTGAGAAAACAAGCTTTTGTTCTAAGTTTCTAAGATATAGCTGGCTGTTTTTTTTTTCCCAGCTAGGTGGATAATCAAATGCCTACACTCTCTTCAGTTTTCGGCTTACAGGGTTTAAATCTTTTACAGATCACAAACCATTTAAGTATGTTAAATTTACATTTAGTGCCAGAAAAAAAACCTATATGGTAAGGATACTAATTACATCCATAATTACACTGCTATTACAACCTGTTGAACCACAATAAGAGTAAGTTCTCCGGTAGGGGCCACAATAATTTCGTGTTGTTTATTCCGGACCCTTATAAACTGGAGCTTATTCTGCGGGTCTAATTCTCGCACCGCGGAATGGGCCATTTCTATGAGGTTCCCATACAGCAACGCGTAGTTTTTAGTGGTCGTGATGTCCATATTTGTTCTGAGTGCTTGTCCCTCACGATTTGTCAACATCAAAGCCACTACATTGGGGTGGGCCTGGATCCGCCTAAGAATCTTATCAACTTCTGTCTTGGAAACAGACGACAGGAAGGCGGTGACGTCAGAATCTTCCATTACTCTAAAATGTTTTCTGAAAACGTAAATAGGAAATAAGCTGATGCACAAGAAGGTGATCAGTCACGGGAAGTTAGGCGCTAAGTAATCGTAGCATAATATAAGAATTCTTCAAGTGCAGGCCTCGCAAAAGGGTGATTTGCGTACGATTGCGCGTTTCGCTCCCAAGAAACAATGAAAGGAGATTAATTCTACTTTTGACAAATACTTAACATTCTCGTTTTTAGGATCGGAGAAGAATCTGTTAAACCTAATCTTCCCTTAATCTATATGTGAGATAGTAGAGAAGTTTCAAGGAATGAACAACGAAACTCAAGGTGTTTTTCAAAACTTTCCCTGATTTCCTCGACTCAATAACTCGTTGTTACACAACTTGAGCTGTGTTAAGTATACAACTTGATCATCTTGATTACTTCTATAGGTATGGATTATTCGTGGAATAAAAATTAATGATAACAAATCGTTTTGGAACAGTGAGAAAATAAAAAACGGATGCGAGTTCGTCGTAATTTTTGTTTGTTTTTTTCTTTTTCTCAAACGTAATTGTAGATGCATCATTATATTGACAGTTGTAACTAATTCGAGCGGGCAGGGCGTTTATAAGTACGTATGCTGTATATTAATTTTATCGGGTTAATTTGTGCTTTAATGCTCTTTGGTTATCGACTTCAAATTGACTGGTCCCCTTCTTAAAATTAATTTCTTTTCAATTTTATCAAGACCTTCTCTTTCTCTTGATTGTAAACAAAATGTTTCCACAATCCTCATAGATGAACTGATATTTTCGAATCTGCCACAAGTTTCAATTTGTGTGACTGAAACTAATTATGAAATGTAATATTTTCAATCATTTCAGCTCTTAAAACTATGAAAGGTTTATTTCAGCTCTTATAGTTATATATGCGTTTTTTAAAGGATTTTTCATGATGCCTTCGGAGTTGTGGCCACCGAATTGACGGCCGCAACTTAAACTAGTAAATGAAGACTGAAGAATTATCTTGCGTTGAAATTGTCCATGTATTTATCAAGAAAAGGTAAAATAGGTGGAAGGTTCTGGTCTAACAGACAGCGAAACACTTTCTTTTTTTGGAGAAGGGAAAATATGTGCATGTTTTCCTACCTTGATCCTCTTCCAAAGGTTCTAAAGGAAGCCAAACAAGGCGGAAAGATTAAAGAACTAGTAACATCGAGTTCAAACGAGACAGAACAACATAAGCTGATTCAAATTTATGTGGCAGGTGCCATAATTCATGTTTATTTTATGCCCAGCGTAGAGACGACAATTACAGAGTCTTAATTTACAACAGCATCTCAATTTTACATCACATAACAATCGGCTAGCTTTAATTATGATCCTCCCCACACGAAATTGTTTAGTACACACAAATACCACAGCTTATTGGTGCTTGGATAACGAAGAAAAATAAGTAAACATGAGACAGGCGTTTCTTACAGTCTGCTTATTCAATATGCACTTTTAAATGTATACCAAAGTTAAAAAAGCTTTATTAAATCTTAATTGTACATATCCTTGTTCACGTAGTCGTTAAGAAATGAATTTTAAAATCATAACATACGTTTAAGCACCAGCACTGCTTATACAAAACGTTTAGTTATCATGCCGCATAGAGGAGGAAGGAAATAGATAGAATTTAGGATCACTAACTGCCCATATATAACAAAAGTTTTTGAAAAACCGGTTCCGCGTATAAAACGATAATTCACGTCGAAAAGAAAAAAAGGATATCATTCAATGCATATTATGGTAAATACATAACCAACCATTTAAAGGAATAAGTAAAATATAGAACGATACGGAATTTCTTTTCAAGGACGTTTTTACATAAATTAATGATACTTTTTTCACCCACAATATTACAAAGATCTGCACATTGCAAATAAGTGCAAAAACTGCGTGATCTATTTTTACCAGCCAGCAGGGTTTACTTTTTCGTATCTAAAGGAGGATTAATTACGTAAGTAATTAAGCATGTGTTACTAAAACCATGCGTGAAACGCTCGTTAAGAAAATACTGGAAATGCGTGTCTGGCAACACCTCGCAAATCTCTGTGTGAAGAGGGTCTACCCGAGTAAACTAATAACCTTCTAAGTAATTACCATCAAAATCATTACCACAATCAATATCATTCATAATTATCATAATGAAACAATACAAACAGTTATTTACAATTTTCTTTGAGTACAGCATGAAAAGTTTTGTTTTGAACTTTATCTATATAATTTCTGTTCCTCCCTTTATCTGTCCCATGGAAGGTAATGCAGTTCCGGAATCCGGAAAATTTTTGCCGCGGAATCGGAAATCGCAGCTTTGGAATCCGTAATTTGATTGGAGTTCCACTGTCAAGAAATCCAGAATGTACAGTCTGTCTCGGATTACCTTACATACCGGGCGAAGTAATTTTTCACATACTTAACACTTCTATTATTATCCAATTTATTGGACACTTACAACTTAACTTGCTAAGATTTTTTTAGTTTTGTTCTGTATCTTTTTCTGAGTTATACGCAAGCAATAGCTTTCGAACTACCGCGGTCGAGTATTCGACTTCAACGATTTAGTCTGTTGAGTCTAAGTTATCAATATGTGAACATCCCACCGAATAAATGTTAGAGGGACCAACTCTGGAACGAAGAAACTCTTGAACATCCGCAGAAAGAGCTTGATGTGTTTTACTGTCCTTTCCTCTATCGTCTTCCCAAGAATCTACTTCACCCCTTAATTTTCTCAAAAGCACAAGTTCGCTGACGTGCCTCGCTTTCAAGACAGCAGCTACTTGGCGCATGCGCAGGAAGAAATCCTCCGTCATTTCTCGCATCTCTTTCAAGAGTATTAAATTGTCCTCCGCATCATTTGAATCTGAAACCACAGCGAAAAAAAAAAATTATCAAACACTGTGTGATACGTCATCTGAGTTATAAATACTCTCACGTTAAAAACGAGGCCAAGTTCAAAACCTTTCTTGTGAAGATGAAATTTATTTGCATGAGAGTGAAGAATCTTTGTTTTAAAAATCAATAGCTCCGCACTTAGCCTCGCTTTGAAACAGTCTTGGATCAACTCTGAGACGAAACATTAAAACAATTTCATAAAAACAATTTTTTTTATATTTAACATTGAAGCATAAATACCCCATCCCCACCCCACTTATAACAAAGTTGAGTGTACTATCAACAGTCTAACACGTCTCCGACACTTCGAACCCGACTTGTGCCGCCCCGGGCCGTTGCTTTTCATACCATACCGGAGAGCTAGACTCGCTAAATCACGAAAAAAGAGTTACCTTCGCTCTTAACACTGCAGCTGCCTTTATAACGGTGCCGTATTTCCCAAATTACACCAGCAACCACTGCAGTGGCAAGGGCATAACTACAATACAGTAATGTGGTTTTGAATAGCGAGCTCGATATGTCGAACAGACCCGTCGATACTTCAATAGCCAAATCTTTACCAGGCTGAAGAAAAAAGTAAATAAGTTAACATCAGAGCGGATACTAATTAGTAGGTATATCTAAAATGAATAAACGTGAAATTATTTTAAACAAACAATTTAAACTGATTACTAAAGGCCTATTTACATGGAGGTGGGGCACCCCAGATAGGTTACGTAAAATGGGGCGGGTTACCCTACCTATGATGTAAACGTGATCAAATTAAATTGAGAGATTATATGGACAGGCGGGTTACCTGACCTACCTGGGGTCCCCCACCTCCATGTAACAGGCCCTAAAATTAGCTGTCCTGTATAAAGAATCTTTTCAACAAGAAGTAGGCTTTTGTACATTATGCTTTTGCTTCCCCACTAAAATGCTCCACCTTAATGCTCCATTTTTCCCACTAAAATGCTCGGTCTCCCCAAAAACGTCACTAAAATGCTCGGATAATGCTCACTATACAAACGGTTTTTTTAAAATTAATTTCAAAGTTCACACTCACAAAAACGTGCAAGTGTTGCAAGTAACAACGACAACGTGTACAAGTTCATAAATACAGCCAAAAAAAACCAGCTGTATTAGGTTTTTTGTGAATTTTGAGTTTTAGTCTTCATTTTCTTTAAAAACGCAGGAGCTCGTGGGGCAAAGGCTCCTGAAAAAAGTCAATTTCTATTCTATTTTCTCGGAAAAAATAATTTTCCGGGGAAAATGCCACTAAAATGCTCGAATAATGCTCAATGCTTTTGCCTCACTAAAATGCTCGAAAAAGTGCTAGCATAATGTACAAAAGCCTAACAAGAAGTTCTAAAAGGAAAAAAAAAGGCAAAAATAATTGTCTAAACTTTTTTTTAAGGTAGCTGCTATTATCCATCATCATCATCATCATCATCATTATTCTCATCCTCATCGTCATTACCACCATTATCACAGTTATCATTATAGGCGCGCCGACATCTCGTTTGACTTGAGGGAGAATTTAAAGAAAAGGAAGATTTTTTTCTACCAGTTACCTTGATAGAATCTATGTTCCCTTCAATCTTTTCGAAGATATCCCTTATGTTCTTCTTCTTAAACATATTGAAACATTTCTGCAATACACCAGATTCAGCGCCCAAGACTATTCCATAAGTGGATGAGTAGTCAAATATCTCATGTATTTCTAAGTGATGGGCGCCTTCAAATAGAGCTTTCTCACTGCCAATTGCGTACGTGTCAAATAGCGCATGTTTCACTTTTCCACTCTCCAGAGCTGAGAACACTTCACGGAACGAGGCGTACGTAGCTGAAAGTAATCATTCGAAATATTAAGAAAATATCGAGAATTAGAATATACTCCATTTAGCAGCACAATACCGCGAAACAAGAAGGGTGTATATAACTACAATAAGTTGATAGCGGCCATGCAATGTCTTGTCCGATCGAAGCATGCCAGAACAACAAACGATGGAGTATTAATAACAGCTCTTCAGTCGTTTATTTCTGTTGATTTATCAGGCTATCTACAAAATCTATACACCACATATTAAAAATTACCATTATCCATTTTAAAGTTCTTGCGCCATCCAAACCGATACTCTGGAGTATGCTGTACGGCAGCAACCTTGAAAGTAAGACGTAATATATAGATTTAGCCAAGGCCAAAAGGAAAAATTTCGTATGATGTTTTATCTTTCTGTACACCTGAGCCCGCGATACAGTCTTGTGACACTGGTCAGCGGGTAGCCTATTTTAACAGCTGTCAATTGACCATAACACGAATGTCCAATGTCAAGTAAACACAGACTGTGTATGGGTTGGACTCCAAGCAAGTAACTGTAACATTTCACATTTGCTAACACGAAGGGATAGAGGTACTGGCGGACGATTTTGTCACCATCAAAATTTCTTGGATGCCTAGATAACTAAATCTTATTACCCATGGTGCGCCGCTGCTTCGCGCGCGCGAAAGCTCCGCTTTAATGAAACTTGAAAAGGCCAAATTGCTAACAACAGTTTACTCTTCCCTTTACCTCTTTAGGTTGTGTGTTTTGTTTCCCAGTCTAGATCACGTGCTAACTTTCCAGAGAACTATTTCTTTTAAATTTTGTCTTATCCACGTGCATATAATTTATACGTCGCATAATTTATGAAAAGAAAAGAGGATGAATCGCCTGAGACCTTCATTGGGAAAACAAAACGTACAAGCTAAAGAGGTCTATTGTAAAAAAAATAATAATCAAGGCGTGTTAAAACATTTTCATAAGACAACGTTATGAAGTGAAATATCTGTGGCAGTTTGCAAAGTAAAATCTGGCGCCGAACAAACACGAATGTCCAGCCTTAATGACCAAAGATCACTAACTGAAGTAACGAGAAAACAGGAGAGTTAGTAGAACAAGGAAGTATTTACCTTGTTGCCAAATGCAGAGGCGTCCAAGTTGACAATGAGTACAGTTAATGCTGTAGTAATTGACCCATTCAGTATTCCTATAACCACCAGTCCCATAAGGATCCAGAACACAGAAAACAATCTGCCAGAATACGTTACCGGAGCTCTATCTCCATAACTGAAATGATAAAGAAAAAGTTCAATAGCTACTTGACTGCCCACACAGACATTCGGTATCTTCAGAACAGTTTTCAAGGTTCGTGCGGATTTTTGCAGGCCTTGAAACGCTTATTTTCGCTTTAATCAGCCTTAATCAACTATTGCGCTTTCACTTGGGATGCTCCGGCCCAGTCAAATGTTTCCAGGGCTTTCCAGAATCCAAAGACCACCTCTATTCAGTTAGGTCTTCCTCTTTATTCTTTCTCAAGAGCAATGCACAACAACGTCCAACATGGGCAAACGACGCCACAATTAACAAAAAGTTTTTTTCTTCAGCATTTACGATACCCTTCATCAAGGACATGGGTCTTACAGAAAGCAAGACTGAGTGAGAAGTACAACTCGGAAGCCATATTCTTTTCCATGCCAGTCCTCGAAAAAATTACCATCATGTAGAGTATTTTTTGCTGCTTGGCAATGTGCAAGGGTTCAGGTAAGTCATCTTGTAACTAATTTATAAACCAAGACCAGCATGCAACTATTCCGAGCAAGCAAAACGTTAAAGCTACGTGTCAGAGGTAGACAAACTAGAATTCAAATTTGTTCAAGCCCTGCTTTTCTCTCTCTTTTACTTTCGAAAGTTTAATTCTCCATCTTTGACACTGACTCGTCCCCGGTCGTCTCTTATCATTTGTAGGCGGTCATGGAACGGTCGCGGGACTCTCTTCCTTTACCCTCTTTCCTTCCCGTCGTCCCCTTTGCCGAGATGCCGTAAACATGTAGTCTCTCCTCTTTTCTCTCCTTCCCATCTCCCCCTCCCCGCGCACATCTTCACGCGCATCCCTCGGTAATATTTAATTAGGAGACAAAAGCCGACGGCTGGGGACGAGTCAGCCTTTGACACCTTCTCCTGCATATCGACCCTGCAATCTAACAGCGGCTTTATTCTGAGCGACTGAATACATACCCAACTGTAGTAGCTGAGATATACGACCACCACATGCCTTCTCCAGTACCCCGTATGAAGGATGACTTGAACTGTTCGGCATTTTCTTTTCTTTCCTACAAGTCATTTAACAAAATATTCTTAGGCCTTGTCCACACAAATCCTGAAATTTTTTAAAACGAAGATTTTTTTTCGAAAAAAAAGTAAAAGCGTGAGCTAGTAGCGTATTCAAATAGTTTTCGCCTTCCCAGACGAAAACGCTTAAAAAGTGGAAAGACGATACTATACACACATGCCCTTACACAGGGTGTGCGCTGAATGATGCATGGCACCATCGTATTCGAAAATCTCCATTTTTGTCCGTCCACACGAAAGCAATAAACCGGCGTTTCCAAAACTCTACCTCCTCATAATTATTCTACAGGGACAAAAAGATGAAAAGAGACAAGAACAACCAGCTGTGTGCAATCTCGACAAAGAAAATTTCATCGTTATCTTCATCAGTGTGGGTTGAGATTTAGTATCCTCTTTCAAGCCGTGAAAATTTAAAAACTGCAATTCAGTGTAACTTGATCAAGAATAACAAAGCAATCAAAACTCACCAAAATCCATATAACCACACCAGCCAGACAGACAGTTACCATGGTAACTGACGCAATAGGCCACACTCCCAAAACGGCAGCAAGCAATGTGTGACTACCTATTTCAGTATAGGAGGCTGTATTGATAACATGAGCTATACCAGGCGACTCAATCAGATCGATGAATTTAAAGGTGTTCTTGTATCTACAAAAAAAAATAAAGGAAAACAATAAATGTGTTCAGACCACATCTAGGATATCACCCCTTCTTGATTCTTGCGAGAATTAATGAATGGTAACTTTATTTAAACACGGTTAAAAACATCAGTCTTATATAGAAAATTAATTAAAAATTCTCAAAAACTGTGTTACCTATTTGCCGTGTGGGAGTACTGATCAGAAAACCATCTATGGGAAATTCTCTTAAAGAAACCTACGGAATTTGATGTACGCATTTCCTCAGGAAGATTGTTCGATAGAAGAGCGCCACTGTAACTGAAGCTACGCTTCAGGTAATCAGTTCTTGGGTTTGGGAGCATTACTTTTTTCTTCGCGTTGCGAAAATAGTAATTTGGTGTTCTTGGGGCAAAAAAATTACAGAGATAAGCTGGGGCGAGATTATTAATACACTTGTACATTAAATTAGCCTTTTGTTTAGTCCTTCAAACCGATAAATTGTCAATTGTCAATTGTCAATAATGTTTATGAGAAGATTCAGGGAGGCTATCAAAATCCAACGTTGAACAGGGAAGCTGGTTACGAGCTCCCCGCGATCTACTGGGACGTTTTTGTCCCCAGATTTTTTGTTCACTCGATGATTCAAATCAAACCAATTTCCTTTTTCCCAGAACGTTCAAGAAATCAAGATTCAACTATACTCGTTACATTATCAGGAATTAACGAAATTTGCCCTTACTCAGTCTGTCCTTTAAGTCCATAAACCGGGAAAGAAAAATCAAACTCCTGTGAAATCCCTTTTACCATATCGTTGTAACTTATATTTTCTGAAAGTCCGTATGCGCCAAAGTCGACGTAAGACTTGCCGTACTTTTTACAACTTCTACAACACGTGAACACGATGTCTTCTATTATTGGTGGAATAATTCCACCAATGGAAGCACTGGAAGTCGATCGGTTGGAGACGTGATCAACATATGGCGGGAAGAACATCCAGTTGGCTGTTATTCTCTTATGGCAGTCGCATGTTTCTATAGACAAAAAATAGGGCTTTTATCTTAAGACAAGAGGAATATGGCAGTGCCCTCGCAAGACGTTATTGCGTAGCTAAGTGTGAGATTCTCCTTTCGCTGACCTAATTTTAATAGGTCCTTGACAGAATGGATAAACTGATTGAGAGATTGCGAATCAACAGATTTAGAGTCACGCTTACGGCAAACGTGAATTTGTACCACGTGACCTTAACTTGTGCTTTACTGTTCATTTCTTCTACCCCCAAAATTAGTAGCTTCAGGCTTGTTTTGTCTATAACATATGTCTTGGACTGTTTTAGCTGCACGTTTTAGAACTATTTTTGCCGTTTTACATAAGCGTGACTGTGACTCTCTCTAACAACATATTTTGGAGAATCGCAATTTAGAATAGAACTGCATTGCTACGGTACTGTTCATTATTGTCTGTGCGTAAAAAAATACAGTCTACTCTCTCTTAACGGACACCTCTGTAAAACGGACACTCAGAGTTGGTCCCTGCCTTTCTTTGACTCTCTATAAGACGGACACATACCGCAGGTCCCCAAGGTGTCCGTCTTAAAAAGAGTTGACTGTACTACTGAACACTCTAAAAAGCTTCCATCAAAACCTTAAAATACGATGTTTCATCAAAGACACTGTCCCCTTAAGCACGTAGTGTTTCGGTCAAGAGATCTCAGACAAGACTGTGTTATAGGTAATGTACCTGCATACGTAATAGCCGGAGGTCCTTCTCCTTTTATAGTCTCTCCCCAGACCTCTATCTTGTAAGTGGTATATCGGTTGAGGCCATCAATAACAGTAGACAGAGTGTCGTTGGAAACAATCACAACTTTTGGTTCTCCGTTAAGATTCGTTCCGTCAGCTAACTTAACGGGCGTGACGCGCACGTGATAGCTACGCAGTATACCATGAACATTCTGTGCGGGAATTGGACGCCAGTGCACAGGAATGGTGGAGAGAGAAGTGTGATTTTCGGCCGTCAGTTCCTGCGGAGGGAGGCTGGGAACTTCAAGTAAGAATAAATATTAATACTTTTGACTAAGATACTAAGTTGTGTTCAATTCAAAGAGCTTGATAGCATGTAAGACCCGATTTATACCAGAAAAGCTACGGGACCTGCTCTAGCTCACATACGTCCCTTTTCCAAAGTAACCACCATGAATAAAGAGAAACAGCGGCCACTAGTTTTCAAAATATAAGTCACTGACTTCTTTAATACCACCATTGTCATCTCGCCCCATTTAGAGTAGTCCAATACCTCACAAGAACCTCTAATTTAAGCTGTCGTCTAAAACAATATTGGCTTTTGTGTTGAGGGTTAGGGTTATTGTTTGTGTGGTTATTCTGTTGTTTTCACAGCCAATTGTGTGAGCCATTCAGTGAGGTGCTGTTTGACCTCCATGCAAGACAGTATTGGATTCTGGATTCCAGATACTGGATTTCGGTTTCCAATCGTTAGCGGGATTCTGGACTCCAAAGACCAGGATTCCTGATTCCACAAGAAAAAAATGTTTGAATTCCGGATTCCGTAGGAGAAATCTCTGGATTCCAAAATCCGGATTGTATTACATGAGGCCACTCAGTAATGAAAACTTCGAACGACCAATGACCAAATAAAGACTGCGTAACGTTACTTTGAGGTGAAACTACAATAGCAAGAAAACTGAAGCCCCAGGGGTAAAAGGTGATACGAAGCCTCTTTGTTTTTCACCTACCATCTTCATCTGTCCATATCTCTATGGGATCACTGAAGACACCATCGCCAAACTCATTGAAAGCTGAAACCGTCACCAAATAAGGAGTAAACTTATCAAGACCTTTGATTGGTATTTCCTCCCTCTCTGTCGTTAATGTGATGTTCGTAGAGCTGTCGTTTCCAGGCGTCCACAATGACACGTTGTAGCCTAGAATCAATCCACCTCGATGTTGCAAAGGGACTGGCGCCCAATAAATAAACAAGCTTGTAGAAGAGAGTCGTTCGCCTGACACGTTCACTGGTGGATGAGAGGGGCCTGGTGACAAGATAAATCACGTGACTTTAACATGGGCATTTAGAGGGCTATTTGTGAATTAAACTGGAGGTGTAAAGTACATCATCTAAACGCAAAACGCACACTTAACTTGAGTGTCAATGGATTTAGCATAAGATGACTAATCAAGGACACTATTTTAACGTATCCAACTGGGGACGGGAGGACCACCATTTTAAGTGGTCATCCGAGCCAAGAGGAGGTCTACCTATTGGAAGGGCAAAGGCGGTACTTTCATTTCTCAGTTATTTTAAGTTCCCGAAGATCCAACCCACGACCTCCCGCTCTGCAGTTAATGGCCCTGCCGACTAAGCTCGTCGGCCTGCCGTGGTAAAGGATTTAATGCAACTTTTAAGTCATTAACGTGTTACGAGGGTGGCTCTTGCGAATCCAGTGAAGATCAAACGTCAAAACTAAGATAATTGGGGTTTCATTCATGCTGAAACAACTCCGACATTTTGGGACTGACGTTTCTTAGTAGAAAAATATTTTGTTCAATACAAAAGTGAGGTTAACGATTAACATATTTAAACGAGAGAGTTCCATAAGGGACTCACCGCTTTGTTCTGTGACTACAAGCAAATTTTCGCTCCAAGAGCCATTTCTACACTGGGTGACTGTGCGTAACGCAACACTGTAATTGGTTAATGGTGTTAACCCGTTCAAGTACACAGATGGGTTTGTCACGTTGGTTTGTTGGAAATTCACCGTGTCCTTCAGAGGTACTTGGGTGTATTGGATGAAATACCCTTCCACAAAGGGGGAAGGGTGGGGCAACCATTCCACATGTACTGTTGAAGAGCCTAGAACACGTACTGAAATATTTTCTGGCGGCTTCAAAGGATCTGAAAGACAAAGGCATGTTTAAAAAGTGGAAATTGCTGCAAATGGGCAGTTACAGCCGTACGGTGAAGAAACTTGATTATAACCGCTTCGCCTAGATGGAATGCTAGTTCGCCACAGCAAGTTTGAAAGACGAAATTGAGAAAAGAAAAGAGTGGCGGAGGACAGGGGCGGGGAGCCCAGGATAATCGGTGGAGGGAGGAGTTAGGGTGCGGGAGGGAAAGGGAGGGGTGTGGGAGTTCTAGAAGGGTGAGAAGCAGGAGAAATAGGGGGAATCACGCAACAATGCATGATATTTCGATATAGAAAAAGGGATAAAGGGAAGAAGCTAAGAAAAAAAGGGGAAGGAGCCGGGAAAGCAAGGTAAGAGAGGCGGCAAGTTTGGTCCTCCCTGCTGCCCCCTCCCCCCTCCCCCTTAAAAAGGGGGGAAACATATTGTACAAATGCTCATCGGTAACATTTTTTACCATTCTCTCCCGTAACCACAAAGACTGGCTCACTCGTCTGATTCTTAGCGCATCCACCATATTGCTCAAAGTAGATGCTGTAGTTTGTCTGCGTATCAAGATCATCTATCAAAACATGACGTTCTGACCCGGTTACGTTTACACGCTTTGACAACGTTCCGTCCAAGCTTGTATCGCGATATACCATTGATAATGATGACGCGTCATCAAAGTTCCCGAGCCAGCAAACACAGATGGATGTGTTTCCGGAGGAATGGGCAGTCAATCTGGGGACTTAAATAAGGCAAATAACTTCTGTAAGTTAAACCTTTGAGTGAGAATAACTATACAGCTGATGTAAATGTCAAGTATATAAGCAATCTTGAATTTTTAATGAATTACGCCATTCATTAAAAATTTAAGATGGCGCCCAGACTTATTAAAAACGTCTATACTGATATAAAAGTAGGGCCACACTACAATCACATAGACAACAACTGCAGCAACGTATTCCTGAGGAGCTAAGTCTGCATTCATTGTTTTCTTTGCAATCTATTTTATCTAAACCATCCATATAGTTAATTATCACTTTTTTTTCTATTTTAGCCAAATATCTTTGCGGTTTCGTTCAAGTTCAAGATAATTTTCAAGTTTTGGACGCTGCAAAATCATCACTAAAAATACACCAATAGACTCTATTTACTACCTGGATTCGACTTTTGCATTTATAAGGTACAACAAAATGAGTAGGTAGATGTCTAATGCAAACGTCAGCGGCTTCGTTTTTACATAAGGAAAAACTTCAACTCCCAGGGGATTGCTTTGGAACACCAACATGGTCGCCGTTTCATTCTTTTGGTACACCAGTACGGCGGACGTGACGTCATTTGAAAACGCTCTATTAGAGAAGTTTCAGCAATGATACTTACTAGTGTAGTTTTTTGGCTGCAAAGTTTCAGGAATGCTACGATGTCCAAGCCCAGCGATCGTTTTACCCGCAACGGTCACACTGTAAGTTTGATAAGGCTCGAGTACACGTATTATAACAGAAGACACTTCTGCATTTGTTAGTGTGACCAATTCGCTGACGTTTGTTTGGTTGAGCGGCTTGTAAAGCACTTCATACCCATCTAGAGTGGGAAAGTAGGGTATTTTTTCCCAGCAAACTTGAATGGTCGTTGAGTCTAAGCTAGCGAGCGTCACGTTTGTAGGTGCAACTATGGGAACTAAAAGGAAACATTTAATTGTCATTTGTTAATGCAATAAAATTGGATCAATTTAGGTTTCCAGGAAATTGCCCGCCTACGCCTCTCCTAAGCCACCATTAACACATACTTTTCACTTAAGGCAAAATGTTGGCTTACTTAGGAGAAGGTAGGTGGGTAGTTTCGCCTCCCCACTGAGCACATAACCACTTATAAGGACTCTGTAACGATCCTTGTGGGATCCAGTTCGATCGACTGTTATTACAAAAATGTGTTGTTTTATGAGAAGAGGGGAGACCATTAGAAAGACGAATTAAAGCAAAGAATAGAACCAGCAAAAAGGACAACCATCGTTTACAAACCGAACCAAACCTGACCCCGCTTTTACCATTGCTCCACTCTTTCTCAGTCTGATTCATTGTTATATACACCCACATTGGACCAATGATTTCTGTTGATGCTACACGTTTGACAGCATCACGTGGTAAGCATTTTATAACCAAAGAAGTTGCGGAAAATCAACAGTTGTTGTAAACACAACCCTGCATTTCGAAAACATATTTTAAACTTTGTAACAAGTGGTTTATGATGTCACATACCAGTTTGGTTGGTGATTACAAAAACTGCGCCCGTCCTGGGACCAATCTTCGACTGCGTAAATCCAGCAACTTGAACTGAGTAATTATAAAACTGGTTCAGTCCAATAAGGAAGGTTGAGTTCTGCTCAGGAGATGTTATGGTCACATTTAACTCGGAAGAAACTACAAGACTTCTTCTTTTTCGAGTCTGTGCAGAGGGCGCAAGTGGTGCGTAGAAAATGACGTAACCCAGTAGAGTCTCGAAAGAGATTGGAGACCAGGAAACAGCTATGGTGGTCGTACTATAAGCATACGCGTATAGTTCTGTTGGAGGCTGATCCAAGCTGACTGTAAATAACATTGCAAAGTGAAAAAGAAAGCCTCAATTTGTTGATAACAGAGAAATTTGAGTCCCCTAGTGCTTAAGAGAAAGATTTTATGACAGTTTAAGGATTTCAAAATGTACAAGGATTTGTATAGGAAACCACTCAAACGGGACTGGGTGGCAAGAGTTGTTATGTTTTTCCCATACAAACCCTTCTGATTTTCGGCAGGTGTTGCAGTCGATACTTTCGAAATATACGGCTCAAAATGTACCGGTTATCTAAGTTTAATATGCTCTTTCAGCTCCGGCTAAAATCATTACTCCAAAACGAATTGTCTTCGAGTTTTTAGGAAACTGATCACGTGACTAACTATTGCAAAAGACCTGTTAAGAATATTTTCTAGTTTATAATCCGATGAATGACGATGAACTTCTTCTAGACTGTTAACAGTACTTTTTCTCCCTGGGGTCAAAATTAATAAAACTTTTACAAGTGTAATTTACAAGTATACCGTAAAATTCCGAAAATAAGCCCCGGGGCTTACATTTTTCAAAGGCCCTTTTTGAGGGGCTTATATTTGGAGGGGCTAATCGAAGGAGGGAAATTTGCGTTTCAAAACCGATTGGGCTAGCCTTATAGTTGGAAGTAAAATTACCGTTTTTGCTTTCTTTTACTTTGTATTTGAAGGCAATTTTCCAAGTATAAGCCCCCGGGGGACTTGGGGGGCTTATATTTGGAGGGGCTTATACATGGAGGGGCTTATTTTCGGAATTTTGCAGGAGCTATTTTTTCGGACACTTGTAAATTACACTTGTAAAGGTTTTTAATAAAATTGACCCCTGATCAACACATTTCTTTTACGTTTATTTTCTTCTAGCTCTTTTACGAACTGAACATTTGATATCGAAAAGAAAACGACGGAAAGAAAAGCGTTCTCTGTTAATGCCAAAATTGCAGGCTTATTAAGTAACGTACCGTTTCGTTCATGCACAATGAATACTGGTTGTGAATAGGTGCCAATTACGAACCCCTCTGCTGCAACGCGCACACTGTAATTGACCGATGATTCCAAATTCGCGCAAACAGCTACGGCACCAGGATCAGCAGGAACTTTGACGTCACAAGGAATGTCCAGGGGATCATCAGCACGAGACGCCATTATTCTGTACTGCCTCACAGCCGAGGAGTTAAAATTCACCCAGTGAACCTCTAGACTGTTATTCACATTGTATGCTGTGACGTTTGATGGAGCTGAAACACAGTTTGAAAATTAATAAGAAATTAATAATTAATAAAGGAAACACAAGAAGTAAATGGGTTGCTTCTTAGATCGGGAGAAACGCAAACTTGAAAACTTTCGTCGCGCCGTTTCTGGGGTTCCTTCTGTAGGTACCGAGGCACACATTACGTACAACAAAAGAAACAACGCAACCAAACAATAAAGTTCCCTGGGGAACTTTATTGTTTGGTTTCTTTGGTGACGAGCCTGTTCCTCCCAACCCGACAGACAGTCCCTGGGCCTTCGAGAATGATGCAGGGTAACGTTTCCCCCGTCTTCTCTCGGAAATATAGGGACATCTGGCTCACCGAAGATGGCTTCTCACATACCCTCTTGTTTTGTCTCTACTATGATAAGCGCAGTCCTGAGGCCAATCTGATTCTGAGTATATCTTTCTATCTGCATGCTATAGTTGGTTTGTGACTCTCATTTGACCAACCTCTCCTGGGTCTCTAAAGATGACTTTTAATCATCCTCAACCGAATTAGCCCAACTTGAAAGGCATGCTAATTCCAGTCAACTACCGAGAACAAAAACAAGGCGTGTTCATATCATTGACCTACCAGTAAATTTCGTCCACACAAGCTTTGATTCACTTTTGCTCCCAGCTCCGTTTAGAGTCACAACCCTCACAAACACCAGATATGCCGTCCAATCCTTGAGTCCCGTAATCAAGTGGGACCTTTTAGCAGATAATATGCGCTTAGATTTGAATTGTTCTTCTTCCACCTCTTTGTAGAAAACAACGTAACCTTGAAAGATGCCTGTTAAGTTCTCCACATACGAGCTTTCCATGGTGACATTTACCGAACCTATGCTTGTCATATTCGACGCAGAAAAGGCAATTCCCTTAACGTCCACTGAATAAACAGAGAAGCAAATCATCTCAAAATGAAGAGCCTTTACAGCCCGGCACCCTTGGCCTTCTTTTTTTCTTTAAGAAATTCACGAAATCATTTGGTACGAGCAAGGGAGACTTGTTTGAAAATATTTGAAAAATAACCTAACAAACTCGTGTATTTTTCGCAACGGTACATTTTGGTGTGGCAGATTTCTGATTTTAAGACATGTGAGGAAAGAAAAGGGTTTGTTGTCAAATATTTTCTGTGTTATCTACGTGAAAACTTGGACATTCACTATTTCGGTAATACCCGCGATGCAAAATATATCTCCGCATGTTGACATACAGTCACAAAGCGTACCTTCATTAGACTGAATATCTACTACCGTCCATGAATTAGTGGAAAGAATTGTTCCAGCTCGAAGCGGGTCCAACGCGGCCCCACTCCTCTGGTCAAAAACAACGGTTAGGTAAGCTGAGTGGGTTTTTGTTCTGTTAAATAAAAAGAGTTCTGCATTAACCAAAGACTCAATTAAATTTTTAGATATATTAAGTGATTATTTCAGTTAGAAATAAAGTTAGGGTCCTTTTGACCATCACCCTCCCCCTTTCAATCCTCCGCCAAAAGAATATACATTTTCTTCCTGGCAAGCTTCACATCCATGTCCACACCTGAAAATAAGGTATAAGTTACAAAGTAAAAACAAAATGCTAATAATTCTCACCCGATATTTGCGAATTCATATTTGTTCACTGCCACGCTTGAAACGTTATTCTCGCCAACAAGAGTAGCTATCTGGCAAAGAAATTTTAAAAAATAATTCAAAACAGCATTACTTTCGGTCATGATTACAAAAAAAATGGGCAGCATTCTTTTCTCTAGGTGAAGGAGAGGACGTCAGATTACAGTAAACACCCGCATATAAGAACAAATGGATTAAGAACACCAGGCTGAAATTTAGCCAATAAAGCCCCAAGAACAAGATCAGCCTGAAAATTGTGACATGTTCTTATAAAATGGAAAAAGTGTCATAATTACAAAACATGTAATTTTATGTTTGATGTCAGACTTCATTTGTTAATATAATCAAATTACAGAATAATTATTTATTTTCTTTTCCTAAAATATGCTAAATATACCTCTAGCAACATGTTTTGGATAGTATTACTAAATCAAAATTTAACAACATTTGGAGGCTGATTTGTCATTAAGCACCCGATAAATAAGAACTCAATCAGCCTGACCTCCGAAATCTTGTGTTCTTATATGCGGGTGTTTACTCTACTGGGGAGTCAATGCAAAAGTAATACTACAGTTAACTCTCAGATATACCTCAGATATCAATGACGACGTTACGCTCTCCATTCTTTCAAAGTCGACGAATGTCGACGCAGCTTGATTAGTGAAAATCTCTCTCTCCACTCTTACAGTTACCGTGGAAAAGGTAGCTGCGAAGAAAATATTTGACCTAATAACTGATCAGTAAAAACTATGAATAAAAGCTAGGCAATCGAACCCCTTTACAAAGGCTACGCTAGGGACAAAAGGGGATGTTTACATAGAGGGAAGAAGATTCTAGTACCAGGAAGATCCTAGAAGGCGGATCAACTTTACGTTGAGTTTATACATGCAGAGATTTCGGTTCGTATGATGCCCAAGTAGAGAAGGTTCGAGAAAAAACATCATACCCGTGTTTTTAAGGTGCAGAAACACCTAGTTACTTTTATTTTTGCAATTTTCGTTATGACTTATGAATGAAGTTTTCAAGAAATTTTGAAGTACTTGATCAAGCCCTCTTAGGTTACGTTTATACTAGAGAAACATTTTTCAGATTTAAAAATGTCTCCGAATTTACGATCACATTTAGGATATTCGCTCTCGCAACCCTTTACACACATTATTTTATCTGAGAAAATTCTTTCGGATAAGTCACTGAAGATTCAGGATTAAAAAATCTCCGGGAACGTGTCCCGGGAACGTTTTATTTCAGATGCACGCGATCTGACTGCGTGTAAACTACATACGAGTCCAATTCCAAACTGTTTCGGATTCTTTACAAATCGAAAAAGAAAACACCTTTTCTAGTCCAAACCTAGCCTTAATCGTTTTCTGTAACACGTAATAGAGAGCTTTAGATTTAAGGACGAGGACGACACCGAGTACGAGAGTTATCTTAAAGTTTTGCCGCGTATTGTCAAAAATATTCAGCCCGGAAAGCTTCACTGTACTATTTTTTACCTGAAAAATTAGTGCGGTTATTTTTATTGGAGAAGGTTTAGCCCTTTCCGGGTTGCAAAATGATTTAACTTCAAAAATTTGATAACTTGTTTCCGCCAAAATGACTTGGTTCCGCAAAAGCACTACTTAGTACTGAGAAAATCTCGTACTCGTAGTCATCCTCGTCTCGGAATATAAAGCTCTCTAATATCAAAGGATTACATTGATGCAGCTAGGCCGTAATCTACCTTTATAACAATCATAAACTTGAGTTATGACCGCGTCGCCAAACGTTTCATACCAAATTACCAAGTCGTCGAACGAAGCAATGGGCAAGCCATTCGATGAGTCTCCGACCTGAGCAGTTGGTGATACAAAAGCATGGACAAGACTTTCCACATCGTAATATAAAGGTTCTTGCCTCTCTCCATTAAAAAAGAAGCTCAAAGAACTGCATGTTCCGATGATAATACTGGCATCGAAAGAAAGTACAAAATGCGACCAGATATTCTCTGGAGCACTGTAAATCCATAAACAAGTTCGGGTTTTTTGGCGCAGTTCTATCGCAACATGATCAAGAGAGCTATTATACTGAAAAACTCGCAAGCCTCTTGAGTCTGCCGTTTCAGTTGCTCCAGTAAACAGAAATGTTTGTCCAGCCTCTTTGTTACTGTGCTTTAGCCAAAAGGAGACAGTAAGACCTTGTACGCAGAGCTCAGGGTCAGAAATACAGCCTGTATCGTTAAATAAAAAGATCGTACGAAGCTCTCCATTTGTAGATACAGCGTAATCTTTAGTACCAGCAGTTCTTCTAAGGAAGACCCCAGACCATTTAAGAGAGTTATCCTTGGCGGTATGCACGTCCCTGGGATCGTCAAAAGGAAAATGAAACTTCGCTGTGAGAAGCAAAGCCTCTAGCTTCAAAGATGGGTAATCTAAAGAAAAATGAACGAAAATGTGTCATATGTTTTCTATCATTATGAGTCTTTTCACTAAGAGAACAAACGCGACTTCCAACATGTGGTTTGCACCAAAACGTGGTAAAACAAACGGTTCTCAATTCTCTCCTCACGTTTCGACGCCTTTGATCTATACCTCAAAAAGGCGTGACTAACGATCTTCAATGTTTCAACAAGGTGGAACAGTGTGGCGGAACAATAGAACAGTCATGGTGAAACTGTGTGGTGGAACAGTGGAACAGTGGTAGTGCAACAGTGTGGTGGAACAGTGGAACAATATGGTAAAACAGTGGAACAGTGACGGTGGAACAGTCAAACAGTGATGGTACAAAATGGGTGGTGGAACAGTGGAACGGTGATAGTGGAACAGTGTTGTGGAACAGTGATGGTGGAACAGTGTGGTGGAACAATAGAATAGTCATGGTGGAACAGTGTGGTAAAACAGTGGAAGTGTGACGGTGAAACAATGTGGTGGAACAGTGGAACAGTAATGGTAGAACAGTGTTGGTGGAACAGTGGAACAGTGTTGGTGAAACAGTGTGGTGAAACAGTGGACAGTGATGGTGGAACAGAGTTGGTGAAACAGTCAAACAGTGATAGTGGAACAGTGTGGTGGAACACTAGAACAATTATGGTGTAACAGTGTGGTGAAACAGTAGAACAGTGAAGGTGGAACAGCGTGGTGGAACGGTGGAACAGTGATGGTGGAACTGTGTGGTGAAACAGTAGAACAATGTTGTGGAACAGTGAAACAGTGTTGGTGGAACAGGGTTGCTGGAACAGTAAAACAGTGATAGTGGAACAGTGTGGTGGAACACTGGAACAGTGATGGTGGAACAGTGTGGTGGAACAGTGAAAAAGTGATGGTGCAACAGTGGAACAGTGATGGTGGAACAGTGTGGTGGAACAGTGGAACAGTGGTTGTGGAACAGAGTTGGTGGACAAGTGTGGTGGAACAGTGCAACAGTAAAGGTGGAACAGCGTGGTGGAACAGTGGAACAGTGGTTGTAACACAGTGTGGTGGAACAGTGCAATAGTGAAGGTGGAAATGTGGTGGAAGAGTGGAACAGTGATGGTGAATCAGTGTGGTTGAACAGCGGAACAGTGATGGTGGAACAGTGTGGTGAAACAGTGGACCAGTGACGGTGCAACAGTGTTGGTGGAACAGTGAAACAGTGATAGTGGAACAGTGTTGTGGAACACTAGAACAGTTATGGTGGAACAGTGGAACAGTGATGGTGGAACACAGTGGTGCAACGGTGGAAATGTCATGGTAGAACAATGTTGGTGAAACATTGAAACAGTGATAGTGAAACAGTGTGGTGGAACACTGGAAGAGTGATGGTAGAACAGGGTGGTGGAACAGTGAAAAAGTGATGGTGGAACAGTGGAACAGTAACAGTGATAGTGGAACAGTGTTGTGAAACACTGGGACAGTGATAATGGAACAGTGTTGGTGGAACAGGGTTGGTGGAACAGTGAAACAGTGATAGTGGAACAGTGTGGTGGAACACTGGAACAGTGATGGTGGAACAGTGATGGTGGAACAGCGTGGTGGAATGGTGGAACAGTGATGGTAGAACAGGGTTGGTGGAAAAGTGTGGTGAAACAGCGAAACAGTGATGGTGGAACAGTGTTGGTGGAACAGTGAAACAGTGATAGTGGAACAGTGTGGTGGAACACTAGAACAGTTATGGTGGAACAGTGTGGTGGAACAGTGAAAAAGTAATGGTGGAACACTGTGGTGGAACGGTGGAACGGTGATGGTAGAACAGTGTTGGCGGAACAGTGGAACAGCGACGGTGGAACAGTGTTGGTGGAACAGTAAAACAGTGATCGTGCAACAGTGGAACAGTAATGGTGAGACTGTGTGCTGGAACAGAGGAAAAGTGATGGTGGAACAGTGTGGTGGAACGGTGGAAGAGTGATGCTAGAACAGTGTGGTGGAAAAGTGTAGTGAAACAGTGATGGTAGAAGAGTGTGGTGGAACAGTAAAACAGTGTTGGTGGAACAGTGAAACAGTGATACAGGAACAGTGTGGGGGAACAATGGAACAGTGATGGTGGAACAGTGTGTTGAAACAGTAGAACAGTGCTGGTGGAACAGTGATGCTGGAACAGTGTGGTGGAACAGTGAAACAGTGATGGTGGAATAGTGTGGTGGAACAGTGGAACAGTGGAACAGTGATAGTGGAACGGTGCTGTGGAACAGTGGACAAGTGATTGTGGAACAGCGTTGGTGGAACAGGGTTGGTGGAACAGTGAAACAGTGATAGTGGAACAGTGTGGTGGAGCACTGCAAGAGTGATGGTGGAAAAGAGTGGCGGAACACTCAGACAGTGTGGTGGAACAGTGAAACAGTGATAGTGGAACAGTGTTGTGGAGCATTGGAAGAGTGATGGTGGAACAGGGTTGTTGGAACAGTGAAACAGTGATAGTGGAACAGTGTTGTGATGATAGTGTAGAGTGTTGTGGAACAGTGGAACAGTGATGAAGGAACAGTGTTGGTGGAACAGTGTTGTGCAACAGTGGAACAGTGATGGTGGAACAGTGGAGCAGTGATGATGGAACAATGTGGTGGAACAGTCGAACAGTGATGGTGGAACAGTGAAACAGTGATGGTGGAATAGTGTGGTGCAACAGTGGAACAGTGTGGTGGAACAGTGGAACAATGATAGTGTACAGTGTTGTGGAACAGTGGAACAGTGATGAAGGAACAGTGTTGGTGGAACAGTGTTGTGCAACAGTGGAACAGTGATGGTGGAACAGTGGAGCAGTGATGGTGGAACAGTGTGGTGGAACAGTCGAACAGTGATGGTGGAACAGTGAAACAGTGATGGTGGAATAGTGTGGTGCAACAGTGGAACAGTGTGGTGGAACAGTGGAACAATAATAGTGTACAGTGTTGTGGAACAGTGGAACAGTGATGGTGGAACAGTGTGGTGGAACAGTGAAACAGTTATGGTGGAATAGTGTGGTGGAACAGTGGAACAGTTTGGGGGAACGGTGGAACAGTCATAGTGGACAGTGTTGTGGAACAGTGGAACAGTTATGGTGGAACAGTGTTGGTGGAACAGGGTTGGTGGAACAGTGAAACAGTGATAGTGGATCTGTGTGGTGGAACACTGGAACAGTGATGGTGGAACAGTGTGGTGGAACAGTGATGGTAAAACAGCGTGGTGGAACGGTGGAACAGTGGAACAGTGTTGGTGGAACAGTGAAACAGTGACTGTGGAACAGTGGAACGGTGATGGTGAACCTGTGTGGTGGAACAGTGGAACAGTGATGGTGGAACAGTGTGGTGGAACACTGGAACAGTGATAGTGGAACAGTGTGGTGAAAGAGTGTGGTGGAACAGTGATGGTGGAGCAGTGTGGTGGAACAGGGGAACAGTGTTGTGCAACAGTGTTGTGGAACAGTGGAACAGTGATGGTGGAACAGTGTTGGTGGAACAGTGTGGTGGAACACTGGAACAGTGTGGTGGAACAGTGGAACAGTGATGGAAGAAGAGTGTTGGTGTAACAGTGTGGTGGAACAGTGATGGTGGAACAGTGTGGTGGAACAGTGTGGTGGAACAGTGTGGTGGAACACTGGAACAGTGATAGTGGAACAGTGTGGTGGAACAGTGGTGAAACAGTGGAACAGTAGAACAGTGATGGTGGAACAGTGTGGTGGAACACTGGAACAGTGATGGTGAAACAGTGTGGTGGAACAGTGGAACAGTGATGGAGGAACAGTGTTGGTGGAACAGCGTGGTTGAACAGTGATGGTGGAACAGTGTTGTGGAACAGTGGAACAGTGATGGAGGAACAGTGTTGGTGGAACGGTGAAACAGTGATAGTGGATCAGTGTGGTTTAACACTGGAATAGTGATGGTGGAACAGTTTGGTGGAACAGTCATTTCAAAACGTTCAGCAGGAGCTATTTAAAAAGACGAAAAAAGGAGAAAGGGAGGCAAAAAGAGTTCTTGACAACTTGAGAATGCCTTATCAACAGTTGCGATCGTGTGTCATCGCTACGAGAGATTTGCTGTTTTGCAAAATGTTTTCTCTATTAGTCTGCTTTGAGCAAGAAAAGATGTTGGAAAGAACGTTTCGAAGAAACTTACTACAAGTAAGATTAAGGGAAAAAGAAGAAGCAGACACGAAAAGTAGAGTTTGGGACTTCAACAATGCCTAAACTAACACAAATCCTCGTTTTTTTTCTGAACAGTCAAACAAAAGATTCCATGTTGCCGAGGGTCTGTTCAATAATAGAAGGTCGTCTGTTTTACCACATTTTGACGTCATCTGTGAAAAACAGACTGGTTAAATAATGTTAAATAATGTACGGAGCCCAGTCAACGGCACAGGCGCGTGTTAATATCGGACGATTTACAAACATAAAAACATACAAAAAGCGTTTCCTAGAACATTATTAGCTAATAAAGAAATTGGAATGATATGCGTTCGCTCATTAGTGCACTAAGCTAGGGCTAGGTCGGCAAGAAACCGGATATTTTTGAACCCATATATTTTCTTATCCAGAGTCGTGTGAACCAGACCTGAAACCACTCTGGAGAGCGGTTTCAAACCAATGCGGTTCCGGTGCAGTCCGGATTCACTGGTTTCGTGTGGACGCAAGGCCGATTCGTGTAAAAAAGTATGCGGTCTTAAAAATATCAGGATTTGTGTGGAAGTAGCCTAAATTACGTCAACAATTAACAATGCACGCGAGCTACTTTATCTATGCCTACAAGTAGCACGTAGCAGTTATATCAATAAGGTTTCGTGAACAACCAGAGTTTTAACGTGTTTAAAAGCACTGTACCTTCAACAATAGCTGTAAGGCCGGAGTGATGGGTATAGAATCGAGAGGGCGACCCGTTAAAGCGCGCCCGATCTCCAGTAAGGGATTCCCTAGTGTAACACCGCCATCTTTTATTTGTGTTGGTCACATCATAATCAAAGCGAGCGTACGTATTCTCCCCTGGGTGAGCTGTCTCACAGAATTCACCCAACTTAGCATGAAGGTCTGTAAGAAAACGTAAAAAAAACATTCAGTCAGGGTTGTCAGAATGCGCCGGCTACCTTGAGAGTTTCGCCGGCTGTAAATTGTTAGAGGAAACGAAAACAATGGAAGATTTAAAATATTGTAAAAAGAGAAAATAGAAAAAGGAAAAAGAAATCGTTTTAATCGTGCCCTGCATGATCGTTTTGTGATTTTAAACGGGTTTCGAATCCGCTCTCGCTTAGTTCTTCCAGTCGCCTTAGTAAGATACAATAAAGCGAATAAAAATAGCGTAGATGTATGCAAAAGGGTCTGCTTACACTGTCTTTACATAATCTTTGGTGGAGAATGAAGAATAAAAGATACGCAGAAGTTTTAAAAAATCTCTTTTTAAGAAATTTGTATGCGTTGGTGTTCTATTTCCTATTTCGAAACAATTCTCAAACAAAGTTATCGTTTCCACACGAGATATGTGTTTCCCAGGTGGGAGAACATATGTCACTAGGGATACGTGTTTCCCAGGTAGGGGAACACATATCACTAGGGATATGTGTTTCTCAGGTGGGGGAACACATATCACTAGGGATATGTGTTTCCCAGGTAGGGGAACATATATCACTAGGGATACGTGTTTCCCAGATGGGGGAACACATATCACTAGGGATATGTGTTTCCCAGGTAGGGGAACATATATCACTAGGGATACGTGTTTCCCAGAGAGGGGAACATATATCACTAGGGATATGTGTTTCCCAGGTAGGGGAACATATATCACTAGGGATACGTGTTTCCCAGGTAGGGGAACACATATCACTAGGGATATGTGTTTCCCAGGTGGGGGAACACATATCACTAGGGATATGTGTTTGTCAGGTGGGGGAACACATATCACTAGGGATATGTGTTTCCTAGGTAGGGGAACACATATCACTGGTGATACGTGTTTCCCAGGTGGAGGAACTCATATTACTAGGGATATGTGTTTCCCAGGTAGAGGAACACATATTACTAGGGATATGTGTTTCCCAGGTAGAGGAACACATATCACTAGGGATATGTGTTTCTTAGGTGGGGGAACACATATCACTAGGGATATGTGTTTCCCAGGTAGGGGAACATATATCACTAGGGATACGTGTTTCCCAGAGAGGGGAACACAAATCACTAGGGATACGTGTTTCCCAAGTAGGGGAACATATATCACTAGGGATATGTGTTTCCCAGGTGGGGGAACATATATCACTAGGGATATGTGTTTCCCAGGTGGGGGAACACATACCACTAATGTGTTTCCCAGGTGGGGGAACACATATCACTAGGGATATGTGTTTCCCAGGTGGGGAAACACATATCACTAGGGATACGTGTTTCCCAGGTAGGGGAACACATATCACTAGGGATATGTGTTTCCCACGTAGGGGAAGATATGTCCCTAGGGATACGTGTTTCCCAGGTAGGGGAACACATATCACTGGGGATATGCGTTTTCCAAGTAGGGGAACACATATCACTAGGGATATGTGTTTCTTGGGTAGGGGATCACATATAACTAACCTAGTGAAATGTGTTCTCCTTACCCGGAAACACATATTCTTAGTGATATGTGTTCCCTTGATTCTCATGAGACAAAATAAAATGATTTATTACCAAACAGGGGCTTAGGAAAATCGATCCTGGGAATTTGGGTCTTCAAGCTTTAATTTTTTCAGTTCGCATTTATAATGAAAAGCGTAAAAACCCAGTCAGAACATTCCTTTCCGTAACCTCTTGATTTTAGATATCAGACAAAACACAACTCGTATGACAATAATCTTATAGTTTTAGGTGTATGGACGAAAGAAACGCTCCTTCGAGTTTTGAGTTTTAAACATTTTTTCTGTGTTTGGATATCAGATGAAACACTTTATCTCGTGTTTGATATACTACTTCTTAGTTTCTAGATCCTTTATAATGAAAACGAAGAAGTTATACCCGCTCTCTCGTAACATCTTTGTACATCTCGCTTCGTTACGTCACAAACGCACTTGCCACTGATCTCATCACAGTACTGCCCACGAAGACACGGCGGATCACACAAGGAATCTAGTAAAAGAAAAGAGAACAAAAAGAAATATAGAAAACAAGAAGAAACATACGAGCTAACAGCTCATTCTATTTCTGTTTTCGGAATAGACCATCACCTTAATATCTCCTTCTGCAATTGTATTGTTCGCGATTGGTTGAGCTGGTAAATCTGAGGTGGTACCCAGGGAAAGAGGGATACGGGGCGAAATCTCTACGCTTCCTTTTAATTCTCACTGATGACCCGCGCGTTCGTTCCAAGCACACCTGCTTTTGCTCCGCTCAATTGATGCTCAGGCAGTTAATTCAATTTTACATCTTTTTTAACAACATTTCTACTCCGAATGATTTTATCCATTTGTGGCGATTTAAGGAGTAAACAAAACTATTTTCCTGCTTTGAACACATAACGTTGGTTTTATTGCAGCCATTTTCTCACATGACTCATTTCCCTTATTAAACGAACGAGGTGTAGTAAGAGGCTGCAAAAGGAGAATGAAAGAGGAAGGCGATACATACCAAAGGGATAAAGCACTTCCACATCGCTTAAGTCCACAACTGAATCCTGAAACTCACACAATGAACGATTTCCTTTGTAAACGTTTCCAACGTTAAAAAAGGCAGACCCATTTTTGAGATTAATTACGAGGTCGGTCCCGAATCGAATTTCTCCCCGTAATCGGTTTAAGGCATAAGACCTGTTAGTGGACAAAACATTCAACTTTCTTTCCATATTTTGCGCCATTGTGGATTGCAGCGTGAACAGGAAAGCTTTCTTACTTGGTATGAATCCACTGACGGAACCTAACAATAAGAAATGAACAAGATCAGAAGAAATGTAGAAGCGATACGTAGGTTCGTAACTTCAACTTTCTTGAAATGTCAATGAAAAAGGGTATGATCCCCTCAAAAACATGTTCAATCTAATCGGTTTGAAAAGAAACTAATTTCTTTTGTATGATAGTCTCTCTCGGTTTAGACTACGAGCAGTCTCTCTTTTTTCGGTAGTCCGTCGAGCAAAACACGAGACACGCAAATGGCCACGCGCGTGACTGATGGCGCGAGATGGGAGAGGCTTCCCGCTCCCGAGCGCGTGCATTGCTCTCACTAAATCTGAAGAAAAAGGAGGCTGTTCGCAGTCTACTCTCGGTTCAGCCGTATAACTTGGGGTAAGCTCGAGTAAGATAGGGTAGAATAAGATAGGATAGGATAAAATGGGATGGTATGGGATGGAATGGAATGGGATAGGTTAGAATAGAATCAGCTTTATTTAATCACGCTAAACTAATTCAACATAAGAGGCGGTTTCCTATAGGGGCGTGCCTCAGAAAAACATTACAATTTCTTAAATTACAAAAGTTCACCAAGCGTATTGAATAAAAATAAGTACTAACGCCCAAAGCTAGAAGTAAGAGTACGCTAAATTATTAGTCAAAATATAAAAATTACTATAACGCAAAAGCGTTTCCCTAATTCAGGTGTAGAACTAACACCGTGGCAAGGTTAAAGCTTACCACTCCATGGTTTATCGGCGAATCCACCAAACAAACAATCGCGTTTTCGGATAATAAAAACGGTGGCCGCTTTAAAAGCACACTGATTCTGAAAAATACTTGCATTCCAGCCATCTGCATTGGCGCGGAAGCATGGAACCCAGTACACGTTACCCAGTCCCTCCTCGGCCAACCATTTGTTTAAGGTGTCCTGGTAGAATGGGCTATTCTGAAGCATCGATGAGTTGATTCCTACATGTACAAGAAGAAAACATATATACAGATAAAATGTATAGAACATCTTGTTCAAATTCAGTATAGACGGCTTCACGTTTTCAAGGATTCCTCTCAAACCTCCAAAACTTCTATTTATAAGATGCCGAGTTAGAGATTAGCTTTTACACTAAGATCTCTCATAACGCGCAGGTCCCAAAACTTGAAAGAGAGTTAGCACCACCTTATGGCAGGGAGACTTCTGAAATCAACGGGTAAAGAATAATAGCTGTGATTAGCCAGGTAAACGGTTGCATGTAGAAACTTAAATGCACTAATAATTCATGAAGAGAAAACAAAGGACATCACTAATTACCAATACAGGCGAACTATCTTCTAGTTGTTTGAATATCAGATGAAACACTCCCTCCTCGTGTTTGATATATTACTTCTTGGTGTTTGGATTTCAGATGAAACACTCCTTCTCGTGTTTGATATACTACTTCTCAGTGTTTGGATATCAGATGAAACACTCCTTCTAGTGTTTGACACAACTCTTCTCGGTTTTAGGATATCAGGTGGAACACTCCTCCTCGTGTATTTGATAAATTAATTCTTAATTTCTGGATATCGGATAAAACGCTCCTCAATATAGGGCGACAAACACAACTTTGCTTAGAAAACAAGTTGCATCAAATGAAGCGTACAAACCTGACAGTGCTTGTGTAGCCGCTTTTGGCGGTTCCAAGGGACACTCATCAGAGACTCCCAGACTTAAATCATCAATGGCTATGTCACTAGTATAACCATTACCAATTACATTTTCGAAGATAACCTGCAAAATACCAGATGTATATCATCAATAGTTGTATCATTTGTATAACCATAAACAAAAGGTAACCTGCGGAATATAACAAAGTGAATCTCGGGTGGGAGTACGGGGTTGATATTCTGGCCCCAGTTGTTCAAAAGGTGGACAACGCTATCCGCTGGATAAATCTCTATCCACTGGATAAAAATTAGTTTCCGATTTTTCCGTTGGATACTGATTTTATGAGCTGTTTAACGTTTTAACCTTTGTAATATTTCGAGAAAAACAGGAAAAAAAAGATTGTTTATGAATCATTTTATGAGTTTTAAAAGAAACCTCAATCATCGGACATTTAAGATAAAAAAGGCCAAAAAGGACTCAAAATCTTGCCATTCACACTTCCACGGCTTTTCGTACCTGAAAGGGGCGTTTGCTTGCTATTGGAACACTAGCTGAATACCATTGTTCGCCTTGATCACCAGCAAGTCTCCATAGCAACGTCTCTTGTCCACCATGGTCACGAGTGTACACATTCAAGCGACCAATGGTTGAGCCGTACATATGGTACCGAAATGAAAGACACTTATGGGATTCTGTCGCATACAGAGTCAAAATTCGGGCCTTCTGTCCTCGCTTTTTGGGATACGAAGATTCCACATAGATATAGCTTCTTTCATCTGGTAATAGAGAAGTAAAAATGCTTTGAAAGATGAGATGGGATAACAGTGCAGAGCAGCCTTTCTAAGAGGTCCCTTAGGTTATCGAGCTCTGAAATGCTACCTTAAGTGCAGAAGGAACCCTAACATAGATTTTGCATCGTCAGATATGTGTTTTCAACAGCTTCCTCCGGACGGTCAAAACTAATGCAAAACCGCCTAACTGAGGACGCGGAACTTCGATGGATCGAAACGCATTTGTGCGGGCCTTGCCTGATTGTTAAAAGAAAAATAATTTAACAAACGACATTTTACGAGCATAGCGAGAGTTCCCAAGAGCCAGTGAACTTGGATTACCCAGTACGCGCGTACAAGCCATAGAGTCCCCAATTTGATATTAAAAATGCAAGTTAGTAATATTTTCGGTGTCAAATACCTCTGCGGCATCCAAATAATTCAAGCCTGAGAGAAGGATAGTTGTACCATGTTTGAGGATAAATCCGCACAAATTTTGCCGTAATTGAGAGAAAATTCGATACCACTGTTGATCTGTCGCTGTTCGCTTGAAAAATCTAAAGAGAGATAAAAAGGTTGGAGAAAATCGATCATTCTCTTGACAGTTGTTTTAAAAGTATAGTGTGCAAGGTACGCATAGTTTCTTTTTCTTGAAACTTGTGCAGTAACTGTTCTATCATTCAACCAGTACTCTGCTGCCTGTTTTTTTTGGTGATATTTTATTGACAGACGCAGCAAAACTAAGCCTCCGGCTTGCGTCAAGAATTAACAGATTTCACGATTCATTTTCGTTGGTAAATAATGTTTAACTAATAAATGCGTCAACTTGAAAAAACACGTCAAAATGCAAAAAAAAGATAAACTTCTAACATTTGACAGGATCTTTCCACTGATTCCCGCCACTACGACATTCTCGCTTAAATTCGTAGTAGAATGACGACGGCTATCACGATTTCCCGCCCAAATGACACTGGTTTACGCGCGCGCACTACTTAGTATTGAGAAAATCTCGTTCTCGTATTAAATCGTTCATGTCTTAGAATCTAAAGGTCTCTAATATCTTACCTTGGGATTCCCATCAGTGGGGAAGTCACGATAAGGATCATTTTGAGAGGTCCGTGACTTGATAGTGTATTGTGTGACCCATTCATCATTGTCAGGTCTACCTTGGGTTGCAACCTGTGTTATCAGTGTGAGCCACCTAACGTTGATCTCAATCCATGGTGCTGTATCTGTGGGACTTGGCGCCCAACAGCCTGCGGAGTGAAGCCGGACATTTCGACTCGCAAACAAAGCGCTGCGACCAGAGGATGACGTAAACTGAGTTTCAACAAAAAGGTAGTTCCCGAAGCAAAGTGGATCACTACATAGTGGGGGAAACTCGGCTGGTAAACCTAAAAAAAATAATCCAAGATCTAATGACTAAATTATTTATTTAATTTATCTCGTTATCATTGATTTGTTCAACGGGGAAAGAACAATTCGAATTGTTTGCCGGGAAAGCACAATAAAAACGGCCATGTTCATGTATATCTCGAACTTATAAACGACCTGCTCTCTAGTAAGCTTGAAAACCTCAAGTGGATAGAAAGTTGCGGCTGGTGATCACAGTTGCCGTCAAGTCAAATTTCGCTAGGTCCGCTTTTGAAAAAGAAGTCGTTCCTCAGACATTTAGAGATGTAAAGCAGAGATTTTGCGTGGGACCGGAGGAAGCGAATGTTTTCATTCAGCAGCCCGTATTGATGGTTCGATGTGAATTGCTCTCTTTGTCTTAACTGGGTTAAACATGCGATGCAATAATGAGAAGAATTTAATTTTCACCGTCATCACAAGGTCCTGTGTTGCTCGAGGAAGTGCAAGAAACTTTTGGAAGCCATAAAAGGTTCTGAACTTCTCCCTCCGTTTGATACGTTGCCCTTTTCAGTACGTACCACGATCCCTCTGTAACGTTCACTGCAAAAAATTGAGAAACTATTAAAAAATATTCTACAGAGCAATGTATAGTTCTTGCTGGAAACTAAAAATGTTCTCCTGACGGTTCGAATGAAATCTTCCACTCTTCAATGGTATTTCTACGGTATTTGTGTTAGGCTTAACTTAGTTCCAACGGGATCTATTTTAGGCACCATGACAAACTGAACCCTTCCCCCACCAAGCAATATTACTTGTAACTTTTACTGTACAGACCTCACCGTTTGTTCAAGATTGCATTTCGTCTTAGACCCTGTTGAACCAGGTCGAATATGATGGTCAATATGGTCAATATGATGGTCAATATGGTCAATACGATGGTCATTATGGGCAAAATGATGGACAATATGGGCAATATGATGATCAATATGGACAATATGATGGTCCTATATAATGGACGTCATTCACCACTGTTGAACACCACAAGTTGAAGCCAATCAGTCGCCTTTTGGGCAGTGTTGGAAGTTGTTGAAATATGATGGATCGAGTCTGAATGAGTTAAAACACTTTGGGTTCGTTCAGACCACGTCAAATAAACCCAAAACTATTATTGAAAAATGTTTGGTGAACCTGTTGGATCTTGAAACACGCGAATAAGATAGTAAAAAAATATATCCAGGCAAACTGGCCCAAAGTAAGTTTGACGCCGGTTGCAGCTACGAATTAATACTTACAAGATGTCATGTAATTGGCCATCACTTCTTCTTCAGAAACAAATCTTTCCCATATGCGTAAGTCTGACATCTGCAGATTCGTACCCAGTGGGGTGACACTCCCATTTTCACCCAACACTCCACCGATCTTAATGTGAGTAGCAGGGACCAAGTCCTCGGTCGCAATAAACTCGGGTAGGTTAGTATACGATGATGCTTCGCCATTTATAAATACCCTTAAACCCCACATGTCGTGCCACGTGACTGTCACGTGCTCCCATTCATGTGGCTCGCTGGAACTGTAAGTGGTTAAAGACCATTCAAGACCTTCCATGCTTCTTACATGTAGTTCGTACGAAGATATGTTTGGCATTTTATGTATTGTGAGTCCAGTGGAAGGGGCGACTTCTGCAGTTAATGAAAGGACGTTGGTCTTTCCTCCGAGGAGTATGTCTATGATAATGACAGCAAGAACAAAAAGGATAAGCATCATACTATTCATTATCTAAAGGCTATTATGGCCGTTATCACCATATCATATTTCCTATCAATTTCTATGTCAAATCTCAAAATACTTTAAAAGCTCGAAAATAATCTCACAGTCTCAACTTTCGAGTCTCCAAGTTCTTAACACCAAATCCCCTACAATGAGCTCCTCCGTACGTAGATGGCAGTTATCTAATTCCATTCACTTCTTAAGTGGGGAAATCTCCCAAAACTCTCAAGTGGTGAAACGTCTCTAGTCTAAAAACAATATTCCCTTCGGGCGGAACATCCTCCTATAGTCAACAAAAATGGAGTTAGGCTGAGTAGCAGGCGCTTGGAAGTAGTGGGTGAAATAGAGAATGGGCGCGCACGAGGGAGACACGCATGTCTCCTTCTCGCGGGTCTGTTTTTTCTTGTGCCCACTACTTCCAAGCGCCTGCTACGCAGGCTAAAATGGAGTGTTCACAGGCTGGCACTTACCTTCATAAACAAAAACCTCCACATCGTCAGGGACGAAATAAGCACTCCCCGCCAAGAGATTTATCGCCTCTGCAGTTGAAGTCTCAATACCCCAAGGTAACTGGTATTCAAGCCCTAGTTGACTGAATGAACGGAGGCCTTCGTTTGCTCTGTCACCTATGAACAGATCACTAGTGCCAAATACTGGGCCTTGGAGCGGAACGCTTTGAGCAGCACGAAGCGTATTGTTTATTGGAAGCTTGATGGCTTGCGCGCGCTCAGGGTTCTGCAAACTAAACAGAAAGGCCGAGGAACTCGCAATGAATCCCCCGCCTGAAAAAGGAGCACACGAGTAAATAATTAAATAGAGAAGATTTAAAGAAAAAGAGGTGATTTGAAATTTTCGTCTTTTTTGGGATATCTTGCGGAGAACTCGTCAAAAGGAAGGACTCTGTCCTTCTAAGGACATTCGTAGAATTACCTGGGATAAACGACAAGGGCCACACAAACCTTTGACGATGGCGATTTATATCGGTAAGTTATCTACCAATCAAAATAATCGTGACGCCAAAAACATTCCATACTTACCACCCCATGACTGGTCTAAATAACCACCAAATATATATCCATCCACTTTAACGAGCGTCACGCTAGCACCGCGATCGTCACAGTTCGCATGAAATGCAGCGGCTGACCAAACATCGTCAACAGCGCGGTAACAACGTGTCCATCGGGACTCGGGAGAGGTCACAGAAGATAGCAAACTGTTGAGGTCCTGATGAAGAGTAGAATTCCCGCCCAGAATGTGGGAAATGAACTTTGCTGCATTAAAAAACACAGTCGGTTTATGCACATCCGCATTAGATACCATTTCTTTGCTAATTTGCAGATCACAAGATACGCGCATGAAACAGAAAGTGATATTCCCATCCTTTTAAATATCTAAACAAACCTTGTGGAGTCGACGTAATTGCAAGTCAAAATCGTGATTACAGACCCTAACTCATATTAGAGCGTTTGTTTTGCTACTATTGAGAATTCACCAATGGACTTGTCCAGGGAAAGCCAAACATGAACGAATACTTACCAAATCGCCGAATCAGTATGAATCAGTGAAGTGCTCTGTATCAGAGTTTTATTTATTCCTTGGTATTACGAGACAGGGTCACTGACTGAGCTTTTGGCTATGCTGTCTATGGCAAGACTGGCGAAGGTAAGAAATTTAAAAAAAGGGAAAAAAAGCAGAATAAAGGCACGTACGTTCGTTTTTTAGCCAAAAGCTAACGGCGAATCCACCTGGACAGAGACTTGGTTCATTAAGACAGTCATCTCCTGTTGTATCAAACCGCAATGTTGCGTTTCCTTGTATGCCGAGAACTTTCATGTGGGTATCAACACCATCACCAGAAAAGATAACTGCTTCCTGCGTTGACAGCAAGTCAGCAAAACCACCGTTAGACGTGAAGCCAGAGAAATCCAAACGGTGCTTTTCTGTAAAGGAAATGGAAACAATATGCGAGAATCAAATTACCAATAACAGTCAACCCTATCTAAGACGGACACCTTCGGGGTCGGCACTAAATGTCTGTCTAAGAGTGATGTACGTCTTGTAGAGAGTCAAATACCGGGAGTAAAGAATGGCAGGGACCTTTTTAGCAAAGTGTCCGTTAAGAGAGAGAAACCATTGGGAACGGACGGGGAAGTGGCGGATACAGGGGGAGTCAGGGGCTCCGTACCTGACACTTCCTCACGATGGAGAAATAATGAACAACCTTATTAACGTGTCCTGTCCTCAGGTTGGCAGCATGAATCCTACTAATCGGGGATATTTGGAGACCGGAAGTAAGCGTTCTATCTCTAGAAAAACGATGAACGAATTCAAACGTTTTCAATGGTATGCACAAGTTTGGAACCTTCCATCAAATATTTCTTAGATCCGCCCATGCGGGAGAAATGATCTGTTTTTGATTGGTGCTCGTTTTAAAGGGTGTCAAAGAAAATGATCACTCCCCTGTAACGGACCCAGTGAAATTTATATTTTCACCGGGTTCTCGGAGTAAACATCGCTAGGTTGGCTTATTTTCCACTGGGTAGTTAGGTTTGTTGGAAACCTTTAACATTTTTCTCTAGCGAGAAGAGCAATTAGAGGTGATGGCCGGGGCGGGAATTACAACAGGAGCGTGGGGATCACAATTTGTGACGGATTAAAAACAAGAGATAGTGCACTGTTAAGAAGTTCGCAAAATAAACTGAAGCACCGAGGTTTTTTATCTTTAATGTTCGCTGTCTTTTATATCCAGTCTCCCTTACTTACGATAACATACCTTTAACTTTACACGAGGAAGGTTTTTTAACAGAAACAGAGGAGCTTCTCCATGTTTTCATTTCCGGCCAAGGAAGTAGGTTCCCCACTTCTGCTCCACAACTTAGTGACATCCTGTTGATTTTGTCTTCTGCTATCTCCATGTTCCACATATTAAAATGGCTCAGATGGCCCTCAAAGGAGAAAGAGCTGTCGTAACTGTAAGCCGTTGACCATTGCTGCCCAATTACCAGCTTTCCCGGGGCTACGTGAACTCCACTTGAAAGGTTAAAGCCTTTTTCAACTCTGTTGCCGTCCACGTGAATACCCCATCGACCATCACTGCTTCGCCACGTGACGCAGACATGGTGCCAAAGTGAGTCACCTCTGACGTCAGCTGTTTTAGCCACGGATCTTTGGTCTCCATTCACAAAAATGTCCATATGGTTTTCCAGATCATGAAAGCTGAAGGCATTGATATCTTGGTCATTAGTCAGTGAAAACACAGCCATTGTATTGGAACCCGTGCTTGGCAACATTATCCACCAACACACTGTTGTTTCTAAAAAATCTGAAACCTCCATTGGACCAACATAAAATGAGGTGGAACTGCTCGCAAAGTACAATTCATAATCCCACAATCGCTCTATGAAAAGAGAAAAGAGAAATAAGGGATGCGCGTGTATTTCTTTTATTTTCATTTATTATTATTATATTTTTTTCAAGAGAAAAGTACTCTATCTTCCTCGACTTTCCAGTTGATCACCTTAAAAGTCGTTTCGTTTCCTTTTGCTGAATTGGGGCACTGTCTGAAAATTACCTTATTTTCTCCAACATAGCTTAGACAGTCGCTTCTTCAACACAGTTTAGAGAGTCTCCAATAGGTTTCTTCAATCCCGCAATCTCGACCCAAATTTTCGCTCAATCCCGTTATGCCGATGGTTATTTTCGGCATTTCGCATCCCTTGCATATTAGGGACATTAAGCAGCGACGTTTTTGAGCGACGCACGTCAAACGGAAGTGGGCTCTTTTCGCTTTTGAAACGCCTTGACACGACCAAATTTGTATTTCTTAGTGTCTTTACTCTTAAAGAGACGATTTGTCAAAGAATTTGTTCAAAGTCACTACTGAAGAGTGCAGGAACGTCGCTGCTCAAACTCCATATTTTCAATTCCGAATGTCGCCTCCAATTTGCAAATCCCAGATCCCGAAAAACGTATTAGGGACCCTCCGTTTACCTGGGAGCCTCTACAAATTTTGTTCTATATCGGCTGGGAAATGAACGTTGCTGAGCAAGAAGCCATGAGTGTTGAGGCGGTGTCTGACAGACAAATCTGCCATACTGTCATTCAGCTAACCTAGACGTCTTACCTCTCTAAGCAAGTATATACTTTACCTCTGTTGGGCTTGATCATCATACTCGTAGCAGTCAATGGCGTTCCAGTCCCTGACCACGTGATCCACGTTATCTTGGAATCACTATTACCATTAAGCTGCGAATCCCCACAAGCATTATACCACCAACCTCCCCTCCCCGAAGAAGCACAGTTTTGACTGGGATCCTCATCATTGTCGTTGTCCCTGGTTGTAAAATACATCTCGTGATGGACTTTGAGGGAGTCCCCTGCAGTTCCTGTGTACCCCTGTACGTAGAGTTTGTAGTTTTCATCTCGAGGTTTGACCCAGAATCTCTTGTACACGGCGTGAGCTCGGTGAATTCCTCTTTTAAGCCGAATAAGTAGCTGATAAGGTCCCTCTTCCAACTCGCAACCACTGCGCAGGTACTTGTTTCCTAACCATAAATCACTCGTGCATCCGTCGCTGAGCCAGATATCTTTATTGTTCATATTGTCAATACAACTGCCGAATCCGTTCTCATAGGCTGACCATGGTCGGTTAAACTGAAGGGCGAAATCGGCATGACGCTGAACGACCATCCATCCGCCGCCATTGACGAGGCTACAGAAAACAGGAAGGTCTTCCATTCCTTCCTCGTCGATGTAGAAAAAATCCTCCTTTGTCGTCGACAGAGAGTCAAGGCAGCTCGCTTCTGTTATCACAAAAGTAGATTCATACATGTAACTTACTCATTCACCTCTGAACCGCCAGTGCAGATCCACGACAATTATACAGTCACCTCTCCCTAAGACGGAAACCTTTGGGACCGGCACTAAGTCCCGTGGGGGAGGGGAAAAGTACTTGGGTTAATTTTTGCTGGGTATGTGTCGCTGGCGTCTCAGAACCCCTACCCCATTATAGTCTATTCTGTGGCCAATGATAGACCCCATCTTAGTCACTTTCGGGAAAATGCAATTTTGGCGATCCCAAGTTAGTAACTTTCTTTTTATGCATCTACCTTATCAATCCTTTAAATAGGTCATCCTAAAAGGAATTGACACATTGGTTAACTTTAATGAAGTAAAAAATCTTCCCATTTTTAAATCCCTATCTACCTGAATTTTCTGATCCCCCAAATCCCAAAAATGTGCGCTCCCATTCTAGAACTCTAAAGAAAATACAGCTTTATTATATTCAATCCAGTCTTGAAAATGCGACCCCATCCAGTGGCACATCCCCATTAGCCTATTACTAGGAAGTAGCCCGTAAGGTCTTTGTTTATTATGCTTTCATTTCCCCACTAAAATGCTCCACCTTAATGCTCCATTTTTCCCACAAAAATGCTTGATCGCCCTCCCCCCCCCCCCCCTCCCCCACCACAAAAAAGCCAACCGCGTCCCCAGGGCGCTTTTCCCTGGCTTTGGGGATGCGGCGCCCCATCTCCAAGGCTACGGAAAAGCGCCCTGGGGACGAGGCTGGAAGTTTTTTTTGGCGGCGTGGCCGCAACCGACCAGCTACACTGGCTACCCAAACACCAGAAATTACATTTCCCGATAAAGTAAGCAATTCATTTGAGCACAGGATACTTACTTCGCCTGACAGGACATTCCCATCGGGGAGGGGAGAGCAGTGCACTCGGAGCAGCTGCCAAAAGATCGCTCCACGCGATGGTGGTCCCGTCTGTTAAGCCGCAGGTCAGAAAAAGCTGTCGAATCCGCGTTTCGGAAAAAACCTCGCTCCACATGTTCACGTCATTAAAGATACCCACATAAGCGTGCTGTAGAAGAAAAGCACCAGCCGTTTCATCCCACGCTTGACCAAGATAAAACCGTCTACCAGGGCCACCAATCTGTCTACCGGGTTTTAGTGAGGTACCTTCGGCATCTAGTTTGCCATTAAGGAAAATTTTGAAGTTGCCGTTTATGAAAGTTCTTACGAAGCAAAGATGCTTCCATGGTCTCCTCAACAATTTCTCTGACAGCTGCTCTGTTCTAAAGATAAAGAGGATAGAAAAAATACTGTATAAGCGTTTGAGCAATGCAAGCTAAACTAAAAAAACGATCCTCTCAGAGGACATATGCTTTATACTGGCAATAAATAGTCTGTCCTTCAGTGACCAAAAAAAAAAAAAAAACAGGGAGATCGCTTGCCGAGCTTATATAAAGTGGGAGATACGAGAAGCTCCGAAATCTAAGGGCTTTACTGAGGGACACGGCAAACTGTCCGTAATAACGAGGTGTCAGTATTAATTAAGCAGGTGTGTGTTAAGTGGTGTTCGACTGTATGTACTTACGTAACAGTGTTACCAACTTGGAGTTCTAATGTCCTTGGACCATCGTTGTCATATCGAATTTCCATTTCAATGTTGTTTCCAGATAAACAAGAAATCAGCCCCACTAGATGGTTTACGTCAACTTGAGTCCTAACCCACATACAGATGGTTAAGTCCTGCACCGAGGTTGTGGGTGCGCTAATGCTCACGATGTTTCCCGTGCTTTGGCTTGGGAATTCAATGTTGTCTGTTACACCTGCGGGGTTGACACATTTTAGATTAGTCATTATTATTATTATTATTATTATTATTATTATTATTATCATCATCATCATTATCATCATCATCCTGCTAAGTTTAATGCCACCGCATATGTCTCACAAACCATTGAAAGTAAATGGGTAAAAAAGAAGAACAATAATATATTAGATGAGGCGTGTCACCTGAAACCACTCTTGGCAAACTCAAGGAAAATAGAACCAAAACAATATGAACCTGAGAAGTAAAACCAAAAGTGTTAGCTTGAAAATTTTGCCCAAAGTTAAATAACTCATTATATGTGAACATCAATAATAGCTGGGTTTCATCTATTCAAGAAAAATAGGTAAGCAGTAGGCTTTCCTGGGTGGTACTCTGGATTTCAATTGACGGAGATGATCGATTGGGGGCAAAAAATCAAAACTCAAAAAAAATCCCTAAGGCTTTCCAACAAAACTCAAAAAAATCCCTAGGGCTTCCAACAGAACCCAAAAAAATCCCTAGTCCAAAACTTAGCCCCCAAAAAGCCCCATACCGAATTTCCGAGCCTTAAAAATGATATAACACGAAAAATAAAAACATGAGAAATTGAATGTTCGACTTCTCAAATTGTTTTAGATACCCCAAAAAATCCTTACTAAAATAAAGTCACCCCCCAAAGAATACTTGCCAAATTTTCTTACCCAAAAAATTCCGGAATGGAAAAATTCACACCCCCAAAAATCCTTCGATCAACCCCGTCACTTGAAATCCGGAGTACCCCTTCCCCCGGAAAGTTGGAACTACAGTAGAATTGTTTCTTCAGTCTGCTGTTAACCAAGTAGCTACAGTCCGCTTAAAATCGCAGTTCAGCATAAATCACAAAGGTCAGTACGTCCCACTTGAAGAAAACAAACACCGTATACTATACTGCCGAAAAGAGTTCGTTTGAATGGTCATACGTACTGTACGCCACTGTGCGATTTCGCCCACAGACTGTGAGGCGAGATATGAAGAGCAACAGAGCTTCTAGGTTGGATAAGTCGTTATAAGGGCAGATACAACGAAAGGGAAAACTTCTAAGGCAATGTTTAATTAATTAGTTAAAAGCCTTTTATCCTGTTGGTCACTAAGTGAGAAAATATTCAATGTTAAATATATAAAGTAATTAACGTAAAAACAATCGGCTTCCCCAGACTTTTCATTCACAGTAGCTTATCCCACAAATCTAAGCGATGAAAACGTTTCGGATTGATTATCGAAGAAAATGAACCTATTTTCTACAGCACTCTTATAGTCAAGGCTGAGTCGGAGTCGGAGTCAGATGCGTAGAACGTTACGATCTAGTGAAAACAGCGTTCCAATTCCGCTTACGACTCCTTCGTTTACGATCAAGTGAAATCTGGGTCGTCGGAGACACAAGCAGAAGTAGAAGAACTAAACCGATCACAAAGCGTGGGAACATGCATTGCAATTGGTCTATCCTTCCGCTTCTGCTTCCGACTACGACAACCTGGTTTTCACTAGATCGTAAGCGATGGAGTCATAAGCGGAGTCGGAAAAAAAGGAAACGTTCTGATTCTTGTGACTCCGATTCCTTCGCGCTTATGACTCCGCTTACGACTCCGACTCCGACTGTGTCGCTAGTGAAAACCAACCACCGGCCAAAGAGTATTGGCTCTTCGCGCAGTACGCGTCCTTCCGGCTGCACCTATACTTGCAAGCCCTCTCGAATCAGGGAGTCCCTGTTTTTCTCTTCCCTTCTCTGTGCTGAGGAACTGTATCAATTTTCAGATACCAGGGCCTCTTTATCGTGATTGGTTTTACAACAACTGTTCCCTTTACGTCTTCTAACAATTACTTCATTCCAGAGCACTCAATTGATTTTGGATTTCCTTTGCCTTATATATCATAAAACGCATTAACACGGGTAATATGGAACATGATACGAATAGGCCTAGATACCCCCGTCAAAAGTTAATTTTTGTTGCCGCCTAAAACTGCGAATTTTGAGAGGGCATCCAACGCTCTCCAATTTCCTACCTTGATAAACGCCATTTCAGTGACCTCGCTACTCCAGTATGAATAATGTCCGTTAGCAAGACATTGCAAATAAAATGAATTATTTGTGAGATGCAAGACGATCTCTGCAGCAGGTATCCGGATTAGAAACAAATTAAGTGTTTCATCAACAGGCGTTAAGCCTTTAAGACTCAATTAATTCATCCAATTTAAAAGTAAATCCCCTATTCTTCACAAACAATGTCGCCATGAAGATTGGCTGTATATAAAGAGGAGAAACGGCAGGAACACTCAAACATCCGTATTTTAATTTAGGTCTTGTTTGGAATTTATAATTTATAACATATAAAGTCGTGCATGAAGCTACGCATTAAAAACTTCGCCTAAAATAATTTCCACTAAATACATTCATGTTACGAAAATAAAATACTATTTCGATGCAATCCCAATGATTTTTTTAACTTTGTGGACATTTCTCGACCAAAAAGGAAAAAAAAAAAAACCATCTGTTGACCTAGCTAACTATCAATGAAACAGCGGTCAGTGTAAGTGGAAAACGGTGGACTGCGGACTGCGGACTGCGGACTGTGGACTGCGGACTGCGGACTGCGGATTGCGGCGGACTGCGGACTGCGGACTGCGGACCAGGGGTAAATGCAGACTGCAGACTGAGAGTAAAACGCAGGCTGGGGTAAAATGCAGACCGAGCGTAAATTGTAAACGATCACCTACTTAACGACATCTGCTTTCACAATTCATTCTTTTTTTCTCTGGAACGTCGTCGACGACTCGAAAACATAAGCGCAATCTTGAACCTTTTTTTTTCCGTCCGAGAGACCTCACGCTTCAAACTTTAGACGCGAAGTTCTCGATACAAGTGACCGTGAAGTTGGTACAATTAACATCACGATGTTTACCCTTAAATAAAAGCTGCTGACCCAAAATTCTGTACAGAAAAAATAGGGAGTAAATCATTCCAACAACAAAGAAAGACATTCTGCAGGAAATTTGGGTGACCTTCTATGAAAGTATTGCAAATCAAGGTACGCAGCCTTAAGTTGTTCGGATGTTCATTGAAACTTCTGGCGAATGTGCAATGTACTTCGACTAGGAAGCGAGGTGTGTAACTGGTACCAGCCAGCTATTTAACCTATTTCGAGAAAAAGGAGCACAAATGTTTTAAAAGTTTACAGTCTTCAAACTGCATTTTGCACCCTGCCTGCGTTTTACTCTCTGTCAGCCCTCTGCATTTTACACTCAATCTGCATTTTACCCCTGGTCCGTAGTCTACAGTCCGCAGTCTGCATTAATAATGTATGGGGTTATACGGAAATCTTGCCAAACAGTGACCTATGGTCGTGTCCTCTGCAATATGACCTCATGAAATAGCCAGAGCGGTGCAGGAGAATCCAGCTATTGACAGCTAGCATGCAGCCTTTTCACGACCTCAATTGATCGTAGTGGCACTACAAGCGGTGAAATACAATCGACAGTAGAAGTAGAAGAAGAAGTGGGACACACGATCCTGTCCGATCGCGACTAGATTTCAGAAACTCACCTCAAATTTGTTAATTCAATAGCCACTCCCAACTATTATGGCTGTATAGCATCCTTAGCGATTCTTGAATCTTTACATTGTTGAAAAAACCACGATATTTGTAAATCCATGGATAATCCATCGCATGTATGATGTTGTTCAAGTCAGCATTGTTCGAAATGACCGCCATTTAGAGCATTCAGGCTCGATTACCAGCGGTTTCAAATAGAACTTTCGGTAGGTTGAAAAAACCACGATATTTGTAAATCCATGGATAATCCATCGCATGAATGATGTTGTTCAAGTCAGCATTGTTCGAAATGACCGCCATTTAGGTATATACTTCATGGTGGAAAGCCACAAGTGCACCGGTAATATACACTCTGTGTAGTATGTAGTATTGTGTCTTCTCCCCAATAGCTATTGGTAGTTACTATTAGTTACTAGTAGTTACTAGTAGTTAATGGTAGTTATTAGTAGTTACTGGTAGTTACTAGTAGTTGTCGGTAGTTACTAGCAGTTGTCGGTAGTTACTAGTAGTTACTGGTAGTTATTAGTAGTTCCTGGTAGTTACTAGTAGTTACTAGTAGTTATTAGT